TGATTTTAAGAAGTATGTATTCTCTATTATTTTATCATTTTGGAGTAGCAAAATGAATACTTTAATGTGTTTGAAAGACAGTCAATTATGAGGTCTTCTACCAACATACTTCTAAATTTAAATTTTCTAATTTTTCTTATAGTGATTGGGCACGCTCTTGATATAGAAAAAATACTACTTGCTTTGTCTTAAATTTTGATGATAGTGCAATTCCATAAAATTCAAAAAAGTAAGAATGTATAACACTATCTTCATCTGAATGGAATATATTATTTCATCAATAACTATATAGTAAGTAATATCAATGTGAAAAAGTTTAGAAGATATTAATTTATCATGATCAATACCAACAGTGATTTGTTGAGACAATATTTCAACTATATTTATGACAAAGAATCTAGTATTTCATGTAAAAATGAAGTATATTTAAATTCATCCTCATTTTATTTGAAGTTTAATTGCTACAAATTATATTTAAATGAAGTTTTGATCATACATAGATTAAGTTACAAATAGATTTACGAAATGCTGAGCTACACTACGTTTATTAATTTTTGAGAATCATTTGATATTAGACATTTGACATTAAAGGAGAGTATCGGCATTTAATGTAAAAAATAGACAAAGTATTTATGTCTTTTTCTATTGTTATTGTGCCAAAAAGGCAGAGACCTATTGAGCCTTTATGTCCCCTTCAAATAATTTCTCTCTTTTTGTACAGTAACTATTCGTAACATTTCAAATTTTAGGACTTTTTCTGTGTGAAATCCCTTTTCTCCCCTCTTCTCCGACCATTCTCATCTCAAAATCTATCCATTCTCTCCGACCATTCTCTCCATGATTTCTACTCTATATTTTCCTACATTTATGTAGTGCAACAACCGGAATATTGTCCCCATTGCCACTACATTTGCCCTTCCAGACTTCTTTCAAAAAGACACTATTACTACTGAACCTTTGATAGTTACAATATTGGCCTACCGCAGCCTCCGCTGGTGTTCCCCGACCACCACCGCCACCACAGTTTCCCTTCCCCCCGCCCTCTTCACACCCCTTTATCGAAGGAGCACAGCTCGGCATGGCAAGTGCGGGCGCTTGCATGTGCGGCAGGTGAACCAAAATGCCCGGCTCGGCACGCACCGCACAGTGATGCCCGCGTGGAGAAATGCTGCGGTGTGACACGGTATGTGCGAAGAGCACAGGATATGCGCGTACGGGCATGTGGGAATTGGCAGAGGATGCCGGTATCTAAACATACCGAGGGGCGACCAATTGCAAGCGCAGCCCACCATGCGAACTTGCGCTCTTAACCATTTCTCTTGGGCTAATATCTTAGCCGCAGATTCCCAGCATAGGTTAAGGCACGTTTACTGTGCTCCATACTACTTAGACATGTTATCAGGGGTTGGGGGTATGGTTAAGTAGCTAAGCAGCTTTCTCTCGTTAGCCTCGAATGTAGGCTTGGAGACTCGCACCGTCAAGCAGTTCTCTTACGATAGCAGTTTAACCGCCGACTCCCAACGGTGGTTAAGAAACATTTGTCCTACACATGAGGAGAAGTCAAGCACCGTCTCACAGCCATGTTAGGGAGAGTAAGAGTGGCCGACAGGTGGTTCCCTCGTACAAATTTATCTCGTAGTTAGAGTCTCCCTTCCCTTTGAGCAAAACTTCTGCAAGCCCTCGTGGGGAAAGAAGGTTACTTGGTCGCCGGGCAAACGACCAAGGCCACATGCGGGGTAGTAATAGAGGCAAGTCTTCTATCGGCCGGCGTGACAATCCCGCCGTGCTACAGAGTTCGCCAGCCACCGCAGGATGGGAACTACCCAGCTCGCCAACCTTCAAGAATCCCAGACCTGGCAGACGTCTTTGGAGGTCTTCTCACCGCGCATAGAGACGATGTTAACCGGAGAGATGCCCCCGATGGCCCCCCGCAGGCTCCTGCAAACAGTGAGCACCGAAAAGGGAGAGGACGTGAAAGGAAATCCTACATCCTGAAGGACGTGATGTCAGCGACTACGTTGAGACAGCCAGCGGTTGTGGTCTTTAGTTGAAGTATATGATATAAAACTCTCCTCTCGTTATCATTTCTACAGTAGACGCCGGTGTGGCCGAAGCCGTTGTGGGGGAGACCGGTCGACTCGCTGGAGTATGTTCAAGAAGCCCTGCATTAGATTGCTTCGGCTTTCCCGTCTGGCCACGCTGGTAGGCAATTGGGCAAGCCCACCCCGTGCCCACGGTAACAGCTGTTCCTGCACGGCTGGCCCTACCGCTGGCGTCAGCCACCGCCCAACCCCTCCCTTCATTGCGCTGTCGGAGCGAAGGGCAATCTCTGCAGCCAGAACGAGAGAGATAGATAGATAGATAGAGAGAGAGAGATAGAGAGAAGTGCACGCCTGCATACGGACACGCAGCGAGCGTCGGTGAGGGGCCCCGCCCGTTTTCGCCCTCCTAGCCTGAACAAAGGGGAGAGGAACCTGCCCTGGTGGAGGTACCTCAGCTCTCTCTCTCTCTCTCTCTCTCTCTCGTTCTCGCTGCAGCCATCGCCTTTCGCTCCGACTGCCTGTTATCCGCAACCTTGACCTTCGCATCGCCTTTCCGCTTGAACCATCCAAAGAATCAATGGAAAATTGAAGTCAGAAGGCTGATGAATCTTGTGCTGATTAGTTAGAGAATCTTTCGCCGTGCCAAAGCAACAAATTACTTTTCAATCAGCCGTGATCTCACGAAAAGAAGTCAATCACATCATAACATCCCATTCGCTGGGAGATTTCCACATGAAACCACTAGGATATCACCGTCAGACCTCTCTTATAAGGTTTTCTCGAACCAATCCCCGTTGACGTTCATGGCAAAGTCGACGTTCCCCCGTTCAAGATTAGGAGTAAGGGTCAACTCAAGCGGATGTCGGCAATTCGTGGGGTTTTCAGGGGTACATCCGGCAACCCAGATTAAGCATCCAGCAAAACGGCGGTGACAGTTTGTCAACAAATAAATATCCGGCAAGCAATTTATGACCCACTAAAGGAGGGCAGATGGGGCGATCAAGGATACGCCGCGTTTTGGCGGGCACCCAGACCGCGGTTCAATTAGTCAACGTCTAGAAGGGGCATAAAAGGAAAAAGCATCCCTCACCCCTGTAGTTCTCGTTCTGGCATTATAATATTGGGAAAAAAGAAGACCAGAAGGTCCTTCCTCCTCCGTCAGCCAGTCGCCTCGCTCTCTGGGCACGGAGAGATGCCGAGGAACTTGGGAGCCCTTCCCGGAGCCGCCTCCGACCTCCATCTTCCGGTGATCCTGCTCTTGGTCACCGCTGTCTTCGCCTCGATCTTTGCCATCTCCTCGGTCATCTTTTCCTGCGGCTTTGGGCGCTGGAAATCTGTGAAGAACGGAACCTACACGTACAATGACAGCGTAGTCGGCGGCGGCGGAATCGGCCTCAACCTCCGTGCCGCTAATAACCCCGCTGTGGTCGTCGATACCCCGGCAGAGGCAGGAGAGAAGGACGTGAATGAACCACGACAGAGCTAGCTAGAACGCGGCCATCTGTGCTAGCATTGCGGCAGGTGGTGGCGGCAGCGGCGGTGTGGCAGTGGGGAAGGCGACAGATTCGGCGTTCACGGCGACTGCCTTAGCTTTCTATGCTGCTAAGGTGAATCCCGTCGAAGCTGGGTTTTTGATGTTTGTACGTTTCCTGGTTTTCTGCACCACGGAATCTATATATATTAAGACTTCTTCAAGTTTTACTAGATAATTCCGGTGCAATTCTAGTAGAAAAGGGAAGCCCTTCTTGGGAGGGCCTGATCTCTGATTATTTTTAGCTGAAGATCAAACCGTCTAGATTTAGTAAGAATTCAGTGCCAAAGCAGTAACCTAGTATAGTAAGCTCCTTGAAGTAGGCGAGAGAACATCAATCTCTTCACACCTGAATAGTTCCTCTTGAAAACTCGGTTAATACGTAAAGGCTCTAACACTGTTGGTCATAAAATGGGCGTTCAGTCTTCAAGGATGATGCCAACGTTCCTTTCGCTCACATTATCAGAAGAAAAGTCAGCTTCTTTTGCGTTAATTATACGGCATGAAACTTATACTATACCATCTCAATGCACATGTACTTAAATGTACATTTAAATTTATGCTTGGATTGTAGTTAAAACTCTTGGCTTTTGCGCTTTGACAATCGTGGCTCCATAAAAAAGGAGGAAAATTAGTTAATTAATCAGATCCAAAGTTGCCTTCTCCCAATATATATATATATCTTCACGTTCCTCCCCAAAAATCATAATTCTCTCTCTCTCCTGCCAATCGATTCCGCGAATAATATGGAATATTATTCAGAACTAAGATAAATTTATCTGGGGGGCAAGGTTGATGAGGTGAGAACGTTTTAATAAACTAAAAGACCACATGGAAAAGATAACTAATCACCCATCATCCGACTAATTTGTCCCGAGATAAAACCAATAAACTCTGGAGTAGAAACTCTGCCGATTTATTATTAGGTTTTAATGCTTCTTTGCAGGACTACCCTAAGTAGAAAGAGCTAGTGATATTATTGTGGTTGGCCGAAGGCTGCTTGCTTGAGTTCCACCAACTCATCACTCTCCAACGGAGGCCCACTTCAACAATGCACTCAATTCTCTCACATAAATTCTCCAAACTGCATATGAACACCATCCGTCTGAACACAAAAGCTTCAGAAGGTGTTTAGTCTCCTGCTTTTGACTAAAAGCCCCCTCCCCCCCCCCCAAAGTGGGGCCCGGTTGATCCTGGGCTGGCCCGAGAGACCTTCAGCTCAGAAGAGAATGAAACGAGGAGGGGGTGGGGGGAGAGTGAACAGAACGCGTAAGGTGGGAGATATCCGGTGTGAGAATCATCAAATAATTAACGTACATAAAACACGGACCTAACAAGAGAAAACGCCACAAGCTGTTCTGTTTATTCCGCAAACCCTCAGAGCCTTTGACTTTTGGAAACCTCTCTTCTCTGACAGTTGATCTGCATCATGCAAAGTACGAAGACGAAGACGACGCATCCGCCAAGACCTGAAAATGGGATCAAGACTGGGTTGATGAGTTTTGATCTCGCACAGATAATTATAATAATAATAATTAATTAATTAATAATTAATAATGACATAAGGGCGAAGGACTTGGATGGCCATGCCTCCAGCTGTTCCTCAGTGAATGAATCCTTCTGGATGATCCAAGTGTCTGCATGAGTTCGCCGGAACTCTGCAACTGCTTTGGTGACCGTTGATTTGACTGGAGATGGCTCATTGACAAACTGAGCGAGCAAGGTTACATGTTCTGGAAGCCAGCTGCAATCATTGGAGTTCGATTTCAGAGATAATAAGCAGCAGAGAAAGAGCAAGGACCACTTTGGCAGAAGTCATTTCTATGATTATCCTTATTATTATCTCAATAACCCATTTGTACTTATATTGATATTATTCAGAGGAACTATGTTCTACTTGGTTAGAAGAAAAGAAAATCAAGACGAGCATTGATCCACCAACAGTGAGAAGAGTGATGTGTAAACGGATATGACTTGAAGAGTAACATAGTTTTATAGTGAATAACCATGCCTAAACATCTGGCCATCAAAGTCCAAATCAATTGGTGATGAGTGGAGTTGGCACCTCAACATATTATCAGTTGACATTTCCAGTTTCAACTACTTTAATCTGCCTCTTTATGTAAACCGTGCGCATAAAAGCAGTCAACAACTCTGATACCTCGTCCTATGTATTAGGCCGTCAGACTCAAACTCAATTGACGATGGCCACAAAGTTTTCCTTTATTTCATTCTACGGAGGACTATTCTACCAAAGTATAGGACAGATTCTTCTCATTCTCTGTCTCCATCTTGTTCTCTATCTAACCTGATTCAAGGTTCAATATAGCCTCCATGATCAGAGTTGAGTTATGAGCAAATAGGAGAATGCGCATGGCATCGGGAAGGGGAAAATAGTGGAGAACGGAAAGCAGACTCTCGTCTTCTGATGGCCAAGAAAGAATTCTTTGAGCAGGGATTGCCAAAAACGGGGTGAGACTGAACAAAGCCCTGCCTAAAGCTAGAAGAAAAATCTATGTAACCATGCATAAATGTGTCAATTATTTATCTTTAAGAGATGAGGATTTTCAGCAATAACTATTGTGGTTATTATTGCAATGAAAAAGACAACTCCGTAATGTTCACCCATGTCAAAGAGTAATTGATTCCAACATCAAAGAGTAGGTCTTGGCTGTTGATTAAAACATTAAAGATTCCAATCCCACAACAATCTAACAGTCAGTGTCCTTTTATAGACGCACCTAGCCCAAGAACACTGGGAATGTTTGGAGCACACCATTATGGTAGTCGATTCGTGTTTGAACAAAATAAAAAAGGAAAGTTAAGCATGAAAAGAAAATGGTCAAAATTTGTGCTTGCACGTAACACACCTGGGCATGTCATAGGGAGTTGACAATACTGTTGCGACCAGTGCAAGGACAGTACCATGCAAGTAAACTGTGGACTGACTTGATCTCCAGTTTCTGCAGCCACAGGTTACAAGTCATCGATGTATTGTTTGCAATGAAAGAAGCGCACGTAGAGGTGATCTGTATACAGTTTAACACATCTAGCCATTTGAAACTGAGACAACTCAGTCAATCAAAGGGAGGCAACCAAATCATCAAGATCTGAAAATTTCATCCCACTGACAGATAGTTTCTATAAGTGACTGAGAAAAAATCATTTTTTAAATGTTTCTGTATAAGTAGGTAATTTATTTATTTTTTTAAAATCCAATCGGTGCAGGGAGGACGGGGAGAGGGGGATCTAGATCGGAACCTGTTCTTCCGTTTCTTGTTCACAGAGAGTGCTTCAGCAAGAGCTCGATCCTGAAAGACTTTTGCAAGGTCTTCATCCCCTCCATTTATCAAACTGGCAAGAACTCTGGCAGCATGCTCTCTAACCTGTGCAATCACCAAGATAAACAGTTTTTATGCCAGTTGCTGATGAAATAAGGCGGACAGAGACCTCAGAGTTGGGTCTGAAATGATGACACTATCACCTCTGTCACCTAAGAACTACATCTAGCCATAAGATGACGACTATGTTCCCTATGAAACTTGGTGTATAGTGGACAAGGGAAGTGTCTACAACATAGATTAGACTGCCTGCCCATGCGTACTGCATACCAATGGCTGGGTCACTGCTGTTGCATGGAGTGAGTGGACTTAATTAAAGGGTATTATTTAGTAGTAATTGGTGAATAACATCAGAAAAATAAGGTATCGACAACTCAAATCCAAAGCACCTTAAATCTAGAACAAACAAAACGTGCTTGAACTTGTTGAAATTCTGTCGGAACTTGACATTTCAAGAAAGTGGTGGATAGAGAGTTCCTCATAAACCCTCAAAGCACTTTATAATTCGGTTATGAAACAGAAAGGCATTTCTTTTCTGGTCACCTTATCACAAAAAATTTACCTACCTTAACACTGTAATTAATGCTGAACGTACACAAGGAAGAATGACTCGATGATGGAAGAAAGCTATCTAAGCTTTTCAACTAAATGTCAAGCACAAACCTCTACTTGATTGTCCAGAAGCAGTTGCTCAGTACTCGCCCAGATCTGTTGCTTCTCCACATTTGATAGAATGAATGTGTGCCTGACAAGAATAGCGTCAAATTTGAGGGCTATTCTGTTTACCTTAACAATGCCCCCAGGAAGTTAAGAACATTACCAAATAAATGAGGATAGAATTACGGGATAGCACTCAACCGTGATCCACAAAAGAAACAGATGAACATAACAGAATACGAGGTGCTATGAACAGGGTTATCCATTATTGGATGATTCAAGATCTAAAGCATGAAGGGGAGTGAACCTTGTTTCATGATCTGATTACACCAATGTGGCAAATGTGCCACGTGTGATTGGCAAAGGCAACACTTGCTTTAGTACTTAACGTAATATCATTGGAGGATTCTCTTTTTAGAAACAACTATAGTTGATACATTTGACAAGGAGAAAATGGCCCAAAATTGAGTCTCGGGTATCATATTTAGGTCTTACAGTTCTATGAAACGGACCTTCTCATGAATTGACGCATTCATGCACGAAAATACACTAAAATGGTCCTTAGGATGCCCAAGGCTCACTCTTTGGGACAATCAAACATTACAAAAGGAGAGAACAACCTATCATATGAACAAAAAACTGACTACACCATTGAAAACTTGGCCAACCTTCATTTACACCAATCAAAACTTGGTTTACATCTTTGCTTTAAAGTTTAAATGTTGCAGACATCTATTGTGAGGTATGTTAATTCGCAAAACATAGACAAGTTTAACTTACCATAGGTAAAACAAAAAATTCCACTCCTTTCCGAATTCATTGAAATATTTTGGGTCTTTCATCCACTCACAGGGCATCTAGCTCCAGATGGTTTGTTACCTTTATAGATGATTGTACATTGATCACTTGGATTTTTTTGCTCAGACATAAATCATGGTAGTGTTATACTTCTAAAAATTTGTTCACTCATTAAAAATCAATTTGGAATCAATGTTAAAAGATTCAGATCAGATAATGCTAAGCATTATTTCAATCGAATATTAGCCTTTAATTTCTAAAAAGAAGAATACTACATGAATCCTCATGTGTTAACACACCACAACAAAACTAGGTAGTTTAAAGGAAAACTTGTAACTAGAGCTCTTCTTTTTCATAAAAACTATACCTAAATCCTTTTGGGGAGGCAGCTTTAATGATTACTCACCTCATATACAGTTTATATGCCTTAGTGCCTTAGGATTCAAAAGCCAAGTAGAAAATTGTCATCTTTTTATCTTACTGTCTCACAAAAAACTAATATCGTGCCAAAGATGTTTGGGTGTGTAGAATTTGTTCATGTTCATGATCAACATAGGGGCAAATTGGATCCCAGGACATTAAAATGCCTCTTAGTTAGATAGTCTCAAACAAAAGAATATAAATTCTATCATCTTCTCTCAGAAAGAGACTTCATTTCAGTTGATGTCAACTTCCATGAAAATGAATCCTACTCTATCCAACCTTATCTTCATGAGGAGAATCAAGATGATGAAGATATATATGAATGATAATTTCTTCCTACCCATTTCATTGGCTACACCAACACATCCTAACTCTACTCCCAAACAATTGTCTAACTCGATTCCCAACTCTACGTCAAAAATGTGAGATTTGACAATATGCATTCAAGAAAGAAGACGGATTTCTTGGAATCTATGCAAGTTCTAAGAACCTCACTCTAATGTTGAAAATAAGGTATCAGCTCTTCGTTCTTCACTTCCACCTGAAATTTAATGTCATATCAACAATTAAAATGAGGATCTGCCTATTGTCAGATATTGCATCAGAGGATCCTTAAATCTTCTTGCACATTCTGTCTATGAACATTTTTCACCATCTCATAGAACTTTCCTTATTACTTTAAAAAATGTTACCATCCTTATCCCTATCACTCTATTTGAGGCATTTGTTCAATGAAAAAATGTAAACAAACTATGAGATAGATACTTTGCATAACAATTAAACTTGGAAGTTAGTAAGGCTGTCAATAGGAAAGAGAACCGGCGGCTGTAAATGAATCTTTACAGTGAAATACCAAGAAAATTAATCCATAGAGAGATACAAGGCCTGATTGATTGTCAAAGTGTATACTTAAACCTATGGGTTGACTACCAAAAGACTTTCAGTCCTATAGCAAAAATGAATACAGTAAAAATTTTGTTATCATTAGCAGCTAATAACGGCTGAAATCTACATCAATTTGATGTTATGAATAGATTTCTATATGGAGAATTAGAAGAAGAAATCTAAATGAAAGTTCCACTGGGACACAAAGAATTTAACTATCAATGCAGTGTGTAACTTAAATAAATCCTTGCAAATTGAAAAAAACTTGGGCCTAATTTGATAGGTTTAAAAGAGCCATGATTGTAATAACATATACGCAAAGTAAACAAGATCACACATTATTTGTTAAACACTCATCTTCAAGGAGAGTTACAACAGTCTTAGTATATGTTGATGGCATAATTGTGATTGGAATTTAAGAAAAAGAAAAAGAATATCTAAGCTAGTGTCTGGTTAAGGAATTTGATAACAAAACATCAGGAAGGTTGAAATAATTCCATATTATTGAAGTAGCCCACTCAAATAAAGGTACTTTTATCTCCCTACAAAGGTATATTATAAAGTTCTGAAGGACTTATAACAAGCAAAGCTGCATGTAAACTAGCAAATAAATGAATAAATTTAAATCTCAAACTTGGTGGAGCAGGAGAGGATGTTACTGCAAATAGAGAAATGTATCAATGATTGGTTAAAGACCGATTTATTTATCTCATACAGTACCAGATATACCATATACAGCGAATGTGACTAGCCAATTTATACACAATCCAAAGTAAGTACAATTGCACAGCTCACTGAGTGTCATATTGTCTCAAAGGAATACCAAGAAAAGATATTTTTTTCTAATTTAGGATTAGTACTTGATGCTAATTATGCAGGGTATATAGTGTGTAAGAGACCTACTTTGGATATTGCACCTTCCTTGGTGAAAGTCTTACAATATGGCAGATTAAGAAGTAAAATATGATAGCAAGGTCAATGCAGAAATGAGCCGTAAAATAGAATTCTAAGTCATGACTCAAGATATATGTGAAAACTAGAAGATCAAGAGAGATGGTCTAATGGGACTATACTATGACAATGAGCCGGAATCAACATAGTGCACAGTTCAGTTCAACATGACAAAACCAAGCACATTGAGATTGATCAGCACTTCATCAAGAAGAAATTAGAAAGCAGACTGATTTGCACATCCTGTGTCCACAAATAATCAAATCGCAGACATAATTACTAAAAGTTTGGACTGTATCTTAACATTATGTATTCAAGTTGGGAATGAATGATATCCATTATCCATCTAGAGGGGAAGTGTCAGGATAAGTTGTACCTTTACTTTTTTATTTCTTTATTTCTTTAACTGAAAAGATGTGAGAAAAATGATTGACATTAAAATTTTATTATGTTTTAGACAAATCCGCCATTCTTTTTGTTTCAGATCAATGCTCACCCCATTGCCAGTCTGGTCCCAAACCCACATTTGTTTTTCTTTAACTGAATAATTATGCTCAGTGACAGTGATCCAGACATTTCACTGTATATTCGAAACCATATTGATGTAATTACCTAAGCTCTCAAAAAATCTACATGGGCTGGCCCAACAGTCAGCAACATTCTCAGGTCAAAGGGCTAGAGTCTGTGATTGCACAGAGGTTCAGCAGACTCCCCAACCTATAGTGCCATGCTAGGCAAAAAATCAACCAGTGAACAAAAAACCAAGCTTCTGCAAACAAGATAAATATAACCTAGATCATGCCTAGTTGTGATACTATGACACTTTACGAGTAAAGCATGATGAGGGAACCCACAATAAACACGAACCAATTGTTAATGATTATGTTTAGTAATAATCTTTGGAAAGAATGAAGCTTATAATAAAGAGACAAAACAATAGCCTAACGCCATTTGTACTACAAAGAAAAATATAAAGTAAAAAAAATGACCATGGATACGAGAAAGATAACATGACAGCCAAGCTTGTGACATTTGGCATCTCTTCCATAAAAGCAAATCAAAGTAGCCAAAATTTAGTCAAAGAACTGACCTGTACATAAAAGTTTGGAGATATGTTAGAGAAGCTAATCTTGTTCGCCAGTTTGGATCGCTGGTTGAAGAAAGGAGCACAGAGACAGCATCTTCTAGATGCGGACGAGGAAGAACCCTCCATTTGAGTAACCTAAATGCACTCTTGGCTAAGGCTGATAAATCTTTATGAGATGTTTCCTGCAGGAAGAATCAAATTTCATCAAAAATAAACCTAAATAATGCAACAAGGGAGAAATATGTTCATCCAACAAGAAAATTCTAGTTGCTGTTCTTTCAAAAAAACTAAAAATTTCTATTGTCAGTTGCACACTGGGTTTGCACTTGAAAGTGTAAATCAACAAGAAATGAAGCTCAACCAATGAAATGTGCTTTCTCATTTGGTTACAATTTTCCTGTTAAATATTTCTAAACAATATCGACAAAAGTAAGCTTTTCAATATCCTTAATCCAGCATCCACAATTTGAAAATGTTTCTTTTGTGGAAAACTACAGTGCGTGTTAAAAGGTCTGGTGATTAACAGAACAAGATTGAAGCATGAAGATTACAAAGAGTGTATAACAGAAAATTGTTACCTGTAAAGATAATACGGGATAAATAAGAGAAACAATCATGTCCAACAAATATGAAGATCTTCCAGATTTTAGTGATGAGATTGTGAAATGAAACATCTGCAGAAATTTACAAAATGTTAGTGCATTGAATCAGAATGGAGAAAAGGGGTAGTACATCTGGTATAAAACATTATCTGAATAATCACCGTTTCCATCTTTCTAACATCAGCATTTAATTTCATATCTGCTGAACCATTTTCATTCGTTACATCGCCTGTTGACACTGGATTCTCGGATGGACTAAAATTCTGGATATTCCCAGTTAATTCTAAGGCATGCGCCTTAAAAGATAGGGCCAAATCGTCACATCCAGGCAAATCAGCCATACCACTGTTTTCGTGATACTGAATGTGGGAGGAGAAGAGTCGTAAATTAGAACATACAATACATAGTGCAACACCGATTGCTTCTCGAACCTGCAAAATAAAAGAATAATTTTAAAAAAAAACAGCCAGCAAACCAATTAACAAGCACCAATATATTTTGACAATTGACAAGTGAAAATCCACCTAAGCCTCATTTGTATCAAACCTAGAAGTAATCTTCATACACTAAAGCCATCAACTATCATCGAAAATTTGAAGATTGTATATAGAAATTATCAAAAAGATTCCCATCTTAACATCATATTTTCAATCCAGGTTCAGCTGACCTAGAGGGCAACCCATACACCAGGAAACAAAGCAATAATTTTTGCTATAAGGTTTACCAGAAAATAGCACATTCAAATATGGTAGCCGTTTTCTAGCAAAACTGGATGCTACAGAGAGAGATAGGGCGTCACGGAATCCTTCACAGCATACAGTCTACTTCAGGATATGGACCAGGCAGGTCCTATTATCAAAACATCTCCTGTGGTCCAAATTCCTATCCTCAAAACCTGGATAATATCCTCAAAATCATGAGCTATACTTCTGCTGGGGAGTTCCTCTTTGTTGGAATCATCTCCTGAAACCATTCTATGAATATTTCACTTACCAGATTGTTGCAGAATCCAAGATTATGAAGTAATAGCAAATGAAAAAAAAGGAAAAAATTAAATGAAATATTCTCATTGAATTGTGACGAAAGTGAGAAGTTATACCCGCTCTTCTGATGGATTTTTTACTAATTATTTTTTCTAAAGACAGAAGCATAATGAATGAAGGATGATAACACAATTACATAAAAAACGATATTAAAATTAACACAATAGTATACATAAAAAATAACACTGCCAATATACATGAAATCTTGTAAGGGTCCCAACTGGAAGACAGAAGAATTAGAAAAAGAGGTGCTGAAAAGAGAGAATTGGACATAAGATAGAATACAAAGTGGAATAACAGTAGAATCCGTACCCAAAACTCGAATGCTTTCCATAATAACTAAAGCAATGTAATCCCAAAGAGAACAAATTTAAGTACACAAAAATAGCAAGAACCAATAAGCCCTCTATAATCACCATGTAATACAGAGTGCCAATCAAAAAGTCGTCACCAAAATTGTGCATGACTAATTAATTAGAGACCAAGTTTTTTTCTTAGGAATACTGGGATCTTGTATTCTGGTACTAATGCCAATCGTTTCAGTCATAAGGCACTAGTGTAACAAGAAACACAAGGCCTAGCCAATAAAACTTCTACAATCAGTGTGTAAGTCAAACTCAGGAGCAAGATAGCGGCCAAAACTTCAGGGAAAAATAGCTAATTAATCTGAGAATATACAGAAAAAAGAAAAAAACAACAAATGCGGTTGTGTTCTAGAACGTCATTGGCATTAGGATTATTGCCATGAATATATAAAGTTCAACAGAGTACTTTTAAGGAGCTCCAAGTAAACAGAAGACTAATTAATCTGCCAACAGTGAAGACGAATGAAAAAATTGAATGAACCAGAGGCACTTTAAAGTGACCAGAAGTAACAGTAAATCAAATACTGTTGGGATATTAGCTGCTTACTTGTGCAGATGAATGACTCATGTTATCCCTTAGCTCTTTCAGGAGTTTATCATGATACTGGACCTCAACATCAGGCATTGTGGGAGGTGAAATTTCTAAAAATGCAGCACAAATAAAAATATATCTCTTTGCCACCATACTTGTGGGAACCATTTGCAGCAATGGTCTTAGCAAACAATCCAGAATTTGCTGCCTCAACAAGGGAGCTCTTGTACCATATTTTCCTTTGCCTGTGACAGCGTACCGAACACAAGCTGCCCATTCTGGTATAGACTCCACGGATGGAGCTGAAATAATTTTCTGCAATTGGACCATTACCCAGTTATCCCAGGCAGCTGACAAATCACTGATATCAGAATGCAGCATCCCAGCAAAGGCTTCAGCAGCAACACATTGCATTGGTCTCTCTGTTGCACTCACAAGCTCTTCAATTGCAACACGAATTGCTATAATTAATGGAGTTCCGCATTCTTGCGTTAATCTCTTAAAAATCCGGGCGAACTTGGAGTAAAAGGAGTTACCCCCTGACAAAGATACCCAACTGGGAGTGCGTGGCCATGAGGCAGAAAATTCAAAGTAGAATGAAGTGATAGCTTTATCTGTTGAGCTCTGTAGGGATCCATAATCTGCTCTCGAGCCCTCCAGATCAGCTATCACATGAACATGGGAAAGGCTCTTCAGAGTTTCGCCGAAGAAATCATCTTCCTGTAAAATCTGGACTAAGACCCCCTCAAGAGGGGGTCTATTTTTATCTCTTGAATCTTCCATGCTCTGAAGTTGTTTCTCAACAGCAGTTTTCCGATGAGACCCTTGCAAGAGAGTGTTCAAAGCTGAGATTGCAAGCATCCTTGACTGAGGCTGCTGACTTTTTAAAGTCCTTAGGAAATGCCCTGATCAGATATTAACCACTGTTAAACCTTTAAAGAAGCCGGAATTTGGCAGTTATTTAGGCAAGGGTACAGATATAAGTAGCTGTGTTGATTAAGGAAATTAGTATAGGTTTAAGAATAAACTACTTCCACAGTAATTCACATAAAATAAAAGGACAACGTTATTCATGACCAGCACTGACCAGTAGTTTCACCGAGTAATTGAGAAGAGAAACTAGAGTCACTTCTAGAAGCCAAAGTCAACAACAACAGTACTCGGTTAGCCATTAGATGATACCTGCAAAACAATCAAGTTACTCGGTTCAACACAATTAGCATGACAGGGATCTTGCAAATGAGAAATGCAAGCAAATAAATCACCATTGCTAGAGAAATAAAGTGAGCCAAAGAATATGAGGGAAAGTACCTCCAATGCAGCCCATTAGAAGAAAAGCTCATGGAACTGATCTTAGAAATCAAAGTCTGAAACTCTGTTTGTTCTAACGAATTGTCTAGGTTCTTGAAGAAAGACTTAGGTAGCCCAGCAAAGTGAATGTTATATTTAACAAATAGCTGTTTCAGTAAAAACATCACAAAAAAGTGAAAACACAGATGATGTAAATTAAATCGACAAAAATTAACAATAATATCATACCTCGCTGATAGCTTTCTGGGCTTTCAATGATTCATGGTGAGAACTATAAAACATGAAAAAAGTGAGATCCAAATCAAGCGATGCTACCAAAGAAATAGTGTAAAAAGGGAATGGCAAAAAAAGGAAAAAATAGGCACAAAGGTTACCTAGAAAGAAGGCCCAAGACGAAGGATGAAAAGGAACTAGCATCCTGTTGTTGCAAAAAAAACGTTGAGTCAAAATTATTAATGACTGGAATATAAGCAGAGATTATAAAAGTAGAAGATACCATCGTCAAATGCCTGAGAATAGTTTGTGCACTAAGAACAGAGCATGAGCCTAAAACTACATGCTCCGATGATGTTGGATCATGAAGTTTCTCAGTCAAAGTAAGAACACATTTTGCAATTAATCGTGGCCACCGCTTGAGTATTTTTAGGAGAGTTTTTCCAGCACGCCTATGGGACAATGGAAAGAGGGATCAAAAAAAAAACTGGCAAAAAAAAGATATGTGAGAAAAGGAAATTACTTAGACTCCAAAACGATGCAAGATGAGCCTTTTTTGGAGAACATTAAAAAGAAAATCAATTGAGAAGGCTTAACAAGAATACGCCAAAAAATAATGTCACAACGATTATGCATAGTTAGCCACGTCAGACTAAAACCACTACTCCAATAAACACAAAACTGTTTGGTCATTCTGTTTACCAGTTGTGCACCTTAATGAAAGAGCAATTAAAACTCAAGCAGGTCTGAATACGAGAGCAAGGCTAAAGGTTTTAAAACCATGACTTATTTCACATGGATAGAAAATCAGGTTCCAAGTTGGATGGGATATTCTCTTCGTGACATCCATGTAGAAGAACTAATAAAAAAAATAGCCATCCATGTGAGAGCACAGGACAGTCGACATCTTCTGATCGCCATCTCTGATTTTGATGAGGTAATCAGAGATTGGTAGATGCCTCTGATTTAAAACGTTATACCTTAAAAACTTCTGTTTCCAATACATGCTTATCTTTGGTCATGGCATCTGTTCAGTTATTTATGATTCAAGCATTGGAAATCAGTATTTATTATCGGATCGATATTACATGATTCAAGGTTAGTTTTCAAAAAATGATTTAATTTCAAAGGAATAAGGGACGTGGAACTCTTCTAGAAGAAGCATATAGATTTAAGGAACACTACAGCTAGAGAAACGTGGTCAAGTCTTGATCTAAGTGAGCCCTTCGAAAATCGGATCAGGTTTCAAGCACTGAGGTATCAAGATGAGCCCATGGATTAAGAGAAACGATGTAATATAATTGAAGGAAAGAAAACCTACATGCCAAGGCTAACAATCTTTCGATTCCAGGCTACCAAAATTTCGCATATTTCACATAACGATCTTTCTGTTTGGCCACTAAGTTTTGTTCATCAATGAAAAACATAAATTCTGTGAACGTGTTCTGAATGAAATAAGAACTTACAGAGCTTGGAAAATGTACTGTGCTTCTGAAATCATGCTCCCAAAAAAAATACTGTTTTCTTTCTTAAGTAATCATGCCAATTAGTTACAAGCTATGCGAGACTAATGCACGAGTACCAAATCTTTTATATAGTCACTCGAAGTACCATGTGTCAAACATCACAAGTTCAGCATGCTTGTGCCATGTAATAAACTAGCTTGTTTCGTGGGATGAAGGCAAGGATGGCATTGGCTACTGAATAAATGTGCAAACATGAGTCTTTTTTTATTGATGCAGAATTGATGATCATACCAATGATTTCAGAAAGATAAGAATGAATGGGGATAATTATTTTGCCTGCCTAGTATGAATGGAAAAACTATATTAAAAAAGCCCACTATGTTAGCCATTCAACCCAGCACTGCAAACGTAAACATGTGCAAATTAATTCTCTTCCGAATGCATTCTTAATAATTGAATCACTGCTATGTAATTGAGTATCATGTTCAAACATAACCATTAGCACATTGTTTCGAAACGCTGATTGGAAGTCAATTGCGAGCGTCAATCCAGTTTGAAATTGAACTGATCTGTGAACGTCTCCATTGCAGAGACTTAATCACTCGTCTCCAAATGATGCGAAAGGACTAGATATCTAATGTTGACAGGTGATTCAGCTTTCACATGTCATTTAATAATAGAGGAGAACCTGAACCATAAAGTCCTATGTGATTCCTCATTTTTTCGTCAGAGTTACGATGGCCATTGCCTACATACAACAGTCACACTGGTCACAACATTACCATTAGACCACCACCACCATCCATCACTGGTCAACCCTGGGGATTTGATGGCAAATATGACAAGTTATTTCCTTCTCTTCCTTGCACAATAATCTCATCTTGCAACATGAGAAAGTTTGGGAGATCCTGTTCTCATATATGCCAAACAAGTGAGATAAAGATGCATGATAACAGTCAGTTTTATAAAGCAACACCTAATCAGTTTTACCAATTCAAAGCCATGGAAATTACATTGTGTTGTGGAAAGCAAACAAATTAGATTCATTCACTGTTCTTTTGCTTCCTGTAGTCGAACTCTTTTCTGAAGCTAGATTCACAAAGAAGAGGTTGCAGGAGTTTTGTCAGCAAAGATGCCTTATGTTTATAAAAAATTAGAAAGAATCAATGTTATTATCTTCAGTTGCCAGTAAGTATGAAAGCTATTAAATTCATCTAATATTAAGTAACATAAGCGATTGCAATTTTCATGGCATAAGTTAGATTACAATGCGAAAACGTCAAGACACACACTATAAAAAGTTGGTCTGCAAAACTTACGAGCGAACAGAGCCATATTGATGGAAAGAGAGATTCAGAAGATCTTCCATCAGAAGCACAAGGTACACTGAAGGAGATAGACTGCTATTTGAGCGAAATTTATGATAAGATGATTGTGAGGAGCGCCATATATTATGCATGTTTACTTTTTCAATTATCGCCCACCTTGGCCTGAAAACACGAAAAAAGAGATAAAGTCATGGAAAAGAATTAAAATGGCACACAACATTTCGACCATCAAATGAATCCCTCACCTTTTCTTTCCTCGGGCAGGAGAAGAAATGATGAAGTTGAATGGCGGCTCAACTGTGGAAGCTGATTCATACTTCCAAGAGTGGAGATGATTTGACCACTCTTCATACTCCGTACTTCCTATGTCAGAGAAAAAGGAGTATTTAAAATATAGAAGGCAATTTGACCAAAGAAGCAGTGATCCGTGAATCTGGTATAAAACCAGATGGTCCTACTCTAATAAGGTGTCTCATTCTTACCAAAATTTCCGAGAGTATCCATTATACGGATGACAAGGATCAGAAGTATGCTATCATCTGATCTCTTATCCAATATGTACCTGCTCCACAGTAAACATCAATGAGAAAAAAATTATTTTGGAGGGAATATGATAAAATTATTGAATAACAAATCTTACTTGCAGGCTTCATGCATGACCTCTGAAGCTTTTTCCCTGAGTTCAGAACTCCCAACAGTCAAACCAGCAGCTCCAGCAATCAGAAAATTATCATATTCGTCATTGTTGATGATTTCTCCCTTTTCATTTGAGGAACGGAGGTCAGGCAAACATGACTGCACACCGCGTAATGAAGAATAAATACGCAGAAGAGTAACTTTTAGGTGCTCCTTTTCATTTCCTGCTCAGAAGAATGTTCAGGACACAGAAACAGAAATCAAGGCACACAGTAACATACTGCCTGATCAATAAATCAATTTTAGAAGAAGTAATTAGCTACGAAGATGGTATATAAAAATTTCCAAGGACTAAAAAATTTCAAGGAAATGAATAAAAGTCAGATAAATCATTTACTTTCCTAGAACTAAACTATACCGCATATAAATCAACCCAAATAAATACTTTGGCACGTGGATTATATTGGTTGAGCAGCAGAAACTAGAAACAGGTATTACTGATGACAAGTTTGATTATGTAGCTCTCAGTGATCCCAGAGTTCACCAATGAACTACATTGGCATGCCGTAGGGCATCAAACGATTTTGTGCAACAATGCAAGAATGGAATTAAGAATCTTGTAAAAATATCTGACATGAATATGTGATAAAATTTTGAATCAGGTACATCACAAAAATCTTTAGCAGATATTTCGCCTCTCATATTAAAAATCAGCCCAAGGGGATGTCAACTTCATAAAAGCAACTAGCTTACAGCAAGCTAATTAAACATCAGAACTATTGCCAGCACTGGGCTAACATAATTAATTGCATTGACATTACTGGGATACTGCCAGAAACCATCTTACCAGCTTCATAATGTATCTTTGTCTGACATATTCTTAAAAGGCTGTCCAAAGCAGATTGTAGATGCAGATCCAGGAGTTCATTGGCAAATGATATTTCATCGGCAGAGGGAATATGCCACTTGGGAAGAAATTCAGGTCTCCCTGCTTCTATGGTTTTTGAGCAAATCCATTCTTCTAGACCAGTGACATCTGGATGGCGAGAGACACACCTGAAAGAAGGAAAGAATGAGATGGCCAAACGAAGAATCTACAAAGGTCTTCAAACTGGAGTACACTGTTGAGTTCGAGCTTCTGCTTTACACGTAGGTGATGTTTCAGGCTGTTGAGTTCGAGCTGAAGGAATAGGTGCATGGCAGAAAGGAAAATGCTTATACATCCAATGCTTATTGAAGCCAGAGTTTAAGAGATGAAAATTGTTTCATGTATGACGAAACCTATTTGCTGTTCAAATGCTCTTTATACTAATTGAGAAGAATACAAGGGCATGTCTGTTAACTAAATAAGGGTGTTAATAGACACGGGAAAAACACGTACTTGTGCTGCTCAATTGGATAATAAAAGACAAGGCTTCCAAGGAGGGAACGAAGTAGATGATCACCAGCTCCATAAACCTATTTTTCACAAAATAATACATTTTTCATCAAAAAACTAATGTCTGCATAAGACTACATCAATGTACTTAATGATTAACAAAGGAAAACAATTCAAAGAGTGTAATTCAAAAACCTTCCAAGAGTGAGCATTGAATGCAGATGCAACTGCTCTTTTCAATTCCTCTCTATAATGGAGTAGAACAGGACCTCCATAACAGATCGCTGCAGACAATACCTTAAGTTGGTACTCCAGAGTTGTTTCTAAAGCTGGAGAGGGGGTAGCCTGCAAATTGGTTTTTGATGTCAAATAAAACAGAAGACAGAAAATGTAAACCACAGCTACATTCTTGTTCTGAAGAAAACCTTGGTTGAAAATGATGTACTGGAAGATCCGTTTTCACCAAATCCAGAAGCAGGGAATTCTTTCAAAGAGTCAATGATAGAGATTAGAAGCGGTTTAATAATATAGACACCGGCGTCAACTGGATTAGAATAAAGGCAAGTACAACAAAGAAGCCCGATTTCAGAGACAGCTCCAGGAAGAATATTTGTATTCACAAATTTGGAAATCTTCTTCAACGACTGCACGATAAAGAAAAGATTTACTCAACATGATCGTGATAGAATAGAAGAATACAATGACAAATAGACTGGGTGTTCTAGAAAAGTGAACCCGATTTAATAGAGGCTTTGACAATTTCCCAAGCAAGATTTCCAGCATACAAAAATAATAAGAACTATCATCAAGAAGAAAAGTTTCAGATGTGTTTGAAACGTTCATTCCTTCATTCCTGTGTAAATCATAGAATATAAATTACAACCAGATCAGGCTTCAGAAAAGAAAAAAAGAAAAAAGTGATCAGATGACTTACACAGTGCTACTTGGTTCCAAATGTTGAAGAAGAGAAAATAAACGATCAAAAAATTCATCAAGCCATTCAGAGAAGCTAATGTTCTGTAGCACTGCAGGCATATTTTCATTATCATTTATCTCAGCCAACTGCAAATACAGCACGGATACATTAGATAAAAAAGTGCGACCCTACAGGAAATTTTCCATAAATTTAACTTCCAGACTTACATTGGAGAATATAGATGCTATCAATTGCATTGTTGCCAAGGTTTTTGGCGGATCATTTGCATCCAAGCCAAGCAAGGCATTGGATAGACATATTATTAAGAGATTAGAGGTAGATGGGTTATCACTCAGAGAAAGTGGATCTGCTAGTGATGCCAGAAGGGGTCGTACAGTAAATGCTACAGATGTTATGGCAGCCTTCAGTTGGTGCGTTGCTGTCACCTAATTGGAATTGACAATATGCGATGTCAATAGAATGGCGCGAAGACAAGGACACTATATATTAGATTAAAGATGGAAGGAAAAACGAACAAGATAGTGATCGAAAAAATTACTCACCGTCTCCAAAGCAAGGTGGAAGCGAGATGCAATAAATGGAAGCACCAGTGAAGGCTCTACATACGATAAAGTCGAAATGGTAGCAGCAACAGTTTCAGCGAGAGGGTTATTTTTACTGTACTGACCGCGATCAATTATCTTCAGAATCATCTTAACAAAAGAAACTCGTTCTGATTTCCCCAGAGAAAATTCAGCCACAGTGACATCATTTATCTTGCTGAAAGGCAACATTAAGATTAGAGACACATTGTAGAGTTGGATTAGTTCACCGGGCAGTTATGTAGAGAAAATTCTCACAGTTGTTCACGATGCAGTCGTTTCTGGAATGAAATCGTCAAGTGCCTGAGGAAGCGCTCCAATGAGTAAGTCCAGCGGCCCCCATTCGACGGATGGTAATATCTAAGCCATTAAACGACATCAGAAATGAGAGAATATGATGAATGGTACACAGCATCAGAAACTATTGGTCATAGAGAGAAAACTAACTGTTCCAAGATATTTGTCAATTTCTCAAAGTACAGTTGTGCTGAATTCCCAGGCTTCAAAAGATGAATCTGAAAAGTTAAAGAGATGATAAACTATAACTTCTGGGTGGCTTTTCACTCAAATTAGGAGCAATCGTATTTTAAAACAAAATACAACATCAAACTTACAATTGCATTTGCGACAGATTTTGCAGGAATATTAGTTTTCTCGTTAAATAAGTAACGTATATTTGGAGGGACGTCCAAAGAGTAAGGATGTGAACCACTGCGACTAGATATTGGAACCTGAAAAAGTGGAAGAAGTACGGTCAAAATGGAAGAGACTGCATCCAAGTACCACATGGAATAATCAAAACAGACCTGCTATAAAAGCACAAGCAAGAATTATAAAACATGCGAATCTTCACAACAAATGAGGACACATAAGATATACAGATAAACATACACAAATGTCCATGTACGTTTAAATGTAAATGAAACGGAATGGATTACATCCACAAGGTGAAAAGACCGCATTCATTTCCTCAGACAATCTTAAATGGTCGGCTAACTAATTTATAGAAGGTTATAGCATCATATTAAAATCTCGGAATGGAAGGATCTGTGCGTATAAGAGCATGCATCATTAGCTCAGCTGTGGGAACAGACGAGTGTACCAATAAAGAATGCTCCAAAAGTTAACAACCAAGAAGAAGAGGGCAATTTATATCATAGTTAATGAGAAAGCCTGTATCTAAGACACAAGGAGATCACCAACAAGGTTATCCAGAGGATAGAGGCAAGTACAACAGAATGCATCAAATGCTGAAAGACTAGAAAATAAATGTATCGGTAGTCTATAAGATAAAAAGAGTTCCGGCTATGACAAAAGGAAAAATCACCTATAGCACAGACTTCACATCCAAGAGACAAAAACGAAAGAAATTCCTTGACGGAAAAACTGATTCATGATGAGAATAATCCACATACATATAATAACAAAAAAAACTACAACCCTACATTATACAAGAGAAATTTTCTAGTAGCCATAGGACTTCATAGACCAACAAGGGCAAGCATCAATAAACAATGAACTAACAATATTAGCAAGTAAAATTAGAAACAGGGATTTGAGATCCAAGTTGAGATGCCCAGGTTCTCGGCAACAAAAAAAATATATAAGACCATGAGTGTAGCATAAACACCTAATGAAAACGTAAGTTCTGATGCAACACCAACACTAAGCATTTGGCAAAACTGATTCTATAAGATAGAACAGGAGATGAAAGAAATCAGGTTTGTCGTAATGGAAAATGTTCCTCACCTCAAACAAATTCAAATATTTGGTAAAAAGTGCTGACATGAACTCCTCCCAGTCAAGTGATTTATGGTGTCTGATGCAACGAGCAAAAACTGAAGCCCATTGGACATCCCAAAATTGACAATTTGGAACCAACTCCCACAGATCAATGCACTCTTTAATCCATTCACTGAAATGCAAAAGTTGTAATGAAATGAGGTGAATATAAAAACAGCGATCTTCAAGAAAAAAAAATTCAGAGAGCCTTTGCTTAATACTTGGTAAAGAAGTCCTTGTTCTCCAAGTTCATGGGAAGAAACAGTTTGACAAAGCCAGAAACCTCAAAGACTGAATTATGCCAGGGATTTTCCAGTCCAGGTCTGCAAATTAGTTCAGAAATAGACATAACATAGTTAGCCAAACTCCAAATGGATGGCAACGTGATATTTAAATATTTGACGGCAATTAGTCTTAACGGAATTAGACGAAATTTCACAAAGCGCAATTTATTTGGAAACCATACATTTGCTCTCCTCATGTATACCCAAATATTTTGCCGAAAATTATCTTTTCTCTACAACTAAAGCTCCCCATTGTCTTAGAATTTCTCAGTTCTGGGAAGACAAAATGCCTCAGCCAAGTTCAAAACGTTCAGATGTGCACTTATAAGAGATGATAGTCAGGGCATTCACAATGTATGTGCCCCCTTCGCTGGTCTTTCTAATAGAGATTTACACGTGGAATTCCCTTGTCCACATCGGCAGTTTTTTTTCCTCCAGAACAAGCTGAATGCCATACTTCAAAGGTAGAGGAAGAGTTTGCAGCATTCATCGACTTCTGCAGCTAAAATCTCTGCTGATCTGAAGTCGAAATTTAAAGGAACTGTTACCTACTTTATGGACCTCTTCTTCATCTTTCAAGATCTGATGTAGTGGAGGAAACTTAGCTTCTACAGGTTAGACAGAACATCATTGATCCTCTCTAAATCTGAAAGCTCCCTTCCCAAATGAAACAAGATTGGGCATTCCCAAAAAAACATCTTTATTCAGAATGATTCCTCAAATATAACGAATAGAAAACCTAACATGTGGGAAAATACATCATTCTCGGCTGTTTACAACTGCAAATATCACAGATAATGAGAACATTTTTAACAGATACATGGTGTAACATTATTAATCATCATTTAGTTTTGTTTTTCATTGTGTAGAGTTGTTGCAGTGTCCCTTTTTTCTTTAAATTTGTCTTAAATAGTTTGGAATATATTAGGAAACTTTCAAGGAAACAAATTCACTCCGAAACGAGAGTTCCACGGTTATTATTTGCATTTATGTTAAGGTTGTGACCAGGGTAAGCTTAGCTTCTGGAAAGATGCAAGGTGTGATGTTACGGTGTGAAGAGTCCCATGATCCCAAAACAGCATCACCAGCCCCACTAGAGACCCAATTTCCAATGGATCAAGCTCGGGAATATGCAGAAACGGAACCAAACAACCACATAATTCCATAATCATGTAACCAGACAAGTTTGTGTTCCTATGATAGAGTATTGAGATTCTTCCTCAGAGTAATCTGCCAACACTGGATAATAATAGGCCTAAAGCTACAAAGACATATTTCTACACCACTGAAATTGGGATGATTATATTTTCACTTTTTTCATTTTTTCATTTTTTTTAAATTAGAAATAAAAAAATTAGTATACTTAGAGTATGCCTGAAAAAGGAGACCAGCTTGATTCAACAACAAAAACGAAGATCACCAACATTCCAAAACTTCCAAGTCATTGATGATTACCAATCGTCTGGATTTTTGAAGTTCAAGTCGGTTCATTAACATTTCTTCATGTACTGTTTCCAGTTTTTCAGAAAAGCTGAGCAAGGGTGATAAAGTTTATGCCTGTGTCAAAGGTTTCTTGTGACATAGCTTAACTTAGGTCAATTAATTTATTTTTTAAATTTGATAACACACTAGTAGGAATAAGTTAACTTACTAGTAGGAATAAGTTAAGTAGGCTATGTTCCCACCGTTAGACCTTTTAGTCGAATAGGCTGACTTTACCCAAGTCTATACCTACCTGGGCCTCACGTCATTCACTCAGCCATCTAAGGTTATCAGACTTGGATCGCTGGGTATATCTCTGATAAATTTTGACAACTCAGCCTATTCTAGTTCCAACTGTTTATCAAACCACTAGTAAGTGACTTGATTTAGCCACTCAAAATCAGCCTCTTTGGCACTAAGTCATGAAAATCACCAAGGACAAGACCACTTATTTTTGGAGATTTTTCACATTTGGGCTACAAAAAGGATTCAAACGATCACTTGAAGCTTGCATAAGTCAAAATCACTACCCATACAACAAAAATATTTTCCAGCGTGGATTCGAGTTAAAAATGGGAATGCAAGCTAATCAAAATCATTAAAACGTTCCAAATGAGCCCAAACGATAAAGGCAGGTAGCTAAGGGCAATGACCAATGTCAAACAGATACAAACAGCACAGAATCAAGTTTAAGGAAAGTATTTTCGCCATTCTTCATGCCAAATAACACTCAGGGAATACATGAACGCACAATCACAGAACAAAGGAAAGCAACATTGTACATAAGATAAGCCACAGATGATACCTGAACTCCGACCATATCTCAGAAGCAGAACCTGATGGGAAGAACTTTCGACAATTTTGAACCAGGGAAGTCAAGGTCTCAAAATGCCGTTGTCTCAGTCTCCATCCCTCTGGACCTGTATTTCTATCAAGAAATGCAAGTTGAGTGCGTGTGTATAAAAATTACAGTCATTTACACCTCAAAGGATACGCCAAAAAACCTATATAGCTCCCTCCAGATAATTCTCAGTAAAAAACATAGGTAATAATAAATTCAAAAGAAACAGCAAAACTGAACTAGTAATAAGGAAAACCCGGTGCAAAGGGGAGTAACTAAGCAATGTGATTAATATGGAATGAGGCCAATAAGAACCACAGGCAATCCTTTCAAAGGGTATGGTGGCATTTATACTTAGTGAATATTCGACGAGTAGTAAATCAACAGCCGAATTTCCAAATAGATTGGGTGAAGCTCTAAAATTCACCACCAACAAGTAGTTTAAACATTTAAGAATCGATAATGACCAAATTGAATACTGCTATCAAGTGCACAAATTCGTGCCCACATTGAGTGGACAAAAAGATTACCAAGTCCACATGATGATCCTTTTTGTCTCTCACCTAACAGGCCATGTCCAACACCGGAGGACTAACATTGCCAAATCATAACAAAGTTTAGTTCATTTTTTAAACTCAAGGTTAGGAGCTATCCCTTCCCAACCCTGTGAAAGAGCAACCTTCCTCCAATTAGAGTACAAGCTTGCCAAAGATTCCCCCTAAATCTATTTGAGGGGATTTTAAAGAATCATTGATCTTAAAGCTAACAAGCAACATTATTTGAAACTATTCAACAAATTATGGTTACCTCCAAACACGCTGTGCAAACTAGGAACAGTCTGAAGTCCCACAAAGGCATGGAAGAAGACAAAATGTGTTTCCCTGGAGTAGGATTTTAAAGGTAGCCCAGACTATAGTGACTTGTCGTTTCTCGAGCTTATAAGATAGATGAGAGTACAAGTTGCTCAAATTCGATGATCGGGAATTTATAAAGATTCTCTTTAATTTTTTAGAAGTGAACATCCTCTTCTTTAAACCATCAGCAACCTCTGGGATATTTTTAGAACGTTTTACGAAAAAGAAACCCGTTGACAGAGTATAACTAAGGCTTAGGATGCTGGTTAGTTTCCTACTGTCGGTCAGCTTCCTTATTTTCTCAGTTTCCTATTGTCGGTCAGTTTCCTAATTTGGTTGAGTATCCTATAAATCTTGGGATTCAGCGAAGGCAGCTTCCCTTTTTTTGAGGCCAGGATTATTCCATATAACCAGCAATTGTTTATGAATTGACATGACAGAAAAATTTCCCCACTGTTAGTCTTGTTTGGTTTGCATCAGAATGCAATCCGACAAAAGGCTTCCCATCGAGGAGTCTTTCATGACATCAAATTCTCATTACGTTCTAAAATTACGCTTATGTATTTTAAGAATGTTGCAGGGATTAAACGTGAATTTCATTTTTTCCTGGAAGGTGGTCGACAGGCCACAGTTCATTTGAAGAGATATTAAAATAAAAGCGTCATTAAACATATTAGCAGCTTATATACACGGAACCATCACACAACACAAAACAACCCCTGAATATATGCTCCAGTGAATCAGAATGCAGTCGTATCAAAGGTGACTCAAGGGATTTTCCTACCTCGAAGCAACCAAATTATATTGAACTCTCCGAACATTAATTTATAGTTAGCTGCTTGCTGGTCCGTTGGAGTTATTACGGGCAGCCTCAAATAATACATAACAGGCTATAATCTTATTTCAGAAACAACTGCCAGTCCAAACCACCCCAATAGTTCCACAACACATGGACATTTAAAAAAAACTCTGATCTGGAACTGAACAGAATAATATCACATATATTTATAAATAACAGAAAATAATTATGCATGTAATAATAATTGAACTCATGTTACAAAAAGACAGTCCAGGATGCATAGCAGGAAAAACAAAAGCAATTTTATTACCGTTAGCTTGTTCATCTAATGGGTCCTAGTTGGACCTAAAATGGGTCCTTGTTCATACAACAGACTGGCCCAAGCAGGAGACATTGGCATGATTAACCATGGCAAACTTAAAAAGGATAAGGGCAACAATAAAAGACCGATGCTTATGCACCTGGAAAGGATGAGACTACTATGGAACGTTCCATGCAAATCCTGTTTTATCTAGGCCCATGTTTGGTGTCTACGCACTGTTTTGATGTGGGATGTGTAGACCCGACACTGACCAACTAAGTCATGACATTTTCTAGGCTTAGATTGCCCTTTCAAAGCTGAAGATTATTAAGAACACTTGATTTACCGCCTGATGAAGTGCTATCTCGTTTTCAGCTGGAAGAACATATATTAACACTCCATGCATTACCCTGATTACTTTTATACGAGGACCTTGAACCTAATAGTGAAATCTCATAAACAAAGAAACAAATGATAATCTGCTTCGATAAAAAAAGTATTTACACATTTTGGTATTGAACTGAATTGATTCAAAAACTAGGAACCCACCTTTTGAAGTGTGTATGCATCAGCATATCATAGAAAGGTCTCCATTGAACTTCTAACGATAACTTCTTACTAAACTTCTTCAGTAATCTGAATAAAATGCCTCCCCATCTAACCTAATCAGCAATAGTCAAATTCAACGTCATCATAAAAATCAAAAACTTCAAGAGATCAAAAATAACTAACATAATGTATAAAAAAAATTCTCAATACCTGAGCATAAAGTTTGTTCTGTGATGCATGAAATACTTCTAAACCTACTTCCACAAGGGCTTTCACATCTATGATAGAGACTTCACTTTTGGCTTTGATATAACTGCACAAAATTATATAGAAAAGCGCATTAATTGCCAATTTAAAAAAACAATGGAAAAAATTACAATAATTTTGAATGAGAGAAAAAGCGAAATAAAAGCCTGTACTTGAAGACAACAGTCTTCGTTCACATAAAGGACGAAGAAACTAGCTGATTAAGAAATTAAAAAAAATTCATGGGATACATAAATAAATCGTCATACAACTGCCAGAGAGACAGAAGAAGGCACCCGAAAATTCACGATAAATAAATAAAAAATGGCCACTCCTTCCAAAAACGTAAATACATGATCCCATTTGAGACCAACCCGTATATCATCAGTATGCCCTACCATCTACCATTTTAAAATTCAACATGAAAATTTTCATATTTTCTTCATTTCCTCCACTCAAGTTTTTTTGATCTTTGCATTCACATTTAGAACACTCGAAAAAAAAATGGCCAGAACATAGTCTATGACTTATGTAAAATGTGTTTTTGAGGTATGGTAACATAGCATCAGACAAAAAAAATCCAATAAACAGAACTAAGAAATTAATAGAATAAATAAATTCTCAGATAGAAGTAGAAGCCCTAAGAAATTTCCGAATAAAAAATATAAGGTACCTCTTTCGGACATGTTCAATGACAACAATTTGCCAAGGGGTTAGATCCAGATTCCTCTCCAAATAAGGTACCCAGAAAATGGAATAAATATCAGCCATATTAATTGTCCAATAATGAGATTCGTCCATATGGTAGTATTATCACTCAACAAAGAGTCATCAGCCCTGACCAATGATAAACCGATTACATCACCGTCATCATTAAAATAAGGTATGAAAGTCAGCCTTGACTTGTCGATTTTTCTTGTTTTCTACCATGATGCTTAAAGTGCTGGCAATAGCAGACTCCATTTTCCCTCATCTTAAGGTCCATATGCTTCTTTTTTTCATCGGATCCAAGATATCTTCCAACTAAATCCATCAAACTTCATGAATTCTAGCGGCCATATGAAGATAATATTTGGATGCCAAGTCTCATTAACACTTGACTACATTTCAGATGACTGCTTTATAATTGCCCAAAAATAATAACCATGAAAGTTTTTACACTCCAATTTTCAACTACATTTAGGCTTTCACTTGGATTTCCCCTATATTCTAGGAATTGTATCATGTTTTCACTAATAAGATAATTCTTAAGAATGAATAAATATGATAGGAAAAAATAAACGTCAACATCCATGAATGTTCCAGAAACATAGAAATCTTTCATCAACTGTGAAGAATATCAACCACTGCACTTTTTTGCACTTCTCCGAAAAGCAGTAAACTAGTGCGGAGAAGAGGGACCAATGAAATTAACACTGACTCATAAAATCTCCACATTTTTGCCTAACTAATGAGCCACTCGGACAGCAAAATTCTGACGAATGCTTTGGCACCAACTTCAGCAAATTGGAGCAATTAGAAATAACCCCAGAAAGGAAGCCGTTATAGCAGAGAAAAAACAAAGTTTAGCAGCCTGTGTCATAAAATATTAGAAAACAGAAAGCGTGTTTCACACTCTATCTCGTACACACAAAATGATTGAAAGCGAAACTCGTAAATGCCTCGAATTCTGAACTTAAAAGCATCAGCCTAATCAACTGAATTGGTGCAAACCCTAAACTTAATCCAAAAAAATTTTACACAGAAAGAAATATTAGCGAGGAGCGCCCGAAAATGTAAAGCTATCAACGAAATTAGCTCCAAAGAAAACGGATGAACAAGAGGGCTCACAGCTGAATGATGGAGATCCACTTGAGAGTAGAGTAGACGCTCTCAGGATCGTCGGGCCGCCACGAATCCTTCACTGAGTTGACGACAGACGTGAACGCCTCCTTCTCCCTCTTGGTTTCCTCCGCCACCGCGGGGGGGAGCCACGCGTTGAACAGATGAATCTTTCCATTTCCTCTCTCCCAGTCCTCTGCCGCTTCCTCCACCTGCATCTTCGTCTCCTCTCCTCACTTCCTCCAGCTTCCCTCCTTATATAAACCTACCCAGCTAATCCGTCTTCGTTTCTTCTTCTGCAAGAAGGATCACTCCAGCTTAAACCACCCCTCCAACCTTCCAAAGCAGGCGATGGCAGCCATCATCTTCCCATCGCGTTGACTCGCCATCTCTAAAACCGACGGCCACGATTTCCCGATTCTGGAAGCATGACACTCCGTGTTTGTCGGGGTCTGTGCCAAGTGCCGGGCCCTGCTGACGTGGATCTCTCCGACTCAATCTCAACCGAATACAAACCAAGGCGAGCCGCGACGAGTCGGCTTCTCCGCATAGCTCAGCTGACTCGTTAAAAAAAAAAAAAAACCTCTCTCCTACGTGGCACAAGAGAAGACTAGCACATGCTCAGCGGACAAGGTGGCGACGCGTAGTGGTTTTAAAACCCAAAAATAATGCCTATTTAAAATAAACCTCGTATTTTTGGTCCAATGAGAAATAAGCCCATGTTGTTATTTTTTTCTCCCCTCCCTCTCTACGATGCTCTTTAGTAAGCACTCATAACCTGCGACATCTATTGAATGATTTTGATAATTATCATAAACCCTCAACCACGGTCAAACCTCGTAGAGGTACCCCAGTATAGCCGTTGACGTCGCAATGGTCAAAGTCAAGGCCATATCTTAAAATCCAAAAGGGAAGTAGGCCCACTTTGATATTTTCCTATCTTGTGATGGCAACCCATTGACTCTAAAAATTGCGATCAAATGGAGACGTCTTTTATGTTAATATGTTATTTCATGGGGGTTTTTTCTAAGGGAACTTTTCGTAAATATCACTTACTCTTCTTTTGGGATATTTAGATAAATATATAAATATAGAGAGTTTTTAGTCATAAGAAAAAGTATCCAGTGATTAAGGCCATCCTGATCAGACGGCTGAGATGACAGTACTTTCAGTGCTTCTTTCCAAAGTGGGGAGGATGAGAGCCGTCTGATCACTTGTGATCATCATCGGGAGTGTGCGAGATTCTGTGTTTATAAATCGGTTCCAGACTAGATGGCTAGTAAACTAGGATTCCGCTGGAAATGCCACCCAGCAGAAATAAATGTGGGATGGTAGACAGCACGACACTCAGCCACCCGGAAGAAACCCTAACCGTGGCAACTGCACCCACGGAAATCATTTGCAGAGGGAAGGCTCATCGCAGTGAATGGTTGTTCTCGTCCCGCTTGAGTCCTTTCCGATTTCTGGGGACCTTTGTCTTTTTATCCTTCAGGATGCACCGATTGCCAAGGGGTTTTCCGTTTTTCTATTCGTTCGCCATTCTGATTTCGGGGTGTTTTTGAACTGTGTGGTGTCTTTCCTAACAAGGAGAGGCCTGATTTTCCTTTGTTTCGACTTGTTCTGTCCTCTGGTCATCGATCGGTTGAACTCGTTTTTGTTGATTTGATGATCTGCTGTCGTTATTGGGCGATCCCTTTCCCCCAAGGTTTTAAATGTTTTTTGAGATACATGTTTCATTCTTCCTTTCGCTAAGAAACTACGCCTACACGACGCTGTTTTGGATCATAATTTGCATTCTTCTCTCTGTCTCAGATGGGTCGGGCTGGCGGAGGAAGAGAAAGGTATCGCAGTGAATACACTCCCAGAGTCGAGGATAAGGGAGGTGGGGGTGTCAGCCGAAGTCATCAGCCGGGGCGAGCTGAAACACAACCCAGCCGCCACCTCTGGGTGGGTAACCTGCCCCCCCAAGCTACGCAGAGCATGTTGTTGGAGCAGTTCTTGCGATTTGGGGACCTGGAGAACATTGCTTTCATTCCAGGGCGGAGCTATGGCTTCGTAAATTTCAAGAAGGAAGAAGACGCAGTCTTTGCATTGAGGACCTTACAGGGTCACATGTTTGCGGGGGTGCCACTTAAGATCGAATTTCAGAAGGGGGTTAGTCGTGTTGATCTTTACGCATCTTTAATTTATTATTTAACTGGTTTCGTACTCCTAATCGTATGATGTATATTTAAAATCTGGGACCATATATCATTATATTATAATATCAATTAAATGTTAATAAGGAAACAAGGTTATATAGGCACTATACCTGAGAAAAAGCTCCCTTGAAAATTTCATGTCGCAGTTTTGTGCATGAGTGTTGTCACAATAAAACTCGTTTATATAACAATCCGTATCTGGACAGTGGCATTCCAAAATTTACAAACGGTAAGCACCCAATTTCTTGGTTTCCATCATGCCATTCATTCCCAAAAGCAGCAGAGTACAGAACCTTCTCTCCAAAACGAACGAATAATTGTTTTTTCTGACACTTTTCTACATATCTTGTTTTACTATTTAAAGAGTTGACCCATTGTTTTGATCATAAATGGCTTATTGTGCCATATGGTTGTGGGAATTGCTGTTTACTTGATATGGTAAACTTTCCTAATAACGATGATGAACAGCTTCAATCTGAATAATAATATCTCATCTTTGGTTTTGATTGTTCCATTTCTTCCTTTTTTATTTAATGCCCAAAATAAACTTTCCACTGGACTAGAATGGTTATTTGAAGGCAAGAGAATCCAGATTATAAGTAGGTACATTACCTGAAACTCTATGTCAAGGAGCTTTTGATCATGCAACTAGGTCTTAATGCTAGAAAATCAATAAACTGCTCGGAGAAGATTCTTCAACCAGATATCAGGCAAAGAATGGCATGATATCACCATGAAGACAAGAATTTCTGTTGAAAATAAATTTCTCATAAATTGCATTAATGGACTTTGCAATGAATACCCACTTTCAGAAAAATTGAGAACTATTAATTAGCCCATGAGAATAATATATTTTTCCGCATCTAATGCAACCTCAAATAGTGTGTCTGAACCAAAAACTAACAGCCTACATTATATATAATAAGGAGGACAAATTTTCAACCAAAAAGTAAAGAGAGGCCTAATATTCCTCCAAAGAGAAGGAAAAGAGAAAGGGAAACTATTAAAGCGTGGATACATTTGCAACTTAATTGTGGGTATTATTAGTCAAATGCCTAGGTAAAATCATATAACTTCCCCCAAATCTTTGATGAGGTCATGAGATTGAAATTTTCTCAGTTTCAGATTATCCTTACATGAAGAGGTGTCATTAATTAGGGATGGAATCATTCTCCCCTCATATTTTTTTCCTAAGAATCTGTCCCTTTCAACAAACAGTGTAAGGTTTATTACCATATAACATCATATAATCCCATCTACACATGATCAACGGAAGCTGCAAGATTGTGTTCTTGGAGGATTAAGTTCGTTCACTAACTGAATTTCTAAATGCAGACTGCTGTTACGGCTTCATCTGAATAGAATTATTTTTTCTTGGATATGAAAGACTCGTCTCTCTTATTCACTTTCCAGATGGTGAAATCCACTATTGTGATTATGTCTTTCAGTTCACTATTGGTAGGCCGGCCTTAAGTTGCTATGAAATCTGTACTTTCTCTCACAATTGACAATATTCATGGCCAAAATGTTGATTGGTTATAAACCTTGAAAATTCTGTCAGCTGCTGAATCCATTTATTCCATTAATAAACTAAATGAGTTCAGTTTTTGAGATTGCTTGTTTTCGTGTCATTTCAGTGAATTTGTTGGCAAATGAATCACTATAAAAACATGTTCACAGACTCCCCTAAAAGTGACGTGGTGAAGTTTGTAATCATTTTAAGGCCTTATTTTGTGAGTTCGACGTATTGACCTGTAGTGACTAAAAGTGACCTGGTGTTCACAGACACCACTAAAAGTGACCTGGAGAAGTTTGTCATCATTTTACGGTCTTATTTTGTGAGGTCGACTTATTGACCTGAAGTGACTAATGCAGACTTGATGAACCCTTTATTTAATCGTTTTATTAATCTTCCTTCCTAATTTTTTTTCGAGAAAAAGGTGGCGCACATTTAATTAACTTCACAACCGATCACAGTATGAAGGAAGAAATCACATGAGACATCAATGGATACTAAAATATTAATTGATATTTAAAGATAATCCAACTGTTTACCATGTGACTCGTTGTTAGTGAGTAAATGCTGCTGTATCCATGGACATGTCAATGTCACACCTGCAGAAAAAATCCTTTCCCTTTACTGGAGTGGAATGTGTGATGCTTCAACGTGCCAGATTTTGTAGAACTATGTTTTTCTATTCATCCCATATGCCTTCAATATATAGGATCTCTACGTGATGTGTTTATACCCCAGATGAGTGGTAATGTCCTATGATAAATTTCTTTAGAAAATCATTGTACTTGTTCAAGTGATATAACTGGTGATATATTTTCTTGTGATAGAAATTTCTATCACGTAGCATGGAATATTAAGAGTTCTTGACCCACTCTTTCAATACCATCATTCGCTTGATACTTATGCAAAACGTTGTCATTCCCTCTTGTAGATAGTGGCAGCTATCTTGATGTATGATTTGCTACTGATTATAAGGGTTTCTTGTAAAAACCCCATATGCATTTATTAGTTTCACCCATCCAAATTATCTGAGATTCAACCACGTTCTCATCTCCTGGAATACGGAATAATTTAATTGGGCACATTAAGCTCTTTTATAATTAATTGTTTTCCCCTTCCTTAAAGTTGGAAGACATCACAAGATGTCTTAAAAGAGTTACTGTCTATGTCATAAGAAATAGCAGATTTATTTTTTTCCAAATTTGATCCATTAACCTTTCCAATCCCCGATTTTTGGGATAGCATTGCAATTCTGTGACAATATTTTCCTGCAAGACCATTTTAATCCAATTGTAGTTTGTGAATCATTTAGGATTGGTGATGCTGTTTTAGAAAAGAACTTTCCATTTTTAAATGGAATATTTGCAAAGAAGTTTTGTTCTTGTTTTGATTTAAATAAAATAGATTGCAAGATATGAAATCCTATCTAATTGAAAGGGCGGGGGGGGACCCAAAATCCCTCAGTGAAAATTGAAAATAAAAGAATTGGGTTGAAATTGTCTGATTGCACTTGAATTGGGTGACTCTGTGCTGGGTCATGTCATTCGTGACTTTTGCCTTTTGCTCAAGGAGACTGCCGTAGAAAATGATAAATAAAAAGGGCAGATGATGGGAGGGCAATAATAACAATGGCAAAAGAGAAAGAAGTGGAGGGAAGAGAAGATGAAGGGAGAGGAGTGACAGCAAAGAAAAAGGGAAAACAGAGGGCAACAGAAAACATTTTCTTTGACTGCATTCACCTGCCTCTTGTCCAATGTCTTTTCCTTCGAGATTCATCTTTTTCTCAGCCATTGTGGGGATTGGAGGAAAGGGTGTACCTCTTGCTTAAATACTTCCGATTTAAAAAGTCTTGCAATTCATCTGCATGTATTAAAATCATTTATTAATATACTATTACATCAAAATGAAGTTTTAATTTTTAAGCCCCATCAGTCTGGCTGATCCGGTTCAACCAGACATTCACATGTTAGAAATTTCAAAGTTCTATTGACGGTGAAATGCTAATCCACAAATAACTTAAAGGTAAGTGTACTATGTACAGCATGTTAATGTGTCATAGAAAATATCTTTTATTCCATGGTCTGTTACTCCATATGGAAATGAAAGGTTCTTGAAGTACGAACTTCGACCAGTTTCAAGAATAAACGCTTACAAGTTGTTACATGGCAAGCGGTTCAAAAGCAGGCTTCTGATAGTATTTCATGTTTGGAAGAAATTTTGTGTGCCCTAAACCTTGATGGTTTTATCTCCATTTAACATCGAATATTCCATTTCTATTAATGTTTGGTGGGGTACATTCACTTTTGCACCACTCCATGGTCCTTTAAGAATCCACTTTTAAGTATTGATGTAAGGTTCTTAAAGAAAGTTTCGTGTGCCAACTATATATTGTGCATGTTGATGAAAATCAAGCGTTTGGAAAGCCTAGTGGTATGTGCACATGTTCTTGCACATTGGAGCTAAGTCAAAAATTATTGTTATTCTAACCTAGTTGAAGGATGGATCACGGGATTTAGGCAGAGGGAACAAGTGTTGATCTACAGGGTAAGCATGGCTGCAAATGGGTGAAATGAGATTATAGTCCGTGTTATGCTTTGTTGAGATATCGTAATAATGGGTACTAGCATATATTTGCATTGTCTCCTCACGATCAGTTGAGCTGAGCACTATGGGTTTTCCAGTATAGACATTTCTGATTCTACAGAAGGCATAAAGTGCAATGCAGAGTGCTAAAGCATTTTTGGCATGTTTTCTTCATAACCACGTGACAGTATTTATGGGCGTTGATGCATGTAAATTGTCAGTCAACTGTTTGAAAATGACTGCATAGCTTTTCTTCTCATATACTCAATTTTTCCAAGTGGGTAATTTTTTTCTCTCCTTCTCCACCTCCCCCCTCCCCTCGTTGTGTTGTATTTAGAAGTATGCATGATGTGTTGGAAATGTATTTGATTTTAGGAAATTCATCAAGGAAATAGCTTCACTATGGGAAAAAATGTTTTATTCAAAGCCTAGACAGATTAGGTTGTGAGACCAATTTTTTGTGATATTATTAACTCGTTGACACAGAGTAATTTGTGTTTGGGCAGTTTCATTATATTTAATGGGGTCGTTGAAGTCTTGTTTTGACGTCTTCAAGATATTTCATGATCTTGCTTAGTGTTGTGCCTACCACACCTCCCATCTTCAAGAAAGGAAAAAGAAAAGGAGACCAAGTTGTGATCGAAACTTTCCCTTGACTTGGCGAGCTGCTGCTCTGTTTAGAGTTTTAGAGTGAAAAGACATTGATCTCAGGAACTGTGCTTTTAGCTTCCCGGATCATACCTGAGTCAGGAATAGTTTATATGGATGTATTTTAGTGCATCAACTTGTGTAGATGCCTGAATTCACAATAAATTTGATCGTCTTTCAATGATTTTATGTTAATAAGCTAGGTTTTCAAGCATGTGTCCATTTGATGCATCCGCCTGGATCTTACCTTTTCATGCGAGGAATTCTCACTCTTTGTTTTCTAAGTTTTTTCGTCAGGTTTTCGATTTAAATGCTCTTGTTTGCTAGATAACTTATGCTTTGTATCTATTTTGGTCGATCGTTCTAACACAGCATCTTCACTGATGCAATTGATGTGGAATAGCGAACTATTTGGAGTGCCATTTTGGGCTGGGTAATTGAATTTACTTTCTGTGGAAAAAAAGCATTACAGCATCATTTGGCTTTCGTTAATAGAATTTGTATAACAGGATAAATTCCCAGCATCTTCACTTGATGGTGAGTATGGTAGAGATGAAAGAAGTTCCACAGAGCGAGGAGAATCTTTTCATCAGAGAGACTCAAGGCAACAAATTCGCAGTCCTGGTAAAACGTATCCTGACAAGCCCCAGTGGAGCAATAATGAAGAACCAAGTGAATTGTTACGGATTGGTTTCCCACCTCATCTGAATGTTGACAGAATTGCGCTAGAAAGGGCCTTCTCTCCATTTGGTGAACTAGACAAGGTTATGACATTTCCTGGGCGAAGCTATGCCTTTGTGAGATATAGGAGCATAGTAGCTGCATGCTTGGCGAAAGAAGCTCTTCAGGGGAGGCTATTTAACAATCCCCGTGTAAGCATTTCCTTTGCTAAGAATGACACTGGTCCACCTGAGCTTGGAAGAGGTTTGAGTAGCAATGAGTTGAGTATCCATGGCAGACCTAGTCCACCTGTTGACTCTGGTCGACGACAGAAGGATTTTGATGCCTCAGTTGGAGAGTTCCCCTCGCTATCTTCTAGATTTCTCCTGGAGATGGAAAATACTCCTGGAGATAGGGAAGCCATGGGATTCGGTAGAACTACTTCTCTAGGGATGAACAGGGGTCTACGAACCACTCCTGGTAGCTTCGAACATCCAAGATATCAAAGCTTGGGTTCTGAACGAAGAGTCTCTGAAGATAGAGTTGAATATCTCATTAGTCCTACAGTTGAGAAAGCTCCTCTTGTACATGAACTCATTGAGAGGCCTCAAAAAGCCTCTCTATCAGATCCTTGGGATATCGATGAAAGTGCATTTTCTTCAGCAAAGAAAATCAAGATGGATCCATTTCCTGATAGAGAGCTTCCTGAATATCCATTTTCAGATTTTGAAAAAGAAAGTCAATATGGTGAATCACGGAAAATCTTTCCGAGATTGCCAGAAAGTCATATTTATAACCGAAGCTTAGTGTCTGATTTTGGAGGCAAAGATGCTCCTGATTATACAGAAAGTAATGATTCATGGAGAAAATCTGATGGCTTTACTGGAGGCTCCACTTCATTACACATAAAACCAAAGCCTGACAAATGGCATAGGTTCAACCCCGAGCCTCAAAAGTTTGCTCTGAATGATTGGAAATGGGAGGGAACTATAGCCAAAGGAGGGACTCCAATCTGTCGTGCTCGTTGCTTCCCTGTTGGAAAGGCGCTGGATTTTATGCTGTGAGTAACCTCAATCCCTGCGTACTGTTGTTCTTTTTCTGTGGGGTGACTAGAGTAAATCTATCTCTTTGTGCATTTGGCATCTTCTGCCTCACTATGCCCACCTGATTAGCGATATTCTTTACTCTATCAAGTTACAAACTTGGGCTCTCTGATGGCCATGAGTAGTGAACTGCACAAACTCTGCCCTTAGTCCATGTTTAATATGCCAGACGAATGCCCCCCCCCCCCTCTATTTTTCGCCTTAAAATAGTTTATTATAACTAATGTCTGATGTTATATCTGATCTTTTAAATAAATCACAGGCCAGAGTTTCTAGATTGCACTGCAAGGACAGGCCTTGATATGCTCGCTAGGCATTTCTATCAAGCATCTGGTTCATGGGTAGTGTTCTTTGTTCCAGAAACTGATGCAGACATTGTCTTCTACAACGAGTTCATGAACTTTCTTGGAGAGAAGAACCGTGCAGCGGTTGCCAAGTTGGAGGAGAAGACCACCTTGTTTCTTGTTCCACCATCAGACTTCTCTGAGAAAGTTCTAAAAGTACCAGGGAAATTGAGTATCTCTGGGGTCGTTCTGAGGTTCCAGCAACCCAGTTCTGATTTTGATTCTGTTCACTATCCCCCAGAAAGAGTGGGTTCGACTATCCCCCCGATGCCCAGATCGGTTGATGAAACAACACTCCAGGGAAATAGGGTTCTTCCGAAGACATCCTCACCCAATGCTTGCCCATCATCCAAGGAGACAAATTATTTCTCTTCATTGCCTGAACATTTTGCTCCTACTGCATCCTCTGAATCTCAGCGGCCTACGAGCTATCTTTCTTATTCTGGGTCCTCTGGAAGAGTACATGATCGCCATGGAGAGAGAATGTACGATAAGATTCAGAAACAAAACCCTAGAGCACCCTCAACTTTGTCCCCCTCTCGTGCTCGTACTGCAAATTCTGGCTTTGGAAATCCCTCAGGTATTGCTCCCATGGCCTCTCATTCACCTGATAATTCTATGGAAGAAACATTCTCATTAAATGAGCAGAATATGATGCCTCCGAGAAGGAGTTCTGGCGTTATGGCAGCTGGGACGTCTGCATTTGGTTCAGAAGATGGCAGCGAGCTTCCTCCATCACCACCCCCGACTAAACCTCCACCTCCCTCCACTGGATCTATTCCTTCCGTGTTACCTGAGCATCTTGCACAGCTTGCATCTTTTCTTGGTCAACAGAAACATTTAGGAAAGGACCCACCGTATTCATTGTCCGGAGATCAAATGCAGCAAACTTCAATGCAGAAACCCACTGTACACAACCGTGACCCAGCACCTTCAAACCCTGCAGTTTCTCTCTCTAGCCAAATGCAACAGTTGCAGCGCCATGCATTTAGCGTGTCTCCATCTTCAGAGACTGGGAAGCTTGAGCAACTGAGTAACCAGCTAGCCCGTAGCAGTGCCCAGGAAGAGTCTGAAACAGACCCACAGAAACGGCTCCAAGCCACCCTACAGCTAGCTGCAGCGCTTCTTCAGCAGATCCAACAACAGTCAAAGCCTGATAGCTGATAATTACTTGGTAAGCTTTTTCTCCTACTTGTTCTTTGTGTGGGTGATCAGTGGATAAGATATCATCCCTTCTCCTGATCCCTAATGCATATGAAGGAGTTGCGGCCACATGTCTGATACTGTTTCTCCATTGCTGATTCTCCTCGGTTATCATTCATGACTCTGCCTCTTTGACGTTTTTTTTTTTTTTTTTTTTTTTCCAATCTTCTAACTATCATGTGGTGAATACCGTAGAGTCTAGAGATAAAAGAAATGTTACTTCAATTTTTTATGGAATTTATTTATTTTTACTCTTTTTTGTATTTGATTACAGAATTTGTTCTAAATTCTTGATTAAGCGAGCCTTTTGTGTATGAAATTCATCTGGCCATCTTTTAGGAAAATAACAATATTTTGATATGGGGTCCTCTATTTGGCATCATGGAGGTGAAAAATTACACGATTAGTTTTTTTTTTCTTCTTCTTCTTCTTTATTCTTATGTATGCTTCTTATTTCTTTTTCATGATATTTCGTAGGAAGACTCAAGTTGTCAGATAAGATATTTGATAAGACCAAGACTCTTCCCCTCTTTCTTCTTTAGAATCGGCCCGCCCTCATCAAGAGTTCTTCATGGTATATAAACTGACGATTGTAGTCACAGAGTATTTTATTCTGGTAAGAATTTGGGCAATGTACAACCCAACTTCTCAGCTCCTGTTCTTGGCGACCGGTGGAAGTTACTGGTGAGACCTCGTCGGATGAAGAAGGGAAGAGAGAGAAAGTAAGTAGATATCATCGACCGATGGGTGAGAGAGAGGGTAAACCTTTCTAGAAAATAATCTGAAACCTTACTAGCGGGCCATCAACAGAGCTGCTATAATGTTTATGGATAGATGGGTTAAAGCAATATAGATTGATGAAGCTTCCTATTCCACTATATTGACAAAGATTGGGGAAAAGAAACGTATTTGGCTTGAGTACCCTCTTCTTAGACTTGTTTCCCATTCATCTCTTTCATGTCTGGGATGAATAGAAGCGTCTAAATCTTCTGGCTGAGTTCCAGTCTCTAAATCTTCGGTCAATAAATAATTTTCTGTTCATGTTCATTCTCCCAACCTTGATAATATATTTATTATTATTATTATTATTATTTATTTGAGGTGTCGGGGTGCCTCCATGTCCTTCACCATGGCGGCAAGTTTGGATTTTCTGAGTCTTTTATTCTTCCAGAGGGGGAAAAAAGCATCATCTCTCTCTCTCTCTCTCTCTCTCTCTCTCTAAAGGGTTAGCGTCAGAAGGGCCCACACTGCCCATTGAATGGCGAGACTATGCCGTCATCAGGTAGCTGTTCATGGAGAAATCAATCCCCTCATATTTTTTAAGATCCCCAAGAACACTCGTTGAATGATTCGCAACGCAGTTGACTCTAATTTACCGACTCCAGTGTCCTCTGTGGGCCCGGCCATTTATGATATATAGAGAGAGAGAGAGAACAGTGGACCACATGCCCTGAGGTATCAATCACACGGACAGAAGGTCAAAGAGAAGACGGGGCTTCTGAGCTTCTAGGCCCATTGGGTCATAGGGAGATGTTGGGCCTGGCCGACAAATCGAAGTGCACTTAATATTACACCAGGAATAATGTTTTTCCGAAATATGAAAAACAATTATAGACGAAGGAAACGTTGAAGCCAGGTGGGGGCCATCGCGGCGGCGCGTTTCTCATGCGGTCGTCCCCCCCGCGCCAACGGCTCTCTCTCTGCGATCCTTTTCAGCCTCTCTTCTACCCTTTCGAGCACCTCGTCTTCCGAAACCTCTCACTTTCCTTTTCTGTCGTCCTCTCTCTCTCTCTCTTTCTCTCTCTTCTTCTCTTTCACTGAAGAAGAGGGCCAGGTAACAGACTAGTAAGAGACTGCTTTCCCCTGCTTGGTCTGGCTGTAGCGGCGGGGTCTTCGTTATCCGACCAGTTCTGAGAGAAACGAGAGACATTTAATGATCAGTGTGTGCTCTACGCCTCCGCGGGGTAATGATCTCCGGTCTGACGGGCACCCCACGCCCTCGCTCGGACTCTACTGGAAGACCCACCAGGCTAACGACGAAGCCATCGAAGCCTGGAGAGAGAGAGAGAGGCGGAGCGCGAAGCACGATTTGAGAGCCATCTTTGCGGGGATGGAGGGGGGGTTGCATCTTTTACGGCAGCTTTCTCCGACGGGGTGGACCTCGTCTTGGCCACCACCACCACCACGGTCGCCGCCCCGCGCGGCGCGGCACGAGGCCCTTTTCCCGGCACGGCCGGCAACCTGGCACTTGGTCCCGGAGGTTGCACTCCCCACTTAAACGGAACTGCAGATTACAGGGAGCCGAGACGGTAGAGTAGCACAGCCGGCGAGGCGACCAACTCCACACAGAGAGAGAGAGAGAGAGAGAGAGAGAGAGAGAGGGAAACAACATCGCCATATCGATTGAAGGAACATCTCTTTCTCAGAGTTGAATATCCTGCCTCCCTCTCCAAGAAGGCGACGGAGTGAGGTAGCGGTCGAATAAGGAAATGAAATTTTAATCGAAAGATCACCTCTTTCGCAGAGATGAATAATGCCTCCACTCTGCTTTTTTCCACTGTAGCAAAAAAAAACAAAAGGGCAAAAGCCAACAGAGGAGGAGGTGATGTGGTGCCTGTAGGGACCTCAAGGACAGCAGAGGAAACAAGCTTTCATACGGAAACCTGAGAGAGAGAGAGAGAGGGTGGGGGGATGCTGTGTTGCCCTGGTGCGGGGTACAACTAGCAGAGGAGAAGTCCGCCTGTGGGAATTTGCCAGGGGAGCCGACGCCGTGAGACAGATGGAGAAGAGGAGACAGATGGAAGGGGAGGGGGAGATGGCGTAGAGGATCCCAAGCTTATCAAGCGAAGGATAATGGCCGGAGGGTCATCGAGACTGCAAAGGGCCGCGAAGAAGATCTGGCTTCCCTGCGCCTCCTTCTCCGCCGCTGTCGCCCCCAACCGCAACCCTCGCCCCCGCCCTGCAAGTGTATGTTTCTCTCTCTCTCTCTCTCTCTCCATCAACCCTCCTCTTTTCTCCCCTCTCTGTTGTCTCATTCTCTCTCTAGCTTTCTCTGCGATTGCATTCTGGAGATCTCTTCTCCCTCGCTGGGTTGACCTAGCTCCCGCAGAGATCCGTCATCTCACGTCTCTCCATTAATCTTGGAGAACCCCGGCTTCTGGGTCCTCGTCTGGAATTCCTCCACCCACCCTCTCTCAGTTCTTCTCCATGGCCGCCGACCCAATTCTCCCCGAATTTGGAACCTCGCCGCTGCATCATGCTCATTGTTGTACCCTCCTTGACCGGTGTTTTCTGAAGGCAGATCTCCGGCTCCGGCGACGCCATCGGAAAACCAACAGCCATGGAAGGAGCTGGGAGAATCACAGAGGACCCAGAAACCCTTCCAAAGGTACCCAAGAAGCCCTCTTATATATCAAATTTCTGTCCATCTCTCTCTCTCTTCTGGGACGCTAGACCGAGATGGAGCTGCGGTGGGTCCTTCAGGTTGTGATTGTTCTGACGCCCGTCCGTTTCTGCGGTACCTCCAGGCCCCTTGTGCGATCTGCTTGGAACCGCTGGCGGGTGGGGAGGAGGACGAACAAGGAGGGCAGGCCGTGTTCACAGCGCAGTGCATGCACTCCTTCCACTTCGTCTGCATCTCCTCCAACGTCCGCCACGGCAGCGTCACCTGCCCCATCTGCCGCGCGCAGTGGACCCAACTCCCCCGCGACCTCGCCCCGCCCCTCCCCTGCCACCAGCATGCAGCGGCCGACCCCATCCTCCGCATCCTCGACGACTCCATCGCCACGTTCCGCGTCAACCGCCGCATCTCCCTGCGTGCCGCCCGCTACGACGACGACGACCCCGTCGAGGCCCCGCGCGGCGCCGCCGCCCTGCCCCGCCTGCGTCTGGATCTCATCCCTGCCGGGCTCCCCCCCCCGCTGCCGCACCGCCGTCCGCCGTTCGCTCGGCACAGCGCGGTGGGTTACGGCGCGTGCCTCTCGGCGCGGCTGCTGCACCAGCAGGCCACGGACATCGTCCTCGTGGCCAGCCCCAACGGTCCCCACCTGAGGCTCCTCAAGCAGGCCATGGCGCTGGTGGTCTTCTCCCTGCGCGCCGTGGACCGCCTGGCCATCGTCACCTACTCCTCCGTCGCCACCCGCGCGCTCCCCCTGCGGCGGATGACCTCCCACGGCAAGCGGACGGCCCTGCAAGTCATCGACAGGGTCTTCTTCCTCGGGGAGGCGGATCCCATCGAAGGGCTTAAGAAGGGGGCCAAGATTCTCGAGGACAGAACTCACCGGAACCCTCTGTCCTGCATCCTCCACCTCTCCGACAGCCCCACCAGGGCCTACCTCGGCAGGGAGCTGCAGGTGCCCTTCCCCATCCACCGGTTCCACATCGGCTTCGGCTTCGGGGCATCCAATGGCTTCGTGATGCATGAGTTCGAGGAGTTCCTCTCCAGGCTTCTGGGAGGGGTGATCAGGGAGACCCAGCTGAGGATCGGGGAGGAAGGGAGCCTGGTCCGGCTGGGGGAGATGAGGGGCGGGGAGGAGAGGATAATCCCCCTGAACTTAGCCGGAGATTGTGGGTTGATCTGTGTTGGGTACAGCTACATAGAGGGAGGGGTGGAGGAGAGCCTGAGGACAGGTCAGGCGGTCGTCGGAGTTTGCGACAAGGGTCAGTGGAATGAAGGCGGCGGCGGCGGGATCGAAGCTGCTGCAATGGACTTGGGCATCGGAGGCAGGAACAGCAACGTCGAGAGGTGGGACTACCTCGACCCTTTCATGGCTAGAAGATGGGCTAAGCATCTACACGGCTATAGAGTGTGAGGGGAAAGAGAGAGAGAGTGTTGGATGATTTCCAGGGTTCCACTGTGTTCTGTTCAGCTGATGTCTCCTCCACGGCCACTGTTACAACTCGAACGTGTTCTCTCTCTGCATCTGTAGTTGCAAGGCGTTAGTGGCCATGAATAGAGTTTCAAGAAAGAAGAAGGTAAGATATCATGCTGTCCTCATCATGCCTCTGATGAAACAGTATGCAGCACACTGTTGAACTGGGAAAATGGAGTATACCTGTGAGGGAGAAAATCCTTTTAACTGTTCTACTGCAGCAGATTAATGGATCCCTTGGCGCCGAGCTCAGGCGTTCTTGTTTCTACGGCTTTGCATCTGTAAGGTAGTCTTCTTCTTTCCTGTCATCCGGGATCTGCAACTCTGGTCGATTGCCTTGTCAGGACGTCTGTAGCATCGGCAATAGTTCCTGAATAGTTCGATCATTCCGTTAGCGGTCCGCCTACAAAGAAAATCCCTAGGGAGCAGATTATAATTCGGAATAAATCCGATTCAATAATTTCCAAGCAGGACGGGGCGGATATTTACTCAAGATCAGTATATACGAAGATATCGCCTCCGGAATCTGCTTCGTAGATAATCATGGCGAAGAACCACCAGATCTCGCTCTCAGTTATCCAATATCGCCGTTCCAAAGCCGTCTTCCATCCCACTGTTCTTCCGATCGATCGCTGCCACCCGTCGCCATCTCAAAGAGACGTCTCGATGACAGAAGAAAAACAGTAGGTGCGAGGTCCCCACGCGAAGCGGAAGAACGGATGCGGCGATTGCCCCAGATAAAAAGCGAAAACGCCAGAGATCCCTGCGCTCCTTCCGAAATGCGAACCATAAGAGAGAGCAACTCAAAGAGACGTCTCCATGACCAAGCTTACCGTCTCCTTGAACTTTTGTACTGCCGCCGCGGCCTGATTCCAGACGCCGGTCGCCGCCGCCGCCACCTCCCATCGTCTTCCTTCTTCTCCCTCCCCTTCCCCACCATTCAAACCAGAGCTGGGGAACGACTCTGTGCCAAGCATCTCGAGCGGGAAAGAATCCCCGGCGGGTGCTTCTCTGATTGGGAATTATCAACCGTCCGATCAATGGGCCCACCAAGTGGTCCCACGCTGCTCCATTGACGTAAGCTATCCCATCTTGTCATTATACTTTGCTGAGCGTCACGACAAATCGCCAAAGTCGGAATCTGGTACAAATCACTACGCACGAGACGAGTACGTGCAACTGAATACAGAGGCGGGGGCCCAATTAGGCCCAGGCCTGGTATTTATAGGGGCCCAGCCCGGTATAATTTTTCATATTTTAATTAATTTTAAACGTAAGAAACCAAAAGTGGAGTTATAAATTTTGGCAAGAATCGGATTCGGGACAGATCTGGGGAAGATCGCGAGTCAACGGTGTTTGATCCGGTGAGGAATCGTGTTCCGGCCGTGCGACTGGCACGTGCGTTTCCCATCGCCGTGCCCTCGTGGCCGTCGGATTTATCTTTCCTTCTTATTCCAGAAGGTCTGGATCGAGGAACTACTAAGAGCTCCGTCGTCTTCTACCTCCGACCCCACAACCACCAGCATCTCTCTCTCCTCTCTCTTTCTCTCTCTCTCTCTTTAACTCGCGCGCTGTCTCTCGCCATCACTCTCTAACTCTAGCTCGCTGGTTCTGGTTTTATCTCTGTATTTGTCTCCATTGGTAAACTTTTGTGAGCTCGTGCGTCCTGTGTCGATGCAGCTGGCGGTGAAGCGAAATGGTAAAGAAACAGCAGTACTCCTCTCCTCCTCTCTCCGCTTGTCTGGCTGTCTCTCTCTATATATCTGTGTTTTTGGCATAATCTTCACTATAAATGTCCGGTTGTTTCGCTGCTTCGTCTGCTGGAGCCAGCCCTTCATTGGAGTGTTGGGGACGGGAGAGGGACCGGAAGAGGTTGGGGAGAGGAGTGGTGGGGGAGGAGACGGGACCTGGCCGGAATCTAAGGGCAGCCGGAAGTGTGTGGGCTCTCGGCCGACGACGGGATGACGTCAGAGAACATGTCTCCCGGCAGTTACATGGCTTACTCCCCGTCGCCCTCCGCCCCCCACTCTCCTCACATCTCCAGCATCCGGTCCGTTGTCAGCGCCTTGGTTGAGCAGGAGAAGTACGATCCGCCATCCGCTTGTCGAATCCCGGGGACTCGAGTTCGTTTCTTCACGAAAAGTTTAGTCTGTCGTAATGAAAAATGGCGTAGTTTTCTCTTCTTAGATTGGTCCATACAATCCGATCCCCCTGAAAGCATCATGGCAATGCTCTGTCGCGCGTTTCGTTTATGGATTCCGATTTTTCTTCCCCTTTCCGCATCGGGGCCAGGATCTTGACATGATCGCTGAGATATTTTCTGGTTTCTGGTCTTTGGTGTTTCTTCAATAGTAATCTCTCCGTCTGAGAGTGCGTGGTCCCCAGTGTTGGCATTCCAGGGTGTCTGAATTGATTCACGGCTGCTTGTAGTATATGATATCGATGTGGCAGTATCCACATTTTCACCATAGCTTCCTAGATTCTGAACATGCTTTTTCCGTTTCTTGCGCATTCTTCTTTGGTGCTTTCTTGTTTCAGTTAAGTAGGATTCAAAAAAAATTCTTTTGGGGTCTTAGTTTCTACCTTCTTCGATCGGAGGCTTCTCTTGAGTGTCGCAAAATTAGGATAATATATCGGTAACCAAGGTTGAATCGTGCTTGAAGGTATTTGTCAACGCTGCTGGCAGAACGTCACAAGCTCGGCCCTTTTGTACCTGTGCTACCGAACTGCTATCAACTGCTGAACCAAGGTGAGTCATCATCTTTCATCTCCCGAGATTGGAGATGCGTGGAAATGTTGTGAAGTCTGGTTTCGAAGAATTCTTTCTGTTTTTCATAGTATTCCGGTCTGTCTGTTGGATCGCAGATTATCTTCATTTAGCACTCTCTTTTCTAGCGATTTGTTACTGGAACAGTTTTTGTCAGGCTTAATGTTTTGGTCGTGAAGTATGTATGTGCCTGTGACTGTGCTGGTTTCATCGAATTTTATGAGATAAAATACCCTGGAAAACGATGAAAAAAATGAACTCAGGAGCTTGAAATGTACTTAAACGGTGGTGCTAATAGAAGGGAAAGTGTTTATCTTTGGGCCTACATCCATTCTTAAATGACTAATTCGATAGTTTCTCTTGAACCACGTGGCTACTCATGGTTTGGGGTGATGCAGGCTGAGTCTTTGAGTAGGTTACACAATTCTAGAAGAAAGTAATTCCCGGAGATAATTTAGAAATGATATTGTCGTACATTCAGACATCAGTAAAGACTGTTGTAATTAAAGCGGCGGTCTTTAATGATGCATGAAAGTATGACAATGCCTTTACTAAACGGATTGTTCTCCTCTGTCCTCCCCCCCCCCCCCTCTCTCTCTCTCTCTCGCTTGTTCGCTTGCTCTGTCTATCTCTATGCGTATGTAGTCTGCTTATACATTGTGCGTTTGCTGCAGCTAGTTAGATCCAAAAGATGAACATTATTTTGCTATGCTGGCGTTTTTTCTATCACACACGATTCCTTGTTCAATACGTGCAAGCCACCATCATGAATCGAACATCGTTTCGTTGATATTGCCAGATATTATACATTAATCAATGGATAGCCGTTCCTTTGGTAAAAAATGGCGGCAATTATCAAATTATTCTTCTTCTATAACTCGTCCCACAGTCCAGGTGAGAAGATTTGGCATGCAAATCTGAGGTACAGAAAACATGCCGAAATTCATAAGGCAGCAGTTAAAATGTATCCATCCTTATCTCAAGTGATCATTTATCAGTACTAAAATAAAACAATAATGCAACTGCCCTGTTACTCTATTTCCGGTTTTCATCAGCTTTTACCACAACTGATCATGCTTCTGTCAAATTGTAAAATCTTGGGAGGAAAAGCAACTCCCTTAACCGGTGTAAGAATGTTGCAGCTTGAATGTAGCAGTCTTAATCAGAAATTTACAGTTATTCACAGTTAGGTGAAGGTAGGTGACCGGCCCCAGAGATCTCTGTGTTCTTTGGAACACGGGTGGAAATTGGTGGGTCCGATGGTCTCTGATTCACCAAAGAGAGTTTGAGAAAAGGGTTCGATTCCAAATTGACAGGGATGAGAACAAGTTTTGGTCGGTTCTGTTACAGTTCTGTCCAACAGCCTATAACATAGTCAAGGGTGAAATTATTGATAGGATTTGTAACTTGTGGGAAACTCGTCACTTTCCGTTCTTAAGTGGTCCCACATTAGAGGTTCACATAACAAAGCATTGGACTTTGATCGAGAGGCTAGTGATTGACCAAGCTGTTTCTAATGATGCAAAGAATTAACTGAGGTTGGCTGACTTTGATTGAAGTGTAACGACTGTTTATAGCTGTCTAGTTGTGATGATAATACGAGTCTGCTTATCTTTAAATAGATTATTCCTAATGCATGAATTTGTTTTTTGGAACTGAGCAAGAATACATTTAGGACGCTGAATACAATGATGACATTTGCCCGTCCTTCTGATCGCCTAGGTTTCCTAGTCCATTCCAGAGAAACTATGTCATGTAATTCTTAGATTTCTGCAAGAACGAATTTAATAATCAGGTAATACGAGTAACAGAACCGAAATTTGAGTGGAAAGAACAAATTATACAAATAGATTTCCTTGTGCTTGCTCTATTAACTCAGTTTCTTAGCGTTTTCTATCCATCTTGTGCTTTATTTGTATAGCCTGTTGCATTTCATTGGCCCTAATCCTTCGCAATTCTGTAATATTAGACATTTATATTTTTGTACGCTGCATTTCTTTGCAAATGATGTTATTTTGACTTAGCTTACTGTTCAATTATTGAGAGTTCATCTCAGGGCGTTGCCCATATTTTACCGACTAATTTATTAACTAATGCTAACTGGTGGATCTTATGCTTCTCACATGTAAATAACTGCTGACAGTTTCTCTTCTGCTTGAAATTGGCGTTTTGAACCAGAAATTTTGCGAGTAACTGCACTGTTGGGGAATGCCTCAATTTTAGATCAAAATGGACTTGAACATTGTAGTCCGATGACTACTGGAGGATTGTTTTCAAATGGAGCAGCTGACATGAATGGGTGGGCATCAGGATTTCAACCAGAAGTATGGATACTGACCATCAATTAACATGACTCTCTTTCCTCTAATTACTGGCTTCAAGAGTATTAACAGTCTTTCTTACACCTTTATGCTAACGTTAAGTAACATCTAGCTGTTTGCTTCAAATAGTGACTTCTCCCCCTTTCATGCTAACTTGAATCAAACAAGCCTTTGTATGTTTACTTTTTAAACCACATTCTCAGCAGTGATTTGACGTGGTGTCCTTCTGGACGCGACATATCTGACGTAATTGCTTTTGTTTTCGGTTGCTCTGGTCATAGAGATACCATCTATTGTCTTATCCCAGGTCCTATCATCATTCTTTATTTTGTGTGCATCATCAATAATTTCATTTTTTGCATAGTGACAAGATGAAGCTTTTTCGATCACTTATTTTCACGTTAAGTTAATTAACTTATCATTTATCTGGGTTATTATTTCACTTTTCTGTGCCTTCATTATCAAGAAGTTAATCTCACCATGCTAACTTTACAACACTCGAGGCTGATAAACTTGTTCTAACTGAAATTGGGGGTTCATGATGTAGTACAGCGACTCTATTTTGGCATGTCATTAAAATGTTCATGGCCCCACAATCGGCTCTCTTATAGTATTTGGATTTATACTATTCTCAAATGGCTTAGAAAACAATCATCTATGTTCCAGTCATGATTTTCTTATGTTCTATTTCCTTGGTACAAGTTTCCCAGGCATACACATACAGAAGTTCACATATTTTTCGTTTTTTTTATCGTCTCCATCTTTTAGCAACTTCCACTTTTAATACATTGACGGGAAAACACGCAGAGGTTGGGATTACTACACCCGCCCTCATCACCACATGGACGGCTCGGATCGAAAGGTAGTTCTTCTGGTCTCATCGTCAAGAAGACCATCAGGGTGGACATCCCTGTGGAAAAGTACCCTACTGTAAGCTTGCCTCCTGCTTTATTCTGGTCTTCGTCCTTAGATTCAACCCTTGTGCTCCTTTCAGTAATCCTCTACAGCGTCTTCACGTTCAGTACAATTTCGTGGGGCGACTTCTTGGCCCGAGGGGGAACTCTCTGAAGAGATTAGAAGCGAACACTGAATGCCGTGTGTTGATCAGAGGAAGGGGAAGCATCAAGGACCAGGCCAGGGTAACGGTGCTTCTATTCTTTTCCTCCTTTTATACCTGTGTGCTATACTCATTCTGCAGTGTTGCTTCCGAGATCATGTTGTTTACATCCCTTTCCCTAATATTTTAATGAGACATTTGGACGTGAACCAGCCTGAACGCTCACTACTCACGAACCAGGAATGTGTCATTAAAATCAATATTAGTGAAAACTTCCATTATAGTCCCATTTGATGAAGCTTGGAGCTCCAAAGAGCGATTAAAACTCACTGCTCTGGCAAGGGGCTGCTGCCATCAATGGGAGATAGAACCAGATATTTTCTAATGGGAGAGCAACTCCCCCCCACTCCCCCAAAGCACACACGCTCGCACTCAGAGGATTCCATTACATGTCTAATCTGAGGCTTGCAACTTTTCCAATCTTAGTATTTCAATGAAGGTGGAGCACCTGGACACTGGAGGTGCTCGTCAATCCTGCAGGAATTGTGTACCGAGGTGGGTCAACCTTCTTAGGGAGGTGAAAACTTTTCTATATCACGCGTTCGTTGATTCTTGATGGACGTGCCCAGTGGGTCATCATCCCTCGCTCGCCCTCTGAATTCAGCTTCTGCGCAGTCAGTGGAAGCTCCATGCTTCTCTAGATGAATATTTTTCTAATATCCAAGTCAGAGAAACTTTTAATTGCTCATAAATACCTCTGTGTCGAAGCATCATCATATGTGATCCTGAGCATGCGAATCTGACGCGTTTGCTTTTCTGTAATTTCCCATTCATTAAATATAATTCGATGATTTGTTCTTATGTTTTGATGTAATTTCTCTGGCAGGAGGAAATGATGAGAGGAAAACCAGGCTACGAGCACCTGAACGAGCCTCTTCACATTCTCGTGGAGGCGGAGCTTCCGGTCGAGATCATTGACGCCCGCCTGATGCAGGCCCGCGAAATCCTCGAAGGCCTACTGAAGCCAATGGTATTGTTCTCCATAACCTGCCCTCTCTCTCTCTCTCTCTCTCTCTCTCTCTCTCTCTCTCTCTCAGCTGCACATAACCCAGCATTATCTTTGAAACTACAGGAGGAATCTCATGATTTCTTTAAGAAGCAGCAACTCCGGGAGCTGGCCATTCTGAATGGCACTCTCAGGGACGAGGGGTCCAACGTGTCCGGCTCCCTCTCGCCCTTCAACAACAGCCTCGGCATGAAGAGGGCAAAGACAAGGGGGTAGTCTGGGAACTTTCAAGTGCTGAGTTCTTCTGAATTCTCCCCCCTTCATGTGCTGGCCTGGCCTTGACGATGGCAACAGTGGGGTTGTGGGGTTGGGAAGCTCTGCCCATGCCCCGCCGCTCCGCTTGTTCTAATTAAGCTGTGGAGGGAAGGTGCCTAGCGGGATCCCTGTAAGTTGTATGTGCCTGGGTGAGTCGTTAAACAGATTTGTGTTTTCTGTATTATCTTAATCTGATGATCTTGATTGTGATTACGAGCTCTCTCTCTCTCTCTCTCTCTCTCTCTCTCTAGCTAAAGACTGGCAAATAAACCCAATTCGTTGCTTGATGCGGGATAAGTCAACTAATATTTGGACACCGGATGACGGCTCTGGTCAAACTTGGAAAATTCTTGGAATTTATCTCAAATAATGTGGCCTGTCTAAAACTATTAAAGTATTGGGAAAGAAAACGGAAGTGTATAGCAACCATCGATTTTAACAAACCGACTTTATAGCTTGGATTTAACTATTTTTTATAAACAAAAATCAAAATTACAGTGATTCGCTTATGCTTAATCAATATTTTGAAACGTTTTTGCTAATAAAAGGCACCGATTTCTCAATAATATTAATATACAATAAAATAATATCCTTACCTATGAAGAAAAAACTTGCTAGTAATGATACTGGATGCCCAACTGAAGGGGCTTCAAACGAAGCCAAGAAGGGTTTTTGGAGAGCCTCAACGGGTTTAGTGATAATTGACCTAGTTTAGCGATGAACCCATAACCAAAAACTGACAAAAATAAAGATATCAAGGCGATACATCAGCTGCTAGTTATGAGAAAATGCTAATATGAAGCATTGCTTATAATCCACAGAACATCAAAACACCACTTAAGATGAGCATTAAAGAACTCAGTAACCCAGAATCTGGTCTGCGGCTGTATCCCTCATTCTTCATCTATCTTCCTCTACCTGGTGGTGGATGCATTCATAGGGACGAGCTGGGATGAGGCTATGCAATGGAGATCTGGCCCCATTGGGTCCCCTGGGCAAGAGAGAGAGAAGGTCGAATTCCAAAGAACTCGCAGCAGAATGAAAAACTGGATCAACATCTCTCAACTTAATCTTCTCCGAGAGATGATCCCTTTCATATTTCTTGTACTGGCCAAGAACTTGAAGGTCATGCCTGACATAAGGAAGCATGAAAATTCCTCTTTCGCCAGGGAATCTACTCCAAGTCAAGAAAATGTTCCACGGCTCATAATGGCTCACATAAACATGCCCTTAATGAACACTCATGAAAGATAAAGTCAACCCCAAGTAAACCCACTTAAAGGGTAGGTGTGCAGAGATGGGACAAGGAGCATGGACTGGGTAAGAATGGGCCTCCCATTCTCGTTTTAACTTGCATCTGTAATAAACCTTGGCAGATGATTCATTATTCTTCATCCGCCACATATGAAACAAATATTCATCCACATATCTCATGGGCAGCATCAGAGGATCACTGGGCACTCATCTACTCAGAATATTCTGCTTGATTTTTTATCCGGCTTTTCCATTTTTTTAGACCTCTTTCAATCACAGTATAACATAGAGCATGCGTAGATCCAATAACATATATACATTCAAATATTAGAGCACAACTTTGCAGAGTGGATTAGATGTCGAATGCTCAAGATCGTAACTGCAAGGTATCTCCAATGAAGGAACTACTCTCGTGCATCCCAACAGGTGACGGAAAAAAGAAAGGGTACGCAGAAAGCTAGAGTCTTTGAGCACATTCAGTGTTCCAAACACACACCAATCGACCAATTCGGTAATGAATCTTGAAAATGGGAGCCAATTTCAAGGAACTCGGTTTTTATTGCCGGCAAGGAGGTTCCTATGGTGGAAAGATGTGAAGGGTATGCATCACACGCTATGGTTCATGCCCTTTTGTTGTCGGCGAATTGAAGAAGCTGCCATTCTCCGCAGTTCATATCATTCAGACAAATGAAGAGTCATCAGAGAAGAAAAATAAGACCTCCACACAGATGCCCACAACCTTATATACCATAATTTGGAGCACAGCATCAGATACAGAGAAGGGAAACATCCAATACCAAGTTCATCATCATAACAACTGTAATTTCCGCCTGCCTCCAAGCTAGGAAGAAAAGGGAAAAAAAGAAGAAAGTAGTGAAGACCAGATCGAGAGCCATACTCACCAGCTCGGATGGGCAGCGGAGTGCCGCGCATGGGCAGCTATTGCTGGACATAGTAGTAGGAGAGGGGATCCCCGGCGGGGGGCCCGTAGTTTGGGGGAATACCGTCCTCGCGGACGTCCTCCCGGGGGACGATGTCAACCAGGAAATCGAAGATGTCGGTGCGCGTAATGGCGGCGCCGATGTCGTTCTTCTGGAGAGTCCGGCGCTTGTTCTCCTCGGCGTGCGCCCAGGAACGGTGGGTGAGCTCGAGGATGAACATCTCGCAGGCGCGGGCGAACACAACGGGGGCCTCAGCGGCGATCATACGAACGTCCTCGTCTGCCTTCATGATCTTCTTGATGCGAGCCAGCGGAAGGCTGTTGTTCTTGAAGTCGGTGGTCTGCTCGATCTCCCTGCACTGATCCGCCCAGAACATCTGCAGCTGGTGCTGGTGCTGGTGCTGCTGCGGCTGCTGGTAAGCCTGCTGGTACGCGCCGTAGGGCGGCGGCGCCCCCCCATACGGCACCCCCATGGCCGGGTGGCTCACGTGGTCCTGCTCCATTGTCTCCGTCGGATGATGGGAGGCTACCAGACAAAGAAGAACACGCCCATCGAAGTTAAGGACAAATGGAAGATCTCGGGGATAGATCGGGCGCGAGGGGCGGCTCGATCCTCACCAGCTCCGAGAGCGGGGAGGGGGGGGAAGAAGGGGACCGACGCGACTGGAGATTTCGCCCTGCGGTGGAGATCGAGACTTCCAAGTGTTAGAATCCCGCCGGCAACAGATGGAGATCATCAGCCGGGCAGATCAGAAACCGCAGAAAACCCACAAGACAGGAAGAAATCGTCGCAGCTCGGAGGAGATTTACCCTCGGAGAGAATCCACTTCGGGTGGCGGAGAGCAGCTGCCGGCGGAAAACAAGCCCCTTCCTCCCCCGGCTTTTAGGGAACGCCGTTGAAGGATGCGAGCGCCTGCTGCGCCTGGGCCTCCTGGGCCTGTGGCCATAATTCAAGGCCCATACATCGAAAATGGGCTCAGGCTCAGTCACTGTCCATCACCCCACTTATCGGTGGCCCATTTGGCCAAATTATTACCAATTAATGAATGCTCTATATAAAAGATTATATTTTTGTGTTTATAAATTAATTTTTATTGAAAAATTATTTAAAATAAAACACGGCGGATTGTAAATCGCCAGATATTGGCGCAATCCCTGGTCGGTGGAGCGCGAAGACCGCATGGTCAGGTTAGCAAACTACTGACGAGGCCCTGAACTGAGCCCACGAGCGCCACCGCGGAGACCAGGAAGCAGGCGAGACTGAAGCTCCGCAGGCCCACCCACCTCCCCGTCCAAGCCCTCGTCTTCCTCTGCGCCAAGCTCATCTCCACCGGGAAGTACACCATCAGCGGCCAGAAGCAGAAAGCCCCCGTCACCGCAAGGAACTCGTTGAAGTACGGGAAGACCATCGCCGCCACCGTAGTCAACGCTACGTAAGCCGTCCGAAGGCAGACCCTGAGAAGATTCACCCTGCAGAATGGCCCAGTGGCCTCTCCGCCGCCGCAGGGGAAGTACTCTCTCAACGACCTCTCCGCGAATTCGAACACCGGCTGGCTGTAGATCTGCGAGCGCCGGCGAGTCAACCCAAGTAGTCTGCTTGTTTTGATTAATATGGAGAGAAAAAAACTATGTTTTTATGATTTTTTTTCCCTTACTTGGTATGCTCCTACAAGGTGGAGTATGACGCAGGCGTTGGCGAAGTCAACGAGCCAGTAGGGCTCGTAGAAGCCGAACCCGGTCAAGAGGTTCCCGGGCGTGCTGCTCCCGAACGCGGCGTACCCGAAGGTCCCACAGCAGAAGTAGAAGAAGGTAATGATGAGGATGGAGATGGCGGAAGCCTTCTTCATGGTCTGGTTCTCTGGTGGAGGCGACTGGAGTGTATCCTGCATGTGGCAATACAGAGAGAGAGAGAGAGAGAGAGTCAACAACATAATATGATGCCTAGTTTAGAAAAGCTAGCTATTATTAGTAGAATTAGTTTCAATAGTCAATCATAATATGGGATGGATAATCTTGAATTATTGAAAGTGATACGAGAAGGAAGGAAGGATCGGGTCTTTCCTCTATCTCTAAAAGGATGGCGGAGAAGGGGTAGGCGAAGGCAATGTCTCCAAGGGCTTGGCCTATTCTCCAGACTTTCTCCGCCGCCGTGCCTTCGGCGGCGCCGCCTATGCTGCCCTTGATGGTTCCATTCTCTAGGGTTCTCGACAAAAAAAGGAAACTATGCTCAGAGTTGGGACACACCACATCTGCAACTAGCCTCATCTCCTCCCCGTTCCAACCAGCAGAAACTCCAGAAAATATCTTAAATAAGAATAGGAACCCTAGTTTTAGTAAGTTTTAATAAGACAACGGAGGCATTACCTAGTACTTTAGCGAGCGAGAGGGAGAACCCAATGGAAGAGTAGGAGAAAGACATGGCAGCAGCGACGATGGATAGCCACGCCATGTTGTGGAAGTCGGGTATCTGAGAGAGTACGACTTGAACAGCTCCAAAGATCAGCATGTAGGACCGATCGCCATACTCGCAGAGAGCGCCATGGCCTTCTCTGTGGTAACAGTTTGATTTCAGGATCGCCCTGCAGTGATTGTTGGGAGGTTTTTAATCTGTGAAGAGCCGAGGATCCGAAGAACCCCACAGGAGAAGTCCACAGGACAAACCTGGGTTTGTGGAAGTGGAGAGGGAGGGAGAGAGAGAGAGACAGACAGACAGACATAGATGTTGGGAGGGATGATACCTCATACTGGCTGCAGTAGCGATGGTGTACGCAACGTCGGCTCCGTACAGGCCCAGGTATTGGAGGAACCCGCAAACCCATCTCTGCTTCTCACCTGAGCTCCGAACACACCACGTTAGAGAAGAGAGAGAGAGAGATAGAGGGCGAGTGTCAGCAAGCTCAGCTTCTGGGCCGTCCAGCCATTAGTAAAAGGCCGATGATGGCGGCTGTTGGTTGCACCGGTGTCCCATCCGACACTCCGTCATTTTATTTATTTTTTCGAAAATAATTTCCACCTTCAAATCCTATTTATTATGCTCCATTGGAAACTACATCACTTTAAATATTTGTTAAAAAACCTTTTACGAACTAAATATAGCAAGCAATAAACGGTTGCAAAAAGAAACATTTTTTTTTCCAAATGGTATGTCATGAGGTTTTGTCGTCACCTAAGTTGGACCCCACAGCTTCCATGTACGTCCGATTCCTGTGGGGCCCCCAGTCGGGGTCTGGCGACCGGTAGCAGTCGGCGAGGAGGAAGGACTGGAGGAGCGTGGACGCTCCGAAGAGCAGCAGGCAGAGAGGCCCCGCCCCCCATCCCAGCTGCGCCGTGCTCCAAGCAAGAGTCAGCACGCCGGAGCCCACGACCGCCGTGATGATGTGTGCAACGCCGGTCCAGAGCGTCCCTGCGGCGGCGGAAAGGCTGAACAGCGGCCGCGGGGGGAGTAAACCCGGAAGAAACGCCGGCCGATGTTGAGGACAGGGCAGGAGGACGAAAACGGCGAGAACAGAGAAAGTTCCAAACCTGTTCTTCGGAATCGGTTATCGCCGGAGAGGTCGTCGCCGGAGAAGTCCCTGCCGGACGACGGGGGCGACTCCGAGAGCAGCTGGTCCTTCTCATCTCCTCCTCCCCCGAAGCCGCCGCCGTCGCCACTGCCGCCCATGGGAGCGAGAGGTTATCGAGTCAATCAGTGGGAGGAATGGAAGGTAACTTTAGCTATCTCAACGACGACGAGAGGGGCTGATCGCCCAAATAAATTTGTATTGTGCATTTATTATCTAATAGTAATGATTATAATACCATTACTGTGGCACGAGGTTGCGAGGAAGATGGGAGCGCCAAATTGTTGACTGTCAGTTGCCCAGTTGGTGTCATAACCGCACGTTTTTGTAACTCAACCTAGAAGTGGAACTAATAAATTTTGAGAAATTAACAACTTAAAAATATACTTATTCTACCACATGACCATCCTTCACTAGAAGGGAAAATAAAATAATTTCTCGGCAGTAAAACCTTGCGATTTCCTTCACCGACAGACCGCCTCTCTAAATCGTGTACACTTTCAAGTATCATGAGCATCAAATGGGTCGCATTCTTGTTGACTTTCTGGAGTAGAGAAGCCCATTCAGCTTAGAGTCATACAATCAGCGGCTCTCATGCTACCAAAGGAATCTCTCAGATGTGCCAGACGCAGTTCTGGGCAGGATCTTATCACGGTGGAATTTTGCCGCCCTAGTTTGCCGTCCCTCCACTGGTGCTTGAAGACCCTGCAGAGCTTCACGTCATGGCCAAAGGGCCCAACATGCACTTGGCTGTAGTGCTCGCAGGACAAGATGGTACAATTTTTCATTAGGTGCCTCAGGGGTTCCTTAGTGAGCTTGCCTAGCCGAGTTGTCGGCTATGAGGGTATTCTTGGCAAGTCACCATTGATTGAGCTCTAGATGGCAGTAATGCAACATGAGTTTTGTGACGTTCAAATCCCATCATTAAATCCACAAGAAATATAATATTTGCCTTGATCAACATAATGAAGAAATTCAACACTGAAATTAACAAGGATTTGATCTTGAGTCCACAAAATCAAAAAATATTCTTTTGAATATAAAAGGTGTTAGAATTCACTAGCAAAGGGTTAGAACCTCAAAAGAAGAAACATTTTGTGCAATTTGATTAAATATCTCTTGGAGTATAATAAGGGTCTTTAAATAAGCCGAAATTCCTCTAAATCATTTTGAAAAAGGTTATATTAGAATGACCCTACGACAAAGAGAGATTGTTAGAACTCTCCTAAGAAAAGAGGGGGGATCAATTAGAACATCCCTAAGAAAAAAGAGGGATTATATTGTTAGGTCATGTTGATGCCCTTGCTTTTTATAATTCAAAAATAAATTTTATTGATAAACTATTATCTACTATGAATAACTTTTATATATGTTACTTATATATATAATTAATATTTACTATATTTAATAAATTCGTTATATCAAATTTTATTAAATAATTATGATCTTATTATTAAAAAATAAAAAAAAGAATTAAATCCTTGAAATTAAGTGGTTTTATAACTCAAAAATATTTGAAAATAAAAGATCATTCATTGAAGATACATTTAGAAAAAAAAGGTTTAAGTATATGGTCACATGGTATGGGTCAACATGTACTAACACATTTACGAAGGTTAATTTTTTTTTTCAGATTATATATGAAGATCTAACCATATAGTTTCAGCTTTTAGCAATGATGTATGATATTAGGTAAGTTCTCTCAACTATCACATGCATTGAATTAGTAAGAGAACAAAAAAAATACATCAAAGTTTAAGTTTTAGAAAATGTTGAATCTGAATGAAAAATCTATTGAACCCATATTAGAAAATGATGTGAAAAACTTAAGTATCAAACATATGAGAATTATTCATCTGATTCAGACATGATTTGTAATGTTCATGATGATATAATGTTTGAAATAAGTCTAAAAAAAGGAAACTTGGGAAAGAAAATGCAGATATGGATACTAAATTAAAAAATCATAAATGATCATAAGTTGGAAAATAGAATATCTGATATGACATTATTCCATGATAAATTATATGGTAGTCAGAAGATATTAAATATATTAATTGGAGGTCAAAAATTATCTCTTAGGAAAGAAATTTTGATGCTTAGTCCTAGATCAGTTAAAATATATCATAAAAGTAAAATTCAATGCAAAACACAATATATATGGGCATCAAAGGTTGTATAGTTATACTTAAAAATGATTTCAATCCCTAAACTAAGAATTTCAATTATTTTTTTATTGATATTTTTGATAGACCACTTCATGGTGCTATTTGGAAAGTATGTGTTCAAGATATAATCAAAGATCAAGAATGATTGTTTTCGTTAAAATCAATAGATGAAAAAGAGGTAATATTTGGAGATAATAATAATAATAAAATACTTGGGAATGAAAATATTTGTTTGAAAGATCACACTTTAGTTAAAATGCTTTACTTTTTAATCGATTAAAACATAATCTGATAGTATAAGTTAATTAAAACATAAAAGTGGCATTTAAGAAAGCTAGATATCTTATATTAGATCATGCAAGTAATAAGGTAAGTTTTACTAGTAATAGAATAGATTATATTTATATCTTAGATCTCAAGGTAATGATCAGCATAAATATGTTTTATGTTTGGAAAGAATGAATAACAAATAGATATTTTTCAGAAAAATCTTGAACACGTGAATATTTTAAAAGTTAAAAGGTTATCAAAACTTGATTTATTTAGAAGTTTATTTAACTTTATGATCATAGAAAATTATACATGTGAGATTTGCATCAAAAGGAAATAAATTAGAAAAAAATTTAAACAAAGGAATACATCTCCACAACTGAACCTTTATACTTGATCTACTTAGATTTATTTAGTCAAAGTAAAATTATTAAGTTAAGAGTAAACTATTATGATTTAGTTATAGTTGATGATTATTCTAAAACACTTGGATACTTTTTTCAGTTCATAAGAATGAGAAATTATATTACTTTATAAAATTTACATAAAAAAATTAAAATAAACATGGTACAATAGTACAAAATAGTAGGAGTGATCATGAAGACAAATTTAAGAATTTAAATGTCTCTAAATTTTCTGATCAAAATCCTTATTCAAAACTTATTATTTTCTAGAGTGCATGGTAATGACCTTTGAGCCTTTCAATCTTTGAATCTCCTTATTCTCATGATCAAATTCATTCATATTTAAATTTAGGTTTATTAACTTGATAAAAAATAGTTGTTGTCTACATTGGATAAAATCCATCAAGTTTCTCTCCTCTTCTTGTCCATATAAGTAGATGATGTGTCACTATTGAGATGTTATCTTTGAAACTTAATGATCTGATCATTTATTTCATTTTCTTATTGATTTAATATGGGATATTTTAGGAAACTTGTCTCACATCATTTATACATGATAACCACTACATGATTGATAATTACAAGTAATAGTTTCATCTATGTATTAATATCTTGTATATAGATGATACTTAATAGGTAGGGAATATAATTATATGTGTTACTGACTTATTATGATATTTAGAATATTTTATCATTTAAGTCTTAATACATATTAATTTACTTATTTTATTTATATTATGAGACTAACCTCATTTGACTTTTATGAAGTCAAGTGGTGATTCTCTCACATTTTCTTAATAATTATTTGATTGTAAAGACTTAGGTGAGCTCTTATTATGAGTTAGAAGTAATAAAAAAAATTCAAACCTTTAATTCAATGAAAAAACTAAAGTCTTATGGAGAGCACCAACCTAATATGTTTATAGGCCCAAGAGATGATGTCATCTTAACCTAGTCTATTTGGACTTAAAAGGGCTATCAAGAGATGAGATCTAGGTCACCCATCTTAAAGTGTCTTAAAATAAGATTAAGAGAAGGATTAGAGCGCCGCCCTTATGAAATGATCTAGGTCGTCTATCAAGAGAGTATTAATAATCATAATCGTTTATTAGAGGGTTCTAACTCTTGAGAGGATTAAGACATTTCGTCCCTTTCTTAGAGGGTGCTTTTTGACTCTCTCTTTAGTAATGGTTAGTCGAAGAAAACAAGAAAGAAATCAAAGCCTAATCAATGACATTGTCATACTCAAGATTATTGTGGAGAAGAGAATACCTAGAGTGCATCAAAATCATCACGGATCATGTATCACTCGGCCTAAGATTGGCACACAATGAGATTTTTACAAGATCCAGATTTTGGGCGTCTTGTAATCCTCTCCATAAACAGATTAACTTTTAATTTAAACTAATTTTACCATTTATTTTATCATTCAATTGCATTAAATCTATTCTCTCCTCTTTGCCACATTTTTCATAACTCTTATCTTCACCCTTTTTACATTTAGTTTTGCCCTTCACAATCACAAGTATATATACATATATATATATATATATATATGAAATAAATAGGTAACATTCTTACTCTCATTAGCTATGCTCCTTGAAAATCGACCCTTACTTATCCTAAATAGAAGAGTGAGGTTTTATAAATATTATTTACATAAACTTAATTACATCACGATGATTTTAATTATTTAATCATACATTTTATCTTTCATTTCAAGATGATTTTTCAACTGATAATCTTTTAATCTCAACCATTCTCAAGGTAGAAAATCATTTAATCTTGTGAATTCGTACCTTAAATTTTATCATAAGTAATAATATCAAAATTATCTAATAAAAAAATCAATATAATAACTTTTTCACTGTATTCAATATTTGAAACATATAAGTACCACATATAAAGGATATAAATATTAGAAAATTTCTTATCAATAATTTTTTAATTTGTAATTATCAAAATCAAAGACATCAATAGAAGATTAGTCATGGTCCATGTAGATAGTAGAACAACATTCAACTTTATCTCAAGACAATTTTTTCACAAACATAAACTCTTGATCATATGATTTTGACATAATTTTGAGTGACAATCAAGACCAACGAAAAGATGAAAAGTATTATAATTCACTAGGACATCTTGTTGGAACTATAATCTGTTAAAACAATAGAAGATTTCCTACTTATCTCTTTGGGAAATGCTAACCTCATATTAGTATGAAATGAATTAATAATATGAAGAATATCAAATTAGATTTGGAGTAGAGGATTTTTCACTCTTGATAGACCATCAACTCATGGTCCTTCAATCTGATTTTCAGCCAGATAGGTAAAATATTTCCCCAAAAATGTTGTCAAAGACTATGAGCTTTTGATCAAATTTTGTCAACTCACATTGGAAGTCAATAGTTGACATTGAGCTATCTATTTCAGAAAAACCTTGAAATTATAGTTATGCGTATAGTTTTCCAAGAAGTTTGAGAAAATAGCAACTTCCACTGAAGAGAATGATCAACAACACCATTGTCTTAGAGGTCAACTCCAAGCCCATGTACGTGCCAGTGGATGCTACACCTAGGCCTGGGCCTGTGGTCACATTTCAAAGCCCATATAGCGTAAATGGGCACAAGCTCAGTTACAACCCATCAGCTCAATTATAGATGCCAATTTTGGCTCAATTTTTGAAATTTAATGAATGGGTTATATAAAAAATTATAAAAATTTAACGAAGTGAGGGTGAATTGATTTTTATTTCCTGAAGATTAGAAATAATGTATGACGGATCTAAATTGCCAAATATTGGAGAAATGCCGTGTCGGTGGAGTGCGAACAACATGAGGTTAGGTTATCAAACTGCTGATGGGGCCTGGAGAGAGCCCACGAACGCCACCGCGGAGACCAGGAAGCAGGCGAGGCTGAAGCTCCGCAGGGCCACCCACCTCCCCGTCCAAGCCCTCGTCTTCCTCTGGACCAAGCTCATCTCCACCGGGAAGTACACCATCAGCGGCCAGAAGCTGAAGGCCCCGGTCACCGCCAGGACCTCGTTGAAGTACGGGAAGACCATCGCCGCCATTGTAGTCAACGCCACGTAAGCCGTCCGAAGGCAGACCCTGAGAAGATTCACCCTGCAGAACGGCTGAGCCACTCCGCCGCCGCCCCCGCCGCCGCCGCCGCAGGAGAGGTTCTCTCCCAGCGATCTCTCCGCGAATCCGAATACAGGTTGGCTGTAGATCTGCGAGAAGGCCAACGAGTCAACGTACGTGATCCGCTAGTTTTGACTGATTTGGAGAGGAAAAGTCATGTTTTTATGATTTGCTTCCTGACTTGGTATGCTCCTACAAGGTGGAGTATGATGCAGGCGTTGGCGAAGTCAACGAGCCAGTAGGGCTCGTAGAAGCCGAACCCGGTCAAGAGGTTCCCCGGCGCGCTGCTCCCGAAGGCGGCGTATCCGAAGGTCCCACAGCAGAGGTAGAAGAAGGTGGTGATGAGGATGGAGATGGCGGAAGCCTTCTTCATGGTCTGGTTCTCTGGTGGAGGCGACTGGAGTGTATCCTGCATGTGGCAATACAGAGAGAGAGAGAGAGAGAGAGAGTCAACAACATAATATGATGCCTAGTTTAGAAAAGCTAGCTATTATTAGTAGAATTAGTTTCAATAGTCAATCATAATATGGGATGGATAATCTTGAATTATTGAAAGTGATACGAGAAGGAAGGAAGGATCGGGTCTTTCCTCTATCTCTAAAAGGATGGCGGAGAAGGGGTAGGCGAAGGCAATGTCTCCAAGGGCTTGGCCTATTCTCCAGACTTTCTCCGCCGCCGTGCCTTCGGCGGCGCCGCCTATGCTGCCCTTGATGGTTCCATTCTCTAGGGTTCGCGACAAAAAAAGGAAACTATGCTCAGAGTTGGGACACACCACATCTGCAACTAGCCTCATCTCCTCCCCGTTCCAACCAGCAGAAACTCCAGAAGATATCTTAAATAAGTATAGGAACCCTAGTTTTAGTAAGTTTTAGTAAGACAACGGAGGCATTACCCAGTACTTTAGCGAGAGAGAGGGAGAGCCCAATGGAGGAGTAGGAGAAAGACATAGCAGCGGCGACGATGGATAGCCACGCCATGTTGTGGAAGTCGGGTATCTGAGAGAGTACGACTTGAACAGCTCCAAAGATCAGCATGTAGGACCGATCGTCATACTCGCAGAGAGCATCATGGCCTTCTCTGTGGTAGCAGTTTGATTTCAGGATCGCCCTGCAGTGATTGTTGGGAGGTTTTTAATCTATGAAGAGCCGAGGATCCGAAGAACCCCCCGCAGGAGAAGTCCACAGGACCGACTTGGGTTTGTGGAAATGGAGAGGGAAGGGGAGAGAGAGAGAGAGAGAGAGAGAGAGAGACAGACAGACAGAGACAGAGAGAGAGATGTTGGAAGGGATGATACCTCACACTGGCTGCAGTAGCGATGGTGTACGCAACGCCGTTTCCGTACATGCCCACGTATTGGAGGAACCCGCAAATCCATCTCTGCTTCTCACCTGAGCTCCGAACACACACCACGTTAGAGAAGAGAGAGAGAGAGAGAGAGGGCGAGCGTCAGCGAGCTTAGCTTCTGTAGGAAAATATTTATTTTTTCGAAAATAATTTCCACTTTCAAATTCCATTTATTATCCTCTTTAGGAAAATATTTCATTTTAAATATTTATTAAAAAACTTTTTACGATCTAAAATATAGCAAGCAATAAACCGTTGCAAAAAGAAATATTTCTTTCCGAATGGTACGTCATGCGGTTTCGTCGTCACCTAAGTTGGACTTCACAGCTACCATGTACGTCCGATTCCTGTGGGGCCCCCAGTCGGGGTCCGGTGACCGGTAGCAGTCGGCGAGGAGGAAGGACAGGATGAGCATGGCCGCTCCGAAGAGCAGCAGGCAGAGAGGCCCCGCCGCCCATCCTAGCTGCGCCGTGCTCCAAGCCATAGTCAGAACGCCGGAGCCCACGACCGCCGTGATGATGTGCGCGACGCCGGTCCAGAGCGTCCCTGCGGCGGCGGAATGACGGAGGAAACGCCGGCCGGTGTTGAGGAAAGGGGAGGAGGACGAAAACGTCGAGAGCCAGAGAAAATTCCTAACCGGTTCTTCGGAATCGGTCATCGCCGGAGAAGTCGTCGTCGGAGAAGTCCCTGCCGAACGACGGGGGCGACTCCGAGAGCAGCCGGTCCTTCTCATCTCCTCCTCCGAAGCCGCCGCCGCCGCCGCTGCCGCCCATGGGAGCGAGACAATCAGTGGGAAAAATGGAAGGTAGATTCAGCTATCACAATGACGAGGACAGCGGCTGCCGCCCAAATAAATTAGTATTCTGCATATTATTATTTAATAGTAATGATTATAAGACTATTCCTGTGGCACGAGGTGGATGATGAGTGCACCAACAGGTCGACCGGGAGTCGCCCGGTTGCCGTCTTAACCAGACGTCTGTATAGCTCAACCAAGAGCTGGTACTAATTAATTTTGAGAAATTAACGACTTGAAAATACCCTTCTTCTAGCGCATGACCATCCGTTAGTTGAAGGAAAAAAAATAAAATCCCTGGGCAGTAAAACCTTGTACACTTTCAAGTATCATCAGCTTGAAATGGGTCATATTCTTGTTGACTTCCCGGAGGAGAGAAGCCCATTCAGCATAGAGTCAAACAGTCAACGGAACACTCACCTTCTCAAGCGACCAAGCGGGTCTCCTCAGAGTCCGGGATCACGATGTCGAGCCGCATCATTGGGCGGTAGGCCTCCGGGATGGCGGCGTCGGCTTGCACACACATCTCCACCACCGCCGGCGCCTTGCCGTAGAACCTCTTCAGCGCCGCCGTCAGTGGTGGCCCAACTGGGTCGCGGACGTGCCAGACGTAATTCGGGGGCAGGACCTCATCAATGGTGGCGTCCTGCCAGCCGTGCTTGCCGTCCCTCCACTGGTGCTTGAACGCCCCGCAGAGTTTCACGTCATGGCCGAAGGGTCCAACATGCACCTCGCTGCAGTACCCGCAGCACTTGACGGTGTACTTTCTCATCAGCTGCCTCAGGCCCCTCCTCACTGAGCTGTAGGCCTTGAGGGTCCTCTCGGCGAGCCGCTGCCGATCGGTCTCGGGAGGGCAGTCAGCAGTGGGCGGCCCGAAGGTGTCGAGCTCTGACAGAAGGGCCATGGAGTCTTCTTCTCTGGAGCGGTATGGCTGTGGGTCCTCAACATGGCCGCCATGGTCGATGACCTTCTTTCCCATCATTCGAATGGGCTGGGTTCTCCGGCGAGAAGGGTACTCCGGGATGTCGACCCCTGCCTGGATGCAGAGCTCCACGATGGCCGGAATTCTGTCGTAGTCGAACCGGTGCTCGTGCTTGATGCGGCGGCCGAAAGGGTCGAAGACATGATAGGACTCGATGGGGAGGAGGACGTCGTTGATGGAGCCTCTCACCCATGAGTGCAGGCTCCTCCGCTGTCCATTTCCAGAACCAAGACAGTCAGGGATTTGGTGCCCAACCAGGCCGACATGGACTTCAGAGCAGTATCTAACAAAAATACCAGGAAACTAGTGAGTCAACTGCCTCGCCGCCAGGCAATTTTTATCTCAGAACTTGAACAATTTAAAAAAAAAGTCAAAAGATCACTCATCCATAGTTTGTAAGATGCAACATAGCAGATGGCTTTCATGACAAATGTTTATCAAGTATTTTTGTAGTAACCTTTGGATTTTTTTCGATCAGGGTATGCAAAAAATTACTAAATGTAGAAAGTGGAGATGATTAAAATTATCTGAATTAGTGCCTCATGTTCATACCTGCAGCCATAGATGGGAACAAAATTGAGCAGCTGCTTGAGGCCTCTGACGAGCTCTTTCCACTGGTCCAGCACCTCATAAGCAACAGGAACAAGGTCGGGAACCAGCAATCCATTCTTCGGGGGCTCAAGTGGCCTTTCTATTCCCATCTGCCCCTGTTTCCTGATCTCCTTTGCCGCACGCTGCATCTTCTTGAGAGGAACCGGGAAAGGTTTCTTCTTACCCTTTGGCTGAAGAGGGGGGAGGTCCACATTCTGCAGATTTCTCTCCCACCTCTTGGATGGCGAAGGCAGAGAGGAAGCCTGAATAACGCGATTAGGGTTTTTGGGCATCGCCAACCTAGAATGATGCAGACGATGGCATCCAAGCTGAAGAAAATTAACAAAAGTCGTGAGACGATAGCACCACTGAATGGAGCAAAAATCTCATATTAAAATATCAACACAATATTTCGTTAAAACATGGGTTTCAAGAATGCAGCAATTTCTAATCATATTAATGATTAATGACAGAAAGAACGATTGGTTGGGCAAATCCCAGATGATTCTTCAGTATAAAGTGGGTGGGCAGCACCAGAAGCGAAGAGCATGAGAACAGGATGTGAAGCTCAGATGAAAACGAGCCTACTTAGATGGAAATAACCTAAGCAGGATGATTAGAAGGCAGATGATGCTAACTCTTGAATCCAGACGAATCACAAGCAAACTGCTTCCCTGAAGATATTTACCTCAGGAATTTCTCTCTCCGAACCTCTCATCTTATCTACCCATCGTTTTCAAGGCACAGAATCCATGCTGACCCTCTCATTGCCTGACAGCTGACTGCTTAACATCCTAATCATCGCATCCTACGCTCTTGAGAAGAACAACCCTTCCTGACTCACAGAACCTCTACAAATTCAGCCTGCCGTTTCGATGAGACTAAAAGAAAAAGAAGAAGAGAATATGACGGCCACAAGGATCATCTCGGCAAGCAAGTGACTACCGCAGTGGCCAAAGGAATTGGGGATTCCCAGTTGAGAAAACAAACGAGATCCCTGCATCCGGAGTAACATCCAAGAGAAGCAACACAAGACCATACAGTGGGATGTTCTCAGGCGCCGAAAACTACCTTGGATGAACCATTTGAACCCGCACCGAGGGTAAAACCGAGCCGAAGACCTACACGAGAAGGTTACTCAGGAACCACGACAAGGGAAGAAGATGAGACAGAAGAAACTCAGAGAGACGGCTAGATCTCTACCCTCTCGAGCGAGGGGCAATTCCATCGAAGCTCGACCGGTACGCCCAGCCTCCACAGAAATGGCGCCACCGACGGCGACGTAGAAGCTCCAAAGAGTCGCGAGATGGTGGTCTCCAGGGAGGGGTCTCATCCCCCTGTCAAGCCACAGTTGATGGCCACGTGGCGTATCTCATGACATCCATTGGATGAACCCATGGTCCATCCAACGGACGTATATGATCGGCATCGGAAATCGTCGGGCCATAAGTCAAAAGAGACCATGTGGCCCATTAAGAGTTAGATTCTCATGCCTACGCCTAGGCACGTGGCCCAAGGAGCACACGTACGCCGTGAAAAAAACAAAAGCGGTCAATTCAAAATATTAGAAAGGTCAAAGGGCAGGAAGGGCTCCGGGAGTCTCCAACTATCTCTAAAAATGCATTCCCGGAAGCTCTTCTTGGGGAATGATTTCATGAGAGAGGAGTCTAACGACCACGTCGGCAGAAGGGGAAACCAGTGCAGGAAGCTTCCAGATAGCGAACTAAGGGAATCACTGCGCAGCGGTGGCGCAATTTGGTGGGCCCAGACAGTGGAGGATGCCTACCAAGCACGTGTGGGGGGGCTTTGTGTGGCGCGATTTCCCAGGCGCCTTATGACCGTGGACAATATCTCATGGTCTATTGGCAGCCGCACGTGCCGATTTGACTTGATTTAGGAAATAGCGACTTAAATAAATAAATAAATAACTTTAAGTTTTAACTTTACGTCCTCTTAAATATTTATAATTACTAATATGTCTTTTTTGATTTTTATTACTTTCGTACTTTATTGACGCGATCGTTCAACAGGACACCGTCAGATCCACCCCCAAGTACCGGTTTAGGGACTCGTACGTAAACTTATAATTTATGGGGTTAGATTCAGTAACGTGTAATGTTTGAAAATAAATGGGTATATTTTTAAGGGTATATATGTAAAATAGACTGATAAATGTGGATTGGACAGGTTTTCTCTTCTCATTCGCGTTGGCTTCTTTTTGTTTGATGCGGGGTCTTCTGAAGTTGAATTCTTTATTGGTCCATCTCTTCTTCCCCTTTCTCCCCGGCGATTCTCGCTGGTCATCAGTGGCGCTCTCCTCCGTTCCTGGATTTGTGTGCTGGTGATCGGTAGAGATTGATTTGTGGCTAGGGGAGTGTCGGTGGCGGGGGATCTCAAGATCCGGGGTGTTGGGAGCTCGATATATGTGCTCGGTAATTATCACGTTCCGTTTTCATTTGTGGCTCGTCTGGGCATCCTGTTCCTGATCCTTTGTGCGATAAGCAGTGCTGCTCGGACTTTCCTCTCGTTTCTCCCTTCTCCGGCATTGTAAAAGCTGTATTGCTGTTGTTCGTTGGGAAATCATGGATTGACTTGTAACTAGTCATTTTTTAGTTTTTTCTCGTTTTCTAATGGCGTCGCGGTGAGTTTGTTCGCTTTGCGCTTCTTGCTCAGTTTTTATTTCTTGTACTTGTATTTTCGTTTATTATTTCAAATATTCCTGCAACTGTAGTCTGATTTTTTCTCCATGGTCGTAGAGCTTGTTACCTGATTCTCTTATCAACTGGGTAAATAGAAATGAAATGTCAAGTTCAGAAACCCAGGACCTGAAGCTGAATAGACTCAGTTTGGAATCCATGAGCTGTCGTTCAAGCTGCAAACGTCATTGTAGCAGCTCGTTGGGTTTCATCTGGAAGAAAATCATGTTTTTTCCCAAAAGGGTCCTAAGTAGAACATTTATGACGGCCCTTTAAAAGAATCTATGTTACCACTCTTCACGGGTTTTTCAAATTACTTTTGTGAAGGATAAGACGGTCGTCGCCTTTGCATTCCTTGTTATGAATCACTAACACGTGTTAATAAGCGTCATGATGAGGTGGCTATATTTATTCTTCTTGCCTACTTTGGGATCCTTTCCTCACTGTTTATTAGGCGATGCTGGGGCTGGATACGAGATATCTTCTTTTTCTGATTTCTTATCCATTCTTTTGGTTATTACTTTACTGTACCATTTTCAGTGACGATCATGGGAATATGTGATTTTCACATTTTATTGAATGCAGATCTCCCAAATTGCTGGTAAGTTGACTGATAGATGACATTTTGTGTTTTTCATGTTTCCTGACAGATATGACAAATGTATCAACCGAATCCTGCATCTAGACTTCACTTAACTCCCGGCAGTCAGGTTGTTCATGATCAGAATAGAGAAATGAGTGGAAACCCTGCAATTCCTGGCAATGGAGGGAGAAATCTCAACAATTCGACGTTAGCATCAAGGCAACGCTTGAGGTGGACACATGAGCTCCATGAGTGCTTTGTTGATGCTGTTTCCCAACTTGGTGGACCAGATAGTGAGTGGTTCCCAATTATATTTTTGCGACTCAGTTGATTTAATATGAATTCTCACATCTGGTATGAGTGCTTAATATTATAATTGTGTGCTTAAACAATGCAAAGAATTTGCAGCTATGACCCTTTTATCAACATAATTTGATGAGTTTCTATCATGAAAAAGCAACGAAGAAAAGCAGTAATGATAGGAAAGGACATATTGCCTTGTCTCCAGGCATTGCATTTTTTTGTTTGATTGTTGCTTGGGGACTGAGCGGTTACCGTGATAATTTTATTAAAGATCTGAGGATCACATCTTTTATAGACCACTGATTGTTTTTAGTCTGTTTTAAAATGTAATTAATGACTATGAAGTATTTTTTAATCTGATGCTGATGAAGTATTTTTTTGTCTTTTCACCGAATGACTAAATAACTCAGAAGTGAGATGTTGAGATATATGAAAGGCTGAATGTTCATTTTGCTGAGTGAGACCTATTGTCAATTCTGGTTTCTATTTCAGAATGTGGTCTCGACTACGCAATATTACCTAGTCTTATATGATGTGGCAGAGGTCTGTACGGAATGAAAATCATATCCTGAATCCATGAGGAACGAGATCCACAATTCTTGAGTTTGAAAGGATTGCTTTTAGCAAACCTTGAATCTACAGATAAAAAATGGGTCATTGGATTCACAGAGATAAAAAATATAAGATCCCTTGCATCTAAAAAGGTTTGCTTGGATCTACAAGCAGAGAGAAGGTGAAAAAGCTTTCCCGAGTGGAGAAAAAAAAAGGCCATCTCAGTCAACTGTGCTTGTCCCATGAAATAGGCTAAAAGTAGTTGTAGATCCCCAAAGTAACAGAATCAGAGAAGTAGCTCTCTAATAGTTAGCAATTTTGGCCCTATGGGTCTACCAAACAATATTATTCGTCTCTTCCTTGTTTTACCCCTTTTGGCACTTTGAGCTGTGCTTTTTGGCAGCTTCCGTGTCTTGCAAATTTGTTCCGCATCCTTATAAATTGTAACAATATGATCTGAGGATGACATCATTTGTTCCGCAAATTTATATGAAGATTCATCCTATAAATTAAAGCTTTGGTACCCATAAAAGTGACTACTCTATTGATGGCAATATAGTTGAATGTTGTGACATCAGAGTTCTCACAACTCATGCTGTGTGGTTAGATTCACCAAGTTATTCCCCTTAACAGGAGCTACACCTAAAGGCATCCTAAGAGTTATGGGTGTGAAGGGATTGACCATATACCATGTCAAAAGCCACTTACAGGTACAAATTTTGAACCTTGAAACATAATGAAGGCCTTTTTCTCATCCCCTTGTGATTATCAGTCTGTTCTCCAACTAATTTGTTACTTTACAATTTCAGAAATATCGGCTTGCAAAATATCTTCCTGAGTCTTCACCTGATGGTAGGCGGATATACTTTCATTATCTATGCTTCTTGGATTTGGGTAGATGTATATAAAATGGCAATTTCCGCCGTAATCCGCATGCAAATGCCTAGTCAAGCCTAAAAATTGTTTTCCGTTTTGCAGGCATAAAGGCAGAACAAAAGGAACCTGGGAGCCTGCTTTCTACCTTGGAAAACTCATCGTAAGTGTAATCACATTTACTTTTCAGTGTCAATTTAGATAAGTTCTATTACCATATTGAAAAATTGGTTACATCAATGCCATATGTGTTTGATCAAGTTTTGATTCAGTTCGGTAAAATTGTTTGGAGATTGAGATTATTGTGTTGTATAATCAATGACATCTTGATTAATGCGTTATGATTTTTGCTTGAAATTAAAGACCATATTTTACACTTAAGACTGTTTAGCTGCTTACAGATGGAAAAACGTTTGTTGCCGTAGTTGTTCTGCCATGCACGTTCATTTTCTTCACCATCTAAGATTTTTACCAGCATCTTTGTTGATCAATGGTAATGAACTAGCCGCCAACTCTTAGTGCTACTAGCTGCCAAATGTGGATGATCGTTTGGCAATTTCTACTCACTTGTCTATTCTGGTGTAAGTATTTTTTTAATATTTCCACCGGAATATCTTTCAACCAGTATCTAATTTTAGGCATGAAAGATACAAAACCCTGGAAAGCTAGCTGGCGGGTGATTGTATAACCTAAAATAGATACATATGTATAATTTCCGGTTTTTTCAGGAGAATTGCATCTGAGATTAAAAGCTTGAAGCATCCTTCGATCTCTTAGAAACTTATATTCTCCACATGCTACTGAATTTCTGCAGAAGATTGTTAAGATGTTGCTGTTCCCATGCTTTGATTGTGTGCTGTGATAAACAACTGTATCTGTGATCATGGTGCATCCGTTTCCTTCTGTTGTCAGTGGTATACAGATAACGGAAGCACTTAAGTTGCAGATGGAGGTACAGAAGCGTCTTCACGAACAGCTAGAGGCAAGTCACCCTCTTCCCAGTTTCTGCCCTGCACATCTTGCGTGGTGTTGAAAGTAACTTATGAGTGTTCTTATAATAACATGCTCGAGATATCTGATCATATTAATGTGGGCCGGATAGATTCCGTGTAATTAGTTAGCTCTTGCAAACCCTATCATTCTGATGTTAAGATAATTTTCTTCATGGAGACCATACAAAAACATACACACTGGAATCTGTTGCTAACTATAGCAACTTCTGTCTTTGAAGATGAATAAAATTGTGAAGTTGGTGTTCACTCAGAGTGCTAAATAGATCAGAAAACAATAACACGACCGCATCCAGATCTACATATATCCCCATTTTGTTGGCATTTCACCTCATGATTGACAGGGAAATGTGGTACCCAGAGGAAGTATATTTTTCCTGTAACTCGTAACGTGATCACAGGTGCAAAGGCAGCTTCAGCTTCGGATAGAGGCTCAAGGCAAGTACCTGAAGAAGATCATCGAAGAACAGCAGCGCCTCAGCGTCGGGCTCGGTGACGCGCCGGGTTCAGACCCCTCTAACCCAGCTCCAGCCGAGCTCGGCCTGGATGGGGCAGACAAGACCGACCCTTCGACTCCTGCTCCGACCTCCGAGTCCCCACTCAAAGACAAGCCCGCCAATGTCCGTGGAGCCAGCGTTGCAGGGACCGCCTTCGAGGTCATCACAAGGGACGAGTCCCTCTCTTCCTGCCGTGAGCCGCTGACCCCGGACTCCAGTTGCCGCGCCAATTCCCCGCCAGAGAGCCCCAAGCGTGAAGGAACATCGGTCAAGAGGCAGCCAGGCAACGGCAGCACAGGGCACGCAAAGCAGCTTGTCTTGGCATCTCACATACTGGAGTCGAGCTCTGGCTCCGGCTGATCGCGACACCGCCTGCTTGCATCAGCGGCCGGCGGCGGGTGGAAGGGGAGGAGGAGATGTTGGAGCCTACGATGATGGTGGCTTTGGAGACACTACCTGCGGCTATGTATAACAACATTCTATCTATCGTTTGTGCCTTTGGATCCTCTTGTGTATGAGAATTTTATTATTTTAGGATTTCTCACGTGGGAACGAGTCTCGTTATGGGCCAGAGGCCCACACGTCTACAAAAATCGGTGAAAACATGGTCAGGCAAGATCCCTATGAACTGGCTATGGAATCTAGCCATAAGAAGCTTGTCGGCTATTTTGTAGGTTGAGAGAAATCCCGAACACTTAAACCTCACAAGTTGGATGGATTAGTGAAGACCAAATATTTTCTGAAGAACGACAAAAACTACACAGATTGACTTGAAAAATATATCACAAGGATGCAATCCTCTGAAATATATAGGTTGTAGATTGTTAGAGCAGAAGTGGTAGCAGTGAAGATCAGAGTTTGGTGGGGGGTGGGGGGGGGGGGGCATGTTAGAGTTATTATATGTACAATCAAAGGCAATCAGATAGAGAGTTCCTAAGTTTCTGGTCGATATAAGTATCAGGGTATTTCCCCTGAAAGTTTCTCCGCACACCAGCAGGGAAGATGCCGCTTCCGTGATCTCTCAGCTGCCCCATTGGAGGGCAGGATGATCTCTCCTAGAAATATGGAAGATGGCTGAAAGCAATTCAAACAAAAAAATTGAAGGGTTAGAAGATGTTGGGGGGGGGGTTAACATGGGCGGGGCAGCTTTGATATGGTACAGCGGTCACGTGGATCTCTGTCTCTTGTGGTTAGAGCGACCCAGAAAGCAGTGGCGCAGTCGCTGGCTCAGTGACTCCGACTTCTCCGGCTTCTCATTCTTGCCCCCCTTTCTTGATGACTTGGGCTTCTTGTTCTTCTCTTTTGATGCGTCGCTGGAGGATCTCCGTTGTATTCTTCTGAGAGGTGTGGCGAGCACCTTGAGCGCCATCTGAGTACCCCAGTGGAAGGAACTCTTTCAGCAACATTAATAAATATAATTTTTTTTTAAAAATAGAGTAATGCCATTTATGAAGAGTTGGAATATTTATTTACATGAAAAAAAATGACAAGAATCCTAGAACCATGACCACAGAAAAAAAAAAAAAAAAAACGGGGCATAAATATGAAGGGGGAACCTGGTGTCTGCTGTTGCTTCTTGCACACTCGGCTGAAGATGACTCCTCTTCACTAACTCCTCCCAAGGAGGAACACCTTCCCCAACTCTCTCGGTTGGAGCTCGTATATGAGCAGCATTCGTCGTTCAGCCCTTTTGCCTTCCCCTGGTGTTCATCATTCTGCTCGTTCGTTCTCTCCTGATGGGAGATGCCAGAGAATCCAGCATTCAGTACAGTACGCTCTTTCACAAGGATCATAGTTGTCAGCACAGAGAATCTAATGAACTGCGTCCATGTTGAGTAACCAGTCAAGAAAGCCGATTTACTTCCATTACTTTTACTAAAAAATCATGAAAACAGTGCATTTATGAGTCTGCATAATTACTTCAAAACTGAGGGTGCACCAGATGAACCTTGATTATAATATAACTCTGGCACTGAAGGTCTGGAGCGGTTATCATGTAATACCCTAGTTTGGGACATTCATCATTCATTCTTCCTATACATTTCAGCAAGAAACCGTATCTCATGATTCTATATACATATTTCTCCATTGTATATCGACTGGTATTAATCACTTATCAATCCAAAAGAGGCTGAAATATTAGATTATGGCGAGTAAAGGAATGAATACAAATTACCGGAAAATGGGAACACACATCATCATTCCCCCCTGCTTCAATGATAAACTTGGATTCATCCAGCAAATTTGCCTGTAATGAACAATGAATTTTTTTTTTCTAGAATATTCTCATTAAAATTAAAGTGAAATTTGTTGAAAAGAATGGAAACAAACCCCAAGTTCAGTTTGAGTAAGAGCTTCACTTTCAGAAAGAAGTTCAGCAACGGATTTTGTATCTGGACCTGATTTGCATTAGAAAATCTAAACTGAGGATTACAAACAATAGAGAACACGACCGATTACATCCAAAAGAATGCACTCCTCCACCTTTAGGAAGAAAGGGAGCTGATGAGGAACTTGCTGCATCACTGCTGACTGAGCGGAGACCAGCGATAATCTCATACAATAAACTCTGGAAAAAAAAAAAAAAGGTTCCAAGTTATAGAAATTATTTAGAAACTTATCTCAAATTTCGCAACAGACAATAATGATTCATTATGAAGTGACAATGTTGAGACCCTGAAGTGTCTACATATAAGAGAAGGGAGAAATTTCAAATAAGAAAAGAAAAATATCAAGCCCATCCTATCAAAATTAATGCATATGATGTGCAGGAATCACCTCATCCATTCCCGCACCAACCTTCAAGCCTCCCAGATCATAGTATTTCTCCAGTCTACTTGAGGGCGATGAGGAAATTTGAGGAGGGTGAAGAACATTGTAAAAAAATATGGAAACTGAATCATAATAAAACTGTGGCCGTGGAGAGTTATGATCACCCTCAAATTTAATTATGTTCTTATCCCCCTGTAAAAAATAAAAAACATAAAAATACGTCCAAACTTGTTATTTCCCCTTTATTTCGAAAAGGTCACAAACATAGCGACTAAATATGAGAAAGCAGAAAATACTTCATACCGCATATGAGTTGTAAATAAGGTCGGAATGATGTGGCTGAATAAATACATCATCTGCAGCATGTCCAAATAAAGCCGGAATAAATGTCTTCGGTGCAAACTATTCAAACAAACAGCAATCAGTACACATTAAAAAATTGGCCTTAAAAAAGACAGTATACTGTGCATTGCAAGGATTTCATATGATAGAGATTGTTTTAAGCTGCCATTTTATACTTGGAGAACCGGTGCACTTATGTACTAAATTTAGGTTACATTTTGACAATCCAGCAACTAATATTTCGGGACCAAATGACATAAGATGTACATCAACCAAAAAGCTCTATGAAAAATAATGGTGCCAATTGATGGGGTCAAACTGAAGCCAAGCCTGACCCGAATCTTTTTCGGTTGAGACCTCTCAAACTAGCGTAGAAATAAAAGCAGGCCCAATCTGGTTATCCTGATACATATGAGTTGGGTCAGGGTTTAGTGTGGTCCAGCCAAGAAGCCCATATTCAATTTATGTGCCACCACGTACCTCTCTCTCTCTCTCTCACGTCCAGACATCAAATCACTTCATCCCTCTACCCTTTCTTCCTCCTCCCTCATTTCTCCCGTGTGAATTGCAATCCACTCAACCTTCTGTTCACAGTCCCTCTTCCATTTTTCCGTCTGGCCAGCAAAACCCGATCTCCCAGCAGCTGCCAGCACATCACTGGGCAAGTGGATTGGGTCGGAAAGGCCTATTCAGGCTCGGGTCAGGTTCCCTTGAGTTGGCTCAGCCCCCGCTTCCCATGCTTTCCCGCTAGGCCTGGGATGAGAGTGAGGGTTAAACCTAACCAGTCTCACGCTGCGCCTGAGACGACTGCCCCTGTCCAGCTCCCTGACGCCTCCAAATACACTGGCCGCCGCTCCATTGACCACGCCTGCCCCAGCGTCACAAGAGAGGTCGTGGAGAATATAACATACGGGGGATGGGAGCATGAGCTCAACACGTTACCATACATTTGCCCTCCCATTTTCTCCCCTGCCTCCCTTCAGACCAGTCATATGACCCCAATTCTGAAGATGATAGCACTGTACAGTTTACTTTCCTAATAACGCCTTGCAAGAACAAATAATGGTCGACTTTCCTGGACCAGAAACAGAAGTGAAGAAACAAACCTGTACAGCATTGAGATCCATGATGTCAAACTTGGCCCTTTTCTGAATGACATGCCGCATGTACTGAACAGCAATTTTAATCTGAACAGAAAAAAACAATTCGAGAGGAATCAATTATTTGAAGTTTGAAATCGACTCGTAATTCTCTCTAGAGGCGCCTGTCGGTTAAGATTCACAATTGATAATAACCAGCTTCCCATGCCTTTGTAGAATGAAAAAATATTATGATCACACAAGAGACTCATGGATACAAACTAAGAGTAGGAAGAACCGACATGCTTACGCATCAAACGGGAAAAAGATAAATATTAAGTTTACCAAGACTGCGACAATAAATGTGCAAATGAAAAGTTAACAGTGGCTGGCTAGAACAGCAGAGTTGGATAGTCATGGGAACTCCTCAATCCAGTTAAACCAGTTGTAAAGGAAAAGATTGAATACACTTTATAAGTTAAAAAAAGGGAACTTGAAAAAAGAAAAAAAAAGAAGAAACGAATCAGAACTTGGATCAGCTGTCTGGTAGGTGCCAATTCTCTTACAGCAAGCCATAAGAAGAGTGAAGGAGAAAGAAGAAGAGAACAAGAATGAATGACTATGAGCTAATGCTTTACCAACTGTGCTTCAATGCCTGTATTTTCGCAGGTATCAGATCCTATTAGACTATGTACATAAAACAAGGAATAACATAGCAAAAGCCCAAAAGCCTTGTTACTCTCAATCAACCCACAATAACGAACAAATATTTCCGAAATTTTTATTGCTAAACTTTAATGTTTACCTCGTCACGGTCCGCCTAACTTTCCAAGATAAGCATCACCATATCCAATTCCATTTGGATCAGAAAGTCACAACCCAATATATTTTTTATTGTTTGAAATAGGGTTCATTTTTCTTTTCTGAGCTGAATCAAGAGAAGTTGGCTTATTTTTGAGACGACACGGGGAAGTTAAGGGTAGAAAAAGGAAGGAGGGAAAAAACCTCACCTTGGGCTGTCCCTGACCGCCTGCCCCACAAGTTACACCAACGAAATTACCTACTACCTAATCAGAACTTTCCCTGAGGATTGACAGGCAAGGGTGGTCTGATCCTGATGACCTGGCTATTCTACTTGCCAAATCTAGCCCCCTCCCCACCCCAACCCCAAAAAAAGAAAAAACATAAAATAAAAGACTCAGACATGAATTTTTTTCAGTCAGACCAAGGTCCAAGATTGAACTATTCGACATCTGGCAAACCCAGCCGCAACAAATGGATGGGTTCATGATGGAAGGATCACCAACCCAAACAAGAGCGATGTACTAGTTGAGATTCTGCTGAAGTCAAATGTTATAACAAGGGACAACAGTATATGAGAATAAAAGAAGCTGAAACGACAACCGTACTGTGAATTTTGGAAGACGAATTTTGTAAACATCCACTAACTCCATCATAAGATTAAATAAGTTGGAGAAAGCACTGTCCAACACCATTCCAGCAATAGATGGGTCTTCTGCTCCATAAAGAAGGCTGCAAACAATTATAATACGTAGAATGTGTCAAAGCCACAAATAGCTCAGGTAATGATTCTATTGAACTCTTGGAATGAAAGCGTAATCATTCCACGTTCGTTTCGCACAGTTTTTAAGGAAAAAGAAACGTGTGCTAAGAGTCAATTGACATGACCGAAAGAGGAGCCGTTTCATGGCCTCTACGAATATCTGATGAATCACATCAGATCTAAAATCATATGGATAATAGACGCAGATGACACCAAACTGCTCCAAAGTTACTTTTTCCCTTGAATGCCAGGTAAAAGTACATTGCATCAAGTAATTGGAAAAGACTAATTTCTACGGCACATGTGTATGCACATGTTGAGAAGGCGTGTATAGCTTGATGAACCATCATGACAAGTGCTGCTCCAAGGATTTAACTGTCTTGGTATCATAAAAGAATTCAATGTTAATGACCACCAATCTGCACCCTAGGTAAGGTCAATAACTGGGCATGACATCTAGAAGCTGAATCAGATTAAAAAAAAAGTGAACATATAATTTAACATTTGGTTACTATTATAAACTTCTAATCGATTGGTCTCCCCAGTTTCCGATTCTTTTCCGGAGTAACTATTACCCAGCATACCCCAGACATGCCCTCGTCAAAACAACAGGCTCTTTTGCCAACTATACAGCAGTTTTACAAAGGTTGACCAGTTCAGAAGGATTGGTTATTCAAGCTGGTTCACAGCATCATAATATGCAAATGTTGCATGAACAAAAAACTAAAGAGTTACCTTGTGACGGCGCCCATTGATCGTCCCCACAAGCCGATACATGAAATTTGTTTGTTGCTCCGGAGAAAAGACACAACAGCTTTGAGATCATCTTTCTGTTTAGTTTAAGGCATCGTTAGCAGACACTAAAATCATTAGAATTAAAAATAAATAAGCATAAATTAAATATAAGAATACCTCGTGCCAGCCAAGGCTGACATAATCTCCATCTGATAGGCCTGAGCCAGAAAAGTCAAGAGTAAAGACAGTTATATTTGAAGGTAGTAGAATTACAGCAGCCTCATTTGCATCAGCTCTGCAACCACTGCAAAATGTATATGGTGTTACAGGAAAATGTTATAAAAATGGACTCATTGACAAGCAAATGCAACTTTTGGGCGCAACACATGACCTAGACGTGCATTTTCGCAAATCGCCCAAGCTATTGATTATGTTTTATTGTTTACTGCCGTAGTTGAAATAATGTAGTTCATCACGGCAACACTAGGGTCACACAACACAATGAAGAGAAATGCATATCTTTACTTTAGCAATGTCAAACATGAAACAGTGACTCATTCACAACATTAGAATAGCTACGCTACTGAAACCTAAAGAGAGCACAAAACAGGAAAACGTAGGCAACCTATTTCCATGGCAATAGATGACACAAGGTAATGGAGTGTCTTCAGGATGAGTAGCCGGGACATAATGACTGCAACGTAGGATATGTCCTCTTCCGTTTGTCAGCTGCAGAGAAATTTTAGAAAAAGATTTCAACGGCTATTAAAGGCAATTCAGGCAAGCATTATAAAGTCGACAACAAAAAAAAGACAAAATCTCAATGAATGATATTCATACTTGCCTCAATGTCCTGTCGTTTGAATTTTCTGCCAGCAAGAGTGAATTCTGGTTCCCATAAATATTGGTCCGGATTGTACTCTGCCCTGTATATTCACCAAAATTAAATAGTTCAAGCAATGCTTGAAGGACAAATAACAGCAACCGCAAATTTAGTCTATTGTGACTTCTTGGAGTAGATAGCAACAAATCTGGCACAGAACAACTGAATTTCCAGCGCTGAACTCTCCAAATTTTAATCATGACTTAGAGTGATCCATAAGAAATACAGGAGAAATATTCTTTTCTTGAATCGAGATAATCCTGTATTAGGAATACCCTCTATAGTAACTAGTCACAGATACGGCGATATAAGTATTTATGTTCAAACATTATGTACCATTCTTTTGATTTGGGCGATCATACAAAGCAGTCGACTTAAGTAGAAAGAGAAAAACTAAAAGAATCACAAAAAAAACTACTCTTGAGAAGAAAAATATTCCTTCGTAGAGATTATGAGCACCAGTCAGTACCATAACCCTAAATAGTAAGAAAGTATCTGCTATAAGCAAAATTGTATGGCATCACATCTATGTTTTTTAAACCAAGCTTATGTTGGCTCAATAGATGTTCATGGACCCAAGCCTATTTTTAGACAAGGTTGGATACCAAAACTCATTGTATGAGAATTGTTTTTGACCCAACCTACCTGGATGGAAACAGAATGAACCCTCTTCTTAAAACCTTCCCTTTGTCTCGTTTCCTCTCACAAGCACTGCCAAGCCTGGCTCTATGGGTTTCCTATCACATCCCATTACCACTTCCTGACCTTGGCCACCCTCGTATTCCAGCAAATTTGAAACTGATGGAATCCTCAATGTTAGAAACCTTCCGAGGAAGAATTTTCAAGGAAACAAAATGGGTTCCAAAAATGGAACAAGTAAGTAAAACGGAAAATAAATGAGAATCAGCAGAAAATAGAGTTCTTTCCGTAGTGTATTGCTGTGGAAAAGGTAGAGTTGTTTTGAAAAAACAGCCATCAGTTAAAACCAACAGAGGGTGGCTTAATGTTTCCTCTACCGCTGTCCCCAACCCAGTCTCGACTACCTACCCACTTCCATCTTCAAAACTCCCTCTGTAAATCAACCCTCTTCCACTGGATTATTCCAACACCCCCCACGACACCCCCCTTTCCCTTCTTGACCTCATTCGATCCCTTTCCAGAGACCCCACTCATCTCCACCGGTCTTCCACCCAAGCCCCTTCCTCTCATTATTTTTTACACCAGCATTTCGTCATTTGCTTCCTCCTCCCATCCCCCTGACTCCTGGGATTCCTCTACACTAATCCTGCTCATTTGCCAATCTTCCTGGCACACTACTTTCCTCATTTTGTTGAGCCACACGAGCTCCAGGTCGAATGACACCAGATTGGACCTAGTAAGAAATAAAACTCAACATGATGTTTGTCCTGTTCAGTCAAAACCACGTTAATGGTCCTTCAAACGTCGGTTATAAATAGCTCAGTCCCGATGACACGTCTACAGCAATCCAATATAGTCTTAGTTAACGAACTACTTGAAGATTAGAATATGCATCATAAATGTGGTGATTTTATCTCTGTTTCCATAGTATTTTGTAAGACCCTAGTAGTAAGAGCCAGAGGGTTATAGCAATACCTATTGCCCGAAATCCTGTACAACATGACAGGATTAAACATATTGAAGTAGATTGACATTTTATCAAAGAAAAAGTAGAAACAGGAGATGTAGATCTGAAATATGTTGGGACATCAGAACAGGTTGCTGACATATTCACAAAAGGTCTCACAAGACCAGTATTTCAAAGAATGGTGTCCAAGTTGGGCATGGAAAACATCCATACCCAACTTGAGAGGGGGTGTTGAACTCTCTAGGACTGTTTTTCCTTTTTATCTGTTTCTTTTCATTGCATTTTCGTCCTTCTCTATCATCCCCTGTGTTAAGTGGATCCATTAGACTGTTAACGGATCCACTTAAAGACTAATGTAATGGGCCTTGCCCATTAACTCATGTAACCTGTACCTAAGCGGGAAACCAAGATAATTGATATAAGATTTTGGGATTGCGGAAACTCTGCTCCAAGAAGTGGTGACTGATTCATCTTCCTGGAAGAGAAGGATCGTGAAGATCGACTCCTTTCATTCTCCAAGTTGCAAGAATCTCAATCAAGATCAGTTCTCAACAAGCAGCATTTCAAGCCGATCACTAATTTATGGCATACTCAAATCGTCAGAATGTGTCTGCAACTAGCAGTCTATGAAAATTGTCTCGTAATGTGTAAGAGAAATTCACATCACTATATAAATTAGCAGCCAATGGATATAACGAGTGCTGCATTTCAAATCTTCTATTTAAGGAGCGCTCCATTGCATAGTGTCCATAACTAAATCCGACTCACAAGTACAATGGAAAATGGCATGATGTATCTTCAAAGGATTTGAAATCAGAGAGAGGGTCCGTTTCGAGTGGCACATGCAGAGAGAGAAGCCAACCTCTTTCAGGACATTCGGCAGCCAAGATTTTGGCAATATTTGTTTAAATGCAGTGAAGGAGTGAGGCAGTTCTTACATTCAGAATAGCTTATCTTACATAAAATCATAAAAATAATGATATACAAGTAGAGGCATACTTCACTTATTCTAAAAAGATAGTGAAATAAGTTTACGATCTGATTCAAAAATAACACAATTTCATTTGCAATTCTCATGTTTTCTGTTCATTTTGGTCGATGAGATACTCCTATTGCCTTCATTTGTGACACCTGTTTTATAGAAAGGATTCAAAGCAACAATATTGAAATCCTAGAAAGATGATCATGTAGCCTTGACGAACACCATCTACCTTGCATCTTCACGAAAACTAATGGAAATATAACTCCCAAAAAGAAGGTTATGACCTTTAACAGAGAAATTACATCCCTCCCCCTCTTTTCTAACATCAACCATCTCACCCACATCATAGCTTTTTACTGAGAAAAGTTTAACTTATTTCAGATATGCATTTCCCAGAAATGTCATCTCTTAAATTTTGGTTCAATTGCAACAATTAATAAAGGTACTAACCAATTCAAATTAGTTCTAAACATATATTCAACTTTTATCTTTCAAACAAAGAGAACAAGTAGATATTACTCAAATGCACATTTAATATATATAAACTGCTATCTTTATGTTCAAAAAACCTGATAGTCCTCAAAAGGCCTAGTAATGTCCATGATCATTCCATGTTGGATCAAATGCCTTTTAGCTTATTTTGGAAAAGTAGATGTTCATCCAAAGCTGAAGAATTTTCGACATATCCTCTTCCATTTGTGCTATACTCATCATGACCTAAACAACTGCAGTTATTACGACAGCCTCAATTAACCAAAGTTCACCTTAATTTAACACCGTTAATGCATTGCGGGCCTCTGTGACCGAACATTGAGATATATTTCCGAATTCAAATGTCTTAAATTACAATGATGGATCCCATTATTCGAGATATCACTAGACCAGAATTTGAGAAACAAGCAATTAGGCACAATTAGGTTTCACAGGATGTAATTAAATCTGAGTTTTTAGAATGAGAATCACAGTGCTTCAACTTATCCCACAGTTGCATGGCCAAAAACCATGGGCTAGCAAAACAGCTGCATGTAGTGACTCGACATAGTACAAATCATCACTACCCAGGAAACGACAGTAGATTTTCAGTAATATCTATTTACTAAAAGGGCCTAAAGACGCTGTTCTCATTCACCACGAGGGGACAAAATTTGAAGAAGGATAGAAAAGGATAGAAAACTTTCATGTCCTGTGAGAAAAATTGATTTAAAAATTACTCAGATTGTATCTAAAACGAGCGCTGGAGGGCACAAAAAAAATAAGGGTCACAGATATTGTAGGGCCCTACGACTTGATCAAACAAAGGTCACTTTATATGCATTGAGGTAGAAACAACAGAAGACAAATTTCCGTGAGAGTAAATTTTCATTCGGAAATAAATAACGAAAGAGACTGTACCTTGGCGGTCGGATCACAAAATTGATAAATTGTTCAATCATTTCCTCAGAATTATCCTGCCTTTAAGCTTTGGGGTCGAGCTGACACTCTGAGAACATGAGGTATTTAATATACTAAAAGTTCCATAACCGCAGCCTTGCAGTTTCCCAGAGGGGATAAACCCAAAAACCCTTACTCAAGATTAAATCCAATTACCATGAGCTTCCAACTGAGACCAGCTTGACCAGCTAATGTTAGGAGTCTGCTTGTTGCCCCTTAAATTGTTCTGGGACTCATACTGACTTTAAAATCTCTACCATATGCAGAAGCTTGGCAAGGAGCACAATTTCCCACTGATGGTCTCATTATAATTGCGGAAGGTTAAAAATTGTGAAGATGAAAAAAACCTCAAAATAACAAACAGAAACTGCCCTTTAATATTTACCACCCAAATACTTGCAAAATTAGGAATATCCTTTGTTCAGAACCGAAACATTCGTAAATATTTCCGCCTATCAAGAGACGGAGAATCTGTCATTTCTAGGTCCTTCCGCAAATCCATCCACATGAGTTTCCCTTGAAAAGGCCAGTTGCCCAAGAAAGAACACGAGCATAACTAGCGCGTAACAGGCAGATAACACGCGCGAAGTGGACAAAACAACTCGACTGTAGGAGCCGTTGTCAAAGCTAATCTCACATCAGCTCCTCGATCTGCCACAAAGTGACCCTGCATATTTCAACAATCCAAAGTGTGACCAAGAAAAATCCAAAAAAATCCAAGCAACGACAACCACGCCCGGTGCTGCGGGGATGTAGACATCGAAGATTCGCAAATAAAGGATAGAAGAACAGGACGGACGCGCAGGGGAGAAACGAGCCCCCTCCCTCAAGAGATAGCGTTTCGAAGACGGCGACGACAAACATTAAACGAACTTCGTGACTCACCTCCGACCCTCGATCAATGTGGGAACCTGGCAGGCGACGGGGGAAGAGATCGAACCCCCCTTTTCGCTTCCCCGAACCCTTCCTCTCTTCTCAATGCCAGGGGTACATACAGGTCCCGAATGGCCGGCCCGCTTTCCGGCTTCTCCAGACCCCGACAGCGAACATATGGAAGGCGTCGGCCCCCCCATCGGGACATCAAAGCCATCCCAACGCTAATATTTTACAATAATTGCCACTTGAGACCCGTTGCGATACGTGGAGTCCAGTAATCCAGATCGTCCGTTCCTCCACTACCCAGATCAGACGATTTTCCCCCGCACGATGCAGGGGTGGTGGACTTCGAATCAACTACCACCTCGAAAGGGAGGGTGGGGATATATTCGTAAATTATCAACTGTCCTGGTCAAAACCTCTGCCAACTGATGAACTGATCGTAGTAGCATCAGATCCACGGGCAGGTGTTATAAAACCGCCATTAATCCAGCTGGCAGCGCATCCTCTCTTAGACTGCCACGTGGCCCCCACTTCATTTCTCTCAATAACGCCGTCAACTAACGGACTCTGTCTCGGACGGCCCGTGGGCGAGCTGGACCCGGGGAATAGAATATCGCTGCCGGGTTTCCTCTCATGGACGATCCAATAAAGAAAAAAAAAGGGTATAGGAATGATGACGTGGAATTCCCAGTCACGTACGATAAAGTTCCCTCTTTTTAATAAAGACCCCATTTAATCCAATAAATGATATAAATGCCCACGCGCTTTCCGCACTGTAGGAGGGTGCAGTCAGTATCTATATATGCACCTGAGCTGGGCAAGTTGAGATAGATTTTGATGACGTCGCACCTCTCAAGAATCCGATTCCATGAGTGGTGAGTGGAGGAGCACCGGAGACTGATATCTTACACTTTGGGGGAGATGGAACAGTCATCTGGGTACCTAGTTCTGAAGGTTTTTCTACCGCCAAGTTGGCCCAATTCTGCCCAAGAAACGTCTCTGGATTGGAACCAAGTTGGCCAAGAATGGGACGGCCCACTATGGATATTAACATCTTTTAAAATCAGTTTCTGTCCATTCCGGAAAGTAGGCGTACTTACTAATTTTTATTTTTGAAAAAATTTGAAATTTGACTATGTTTATCAGATGTCCACATATTTTTGAATGAGCTGGTTATTTTTATAGCAGTATGCACAAAGTAGAGACAAATGATGGCAAAGGTTAGTTATTTTATGGTTTATCATAAAATTAAGTATATTTTTAAAATTCTCTAATCGATACATGCTTAGATATAGGCCAAGAGCTAACATGGTAGTTATACATGAAAAATCACATATAGCTATAAGAAGATGAAATAATTAACTCAACTTGAAAGCGAAGGGTTTCAGCCTGCACAAAGATCAGGGGGGGGGGGAGAGGGGACTCAATTGATCTATTTTTGGCTCTATTTTCGTGAAATCTACTACTATGTATTTATTTAACTTCTTTTTTCCACGTGTTTTGTAGGTATTCTCTAGCTTAATAACTATAAAATACATATTTTTATAGTGGTTTGGCTCACTACTTATGCCCACCCACTCTCCAAGAACAATCTTGTTATTGGGTTCCAAAAAAAATGATTATTATACCTTAGAATTTCATCTAGAAATTCTCTTTTAGATTCACAGCTTTAAAAGACCAACAATTGTTTAATAGGATATCTCCAACATATGATTAAAGATGATTTAATCACATGTTTTTCTCACAAGAGATGTTTTTCCCACATTGATTTTATGTCATAAGAGTAGAACTAATAAATATTTGATATCATTAAAATGGGACTAATAGTAGATACCTACATAATATAATGATTTAATAATCCATCTTATTTGAATCACCTCAAATAAACTATGATCATCAATTTAACATCTTGAGTGATAATCTCAATATCTATAATTGTGGTTTATAAAGTATATTCTTTAATATCTGGATAATCATATTTTACTTAATAAATAATTTGATTTAAAAACACAGATTGTTATTGGGTTCCAAAAACACTAAAATATAGGTATGATTTAAAAACACCATAAATAATTCGATTTAATTGATTAACATGATATAAAATAATGCAAAAGTAATAATCTAATATAACGTGAACATAATAGATTGAGTATGCTTTCATACCTATATTTTACTTCTTGTTGTCTCTTTCATTCTGATGTATTTATCATTATTTTCTGATTGTGGTATATTTTGTCAATATTTATATCTTCTACAATAATATGCAATCTGATAATTACACATGATGATATTGATTACATCTATGAGCTCATCATTATTGATCAAAATTATGTTCAATGGTTTCTCATATGAGCTATTATCATTGTTATTTCTAATTACACTCAAGCACTCGCATATCATATATATTTTAAACTAAGCACAATTTGATCTTATAAAAGTTTGTATGTCATCATCAAAACGGCATATGCATATAATACAACATAAAGCACCTTAGAAGCTTGTGTTTTAAATATTTTCCTAGTTGCCAAAATACCTAATAAGGAGAAATGTTTTAATGGTGAGTTTTGTTTGCATTTTTAGATTAGGAGAAATCTCATAATATAACCATTTGCCACTCTATGTGTACCCTACTCCCAATAGACATGATCATTTTGTTCTGCTAACTATTCTTTAGTATAAACTGGAAACATCTAGATTTTCAATTACCCCTCTCTAGAATCACATTAATTAAGGATTTCATGATTCTCAAAACAATTTTTGTTTATATTCACACCTTTTAATGGACTTAGAATTACTCAAAAATGTTAGTTTGATTTTTAAATTGGCCAAAGTATTCGTAAAATACTTCATTGAAATGATGGCTCTCTAGGAGGTTTTACTATTGAAAATTCTCTCATAATAATTGTTAGAACTATTAGATTAGGTAAAAAACTAAGAGGGTGAGTGAAATGAGGTTTCTAAGATTTTTTTCTATTTATCAAATTTACATCCTGCCTATCTATATGTATTCATAGATGTGTTGACATACACATTGTGTAAAAATTTTAGTACTCTCTCCTTAAGAACATCTAACCTTTTTACATTATTTTATCCCTTACCTCACTACTTTCAGTTTGAGTGAAAACTTCCCTCTATTATTCACTTGTTCCTATTAAGAATGCACATTGATATTCATAGGATTAACTATCCAAATAATGCAAGTTTCTCTCCCCATAAACCTAGTTATTCTTGGGCCAGATATAGTTATTGACATCTCATGTTTTTGCCTAATATACTTTTTCATCACTACTTTGTTACCTTATGACTTCATGGAGAGCAATAGTCATAATCACTAAGTTGATCATTTGTCAAGATTACTTGATGAAGAAGATGAAACATTCTTGTGTGCTATTGATGCACAGCATGAAGAACTTGATGGTAAGTGTTGGATCTTTGTATATGTATCTAGTTTTTGATCCAAAACTCTTCTATTATAAGTAAGACTTTATTCTATACTATTTTTTTTTTATCTCCAGCATTCGAAATATTTGTTAAAAAGTTTGTCAGCTTTTACAAGATGTGGTAACAACATTTGAACCTTCCAAACTTCAGATCTTCTTATTCTCACATCTATTCAATTCAAATGAAAACTTGATTTTTTCTAATTTGATGTCCACTCAGATCTAAATGATTAAGTTTATTTTCACTTTTGACCCACATAAATAGTTGATGTGTCATTGTTGAAATGGTCTCTTCTAAATTTGAGAATGTAATAGTCTTCTCATTTTCTTGATTAGTTAATGCATGTAATATTATAGGAATTATGTTTAATATTATTTCATAATGCTGAAATATTTATTTATTTCATATTATTTCTATATGATGTTAGAAAAGTTCATCAAACTATCGTAAAATAAAAAAAATAAAAAAATCATCAAATATTTAATTTGAAAACTTTATCTCAATAGTGACATTAGACATGTATATGGACAAAAAATAAAACAAAATCTAATCATTTTTAGACAACGTGCATACCAACTATTTCCTCATCAAGTTAGAAAGTTTTAATCTAAATTAAAATTAAAATGTCGTGCATTTTACTTAATGAAAAACCCTTTGAATAACAAACTCAGAGATTGAAGATATGAAAGACAAAAAAATGATATGAAATGAAAGCTTATATATCAAATAAGATTTATAGACCAAAATAATACGAAATAATTAAAGGTTCAATATTCCCTATCAAGAGTTTCGTGTCTCATGCCTCAACAATGAATGAACTATATTGTACTCTTTATCAACTTCATCCAACAATCAACTAATTTTGCAATTATAGTTATCACTTTCTATCAGGTCCTAAAATAATTAAGTTGTGAGGAAAGAATTATATTGATAAAGACATGTGGTATTTGTAACTATATTTAATTAAATAGGAATTGGTGCATTTAAAAATCTTTGTAGAGACAGATACAAAACTTTTGGGCCATTATGATGCCAAAATCAATTACCAAATGTCTTTGTAAATATACTTCGAAATGCCAAAACTAGAATAATTTTATTTGGTAGAAAAATTAACTAGAGTGAGAGATGAACTATTATAGAAGTCCAAAGTTATTAGTGTGAGAGTACTAAGAAATTTTACAACTATGAATATCTAATACTTCATGTGTGTGTTGACACTCATGTATTTGCATTGAGACTTGTGTAGAAGACAACTTAAGAATAAAAAAATTATCTAAATTTCAAGAAATCCTAATTTGCCCTCCCTCTATGTTTTAACTAGTCATACAATTCTCACAATATCAATGTTGGAGGTGCCTTAAACATTGGGAGACATATGACTATATAATACAACATCAAAACATACACATCATGCAATCACAATGAATAGTGTAGTAAAGGTTGTTAACATGGAGAAGTGTACAAAAATCAATATGTGAAATCGTGTTAAATTAGTCATCGTCATAAAAGATCATGGGAGAAGTACGACAACATAAGAAATGGCGTAGTAATACAGCCATGGAGAATTATGTAAAATAGTGTTTAGGTAGTAAGTTGTACTAACTACACTCGAACTATATGAGAACAACACATAATGTAATGTGCAACACGCTAGGTACAATGAAATGACTAGTTTGATATAAATAATCTCTAACATTAGGAGCAAACATTGTGTGGAGTGAAATTGTTTAGATGGCATCTTTTGGTGCAACATGGTAAGTTTTAGATATCAATTCCTCACTTAGACAACATGGAATGGCATAATTTGGTGTAGGACATATCAACACTATCATTGGAGATCCTTGATTTAGATTGTACATAACAATGCATTTCACTACATATGAATACTAACATTTACATCACCCTTAATTAGATTATACATAGGAATGGGCATTACTATGAAATTTTTTGGGGAGCATGTAGATGAGGTTTTCTTTAATATGAAATGGAAAACTCTAACATGAGACTGTGCATACTATGCCAATATAGGAAGACACTAATAATCTTGATACAAGAAATAATGTGCAACAATAAAGGAACGAAAAATCATGTTGAAGAGAGTCGGACATGAGGAACACCTCATGTGGAGTGCAATACAAAGAGACAATGTGTTGTGCATTTAAATAACATGAAAAATTATGATAATTGGACATAGAAAACCCCATGCATAGCACAATTGAGCAGGCTTTATTTTGTGACTTTTTCAGAGTAGGTGCCACTACATTATGTGTGAGAAGTTTCATTTTACATGAACTACAATGTAAGGAGATTACTCTCCTAGGTGTTAAAGCAAATGCTTATTTCAATTAACGAAATGTTGTGTTATGCTCTACATAACACAAAGTATAAATCAGAAAAAATAAGCAATTCACAAGAAAAGTCAAACATGAGGAATCTAACATGATTTAGAAGTTAGCTTCAACATATATGGTGATGATAATACAAGCTTCATTAAATTTAGTGAAACTTTCACCAAGAGACTGAGGGATACATTCTCACTCTAGATCCTCAAGATTCTAACCACAAACTCATTGAAAAAATCCTCTCTAGGCCCCAAAGATTCTCACCAGAATATTTTAATAATTATCCCGAAAACTCTCATTCTTGTTTGGGTTCAATTTCCACCGGAGGCTGGTTATAAGCTTCCTTATTCCAAAACCGAAACTGCTCAGAGTCGTGGATATGGAGGCAGCACCACTCGCCGTACTGCTAGAGGAAGTTGTAGATCTGATCCATCTTCGATTCTTGGGCTTGAGAAGGACAAAGGTAAGGAGTCTACCACCTTCAGTAGGGAAACTTCCTCATCTACAGTGCTTGGACGCGTCGTCAACCTTGATCACAAAGGTGCCGAGAACTGTGTGGACGATCGAGGCCTTACGACATGTCCATGTCCCCTCAGAAGTGGAGCCAGATGGTTGAGGCAGGCTTAAGAAACTTGCAGGCGCTCAAGGTTATCTGGGCCGGGAGTTGGATAGATAGCTGCCTAGGGATCCTTACCAGTCTTCAGGAGCTGGAACTAACAGGCGTCGATGGGTGTCATCATCGCGCGCTGTCGTCTTCGCTACCGAAGTTGTCCCTCCTCAAGAAGTTGAGTTTGGATGGTTGGTCGATCCCTGCCTATCTATGGACACCGTCTAGCTTTCCTTTTCTCGAAGTGTTATACCTCGACGGGCCAGTGATAACGCCATAGCAACGAAGTTCTTACGGCGATCAATGGCCCCCCAATCTCACCGAACTCACATTATGGAGGACAAAGTTGAATCGAAACTGGATTGTAGCACTCGAGAACCTCCGTGAACTTACATATTTGTATCTAGGTCTTCTATTCTACAAGGGAAACGAGATGATCTGCACCTGAGGTGGGTTCCCCGACTGCAGTCCCTAGTGCTTAATTCATAGTGCGAGTTAGAGAGGTGGGAATCTGAGGCTGGAGCCATGTCCCACCTGAGGAGCTTGAAGATCTACAGCTGCAAAAAATTGGCGATGCTTCCGGAAGGGTTACAACGCATGGCTGCTTTGAAGGACCTTTATCTGTGGGATATGCCCCCTGAATTATGTTTTAGAGCTCGGAGGGCGGGGGGAGAGGACTGGCCCAAAATCCGCACATAGCTTCAATCACCATTTCAATGTCATTGGAGAATATTCTTAGTCAGATTTATGAACACATCATGTAAATTCTGTCAGATTAATGACACAGAGGATTGGCCCAATGTCCAACACAATGGATGCACTTTGTACTGTAAGTAAAATAATACTCCAGCTATTTTGTTCAAGAATGGAGACGTTGAGAATGATCTAATAAACTATAAAGGCTATTCGATGAATACACAGATCTAATCCTGGATGTATCATGTGAGCGTCGTGTACTGTGTGAGCATTATGTGTGGTTGGGCTGAGGGTTGCTTGTTGATTCTCAACTCCTAAAGGAACCTGGTGGACTGTGGATGCAGGAGCACAATGCTCGGAATCATATATGTTTGTTATGTCTCCATTACTGTTTCCTCTCTCTCTCTCTCTCTCTCTCTCTCTCTTTCTCTCTCTCTCTTGTGTATTAGCATGCCTCAACTCATGCACAGAATCCACAGACCTTGAGACTTGCAAATTGCTAGGGATAGAGCAGACTGTTGGACTTTCGAGGTGGCTCTTGAAGGAGTGCGACTCGGAGTGATCATTGGACTGATATTGATGATATGCAGCACGAATTTCTAGAAATCAAAATATAAAAAAATTACACAATTTGACCAAAATTTCCATTTTTAAATTCAATAAAAAATATTTGAAAATTTAGATAACTCAAAAAATAAAATGGCTAAATATTCCCATTATGGAAAAGCTAGAGCATATCTCCATAAAATCCTACAATATCAACAAAAAAAGATACAAAGGTCATAAATAGAAATAATAACATTGGTTCATAAATGTAATAAAATAAAAGTTTCATGCATAGTTCATAAGATCAGAATATTCCTCAATTCGGAAAAGTTTTTAATAATTTTTCCTATGTTTCTAAAATTATACACTTTGCTAGTGATATGCATAGTGTACTTCCTAATTGGGCATGTTACTGGTACCTCATCTTCATTGACCAGCATAAAAATAACATATGCTTGCCCACTCTAGTATGCCAAAATAAAAGTAATTACATCTTTGAAACAAAACGTTTTCATGTGTTTATATATTTGGCCCCCAGAATGTCTCTTTCCTGATTTCAGAAGTCAATCTGACAATTTCCTATTTATGAAAATTGTTAATGATCCTTCACTTGGGTTTGGAAATTTGGTCATAAATGTATTTCAAGGTATCTAGTATCATCATCAAGATTTCATATATTTGGAAATTTTATTAGGATATAATTTCATTAGAATACAACTTTATCCATTAACGTTTATTGCTTTGAGCTAAAACTATCAAACTTCACCATGATTTAAGGCACATAGTATATGACTAATCAGTTTCTAAAGCTAAGTGTGTGTCTAAGGCCCAAGTATTACCCAAATAAGGCCAAGTTTCTCAAGTTATGGCTACTACGCCTAAAAACTGCTGACGTTAATGTGGGGTTTAGTAAATTTGAGACATTTAAAGACCACGTTTCCTCTTCTGCTGAGAAATTTTGTCGTCTGCAATTCTTGGACGTACTGGGTATGCAAATTTGAAGGGTACTCTCTGGCACGTGAAAGATTGAGGACTTAAAGGAATCTATTTGCACTGAGACTCTTTAAGGCATGTATTCCTGATGTTCGGTCATTAGTTCTGCGGAGGAAAAGACATGGGGTCTACCCCTACATTGGATTCCTGAAACTGCACAAAAACTTTTTTTGCAGCTGGGGGGTAGTTGAAGCTGTGGGGGGGAGGGGGGGGGATGCCACTCATCTCGTGGCTGACGATCTCCTGCAGTGACAAGTTGACCACACTTCCACAAGGGTTGCAGCACATCGTGCCTCGTAGGAGTTCGTACTGAAGGATTGAGCCATAGCTTTTCAAAGCGTATACCTCATTCACTGTTACTTCCTCAACTCATCTTTACTCCTTCAAAGTTACAGAGTCCCTATTTGCATACTCTTCCTGAAATATGAGATCACAAAAGAGATGATCATGTGACCCATTGGAATGACATTTGATGGATTTCCGGCGTGGAGATCAACGCTATATAACTTTAACGTCCAGGATACGTCGATTTTATCAACCATTCATAACATTCTATCTTTGATGATGTACTTGAGTTTTTTGTTAGCCGACTTCACTGTTCTTGCTTCGACATTGGTATCAACCTTTGGGCAGATTCTGGGCTGTCTTTTTAAGAGTCTTTAGTATTTTTTGAAAAAAAGTTATCTTTTTTTACTTGAAAAGAACGCTCATCTATCTTATGGTACCAATCTTATCAAGTTATCTGGAAATTTGGACTCATCACAAGTTATCCTGAAATTTCCAAATGAATTTTTTTGATATAATTATCGAATTTATGAAAGTAGGTCTTGGGTCTTCTGCATGAAAGTATATAATCTACTCCCATGGTGGTTTCCCAAAACTATTGTCTGACGCTTCATTTCCAACCGGAGATTGTGATGTTGGCAGTTGAAGCTGGGATGATGCTTTGCTTCTTTAGATGCAAAATCTTCACCTGAGTGAGGTTGACAATGATTTAAGACACTCTTATCAAATTTGGGATGTGACTTTTTTTAAAGTTTGACTAAAATTTTTGTGATAAGTTAAAGGCAATCTCATGCTAACACTCACATAAAAGCTGGTTAGCTGACTAGAATGTCACTAACTTTTGATGACATATATTAAGAATAACCTATTATATTGTGCAAACTCCATATAGAGTAGAACTAAAAAGTTGGAGTTTTCAATTCAACAATGAGTGAAAAAAAAGCCTTTACATTCGGAAGTTTCACAACATTTTCTAAATCAAAGAATTCTATTAAATTATTGGTCTACTAAACTTATACATATGGGTCATCCATGTTACATATTGGCAAAGAAAAATTAACTATATTAACCAAGTAGTTAGCATATCTAATAGTTCACTATAATAATGGTAATATTGGGCGTTTAACACTCTATAGGTCAATATTTCCATGCCAAAGATATTATTAAAATACTAACCAACATTCCTATCAAATCATAGGTTTCTTCAATAAACATGCACATGGCATATTCAATCATTCATCATCTTCATGTTTAGTTCTTGAATTGTGATAGTTGACCAACTACTGTAGGAAAATGCTGGTTGTTTTCAAAATTATTATTATTATTATTCTACTTATTAATAGTGTACTAGAAGTGCTAAACCTTGCTGCATTAGCAAGTAATATGCATGCCTTCATGGGATATAATTATTATGTTTCATATGATTCTCATTAGTTTGCCCAATATTACACCTTTCAGCTGAACTTTGGCAATTAACAACTCTCCTATAATCAATTCAACTTAGATTCATAGGAAAAAACTAACTTCACTTTTAAATAAATGGGTTTAATAATTTGTTTGCCATCAAAGTTTTGACCACCTGAAACTTTTGCCACAATTTAGTTCCACTTTGTTCCAATGCAAATCCTCGATGTACAACATCTAGTATTGTTTTACTATATTATATTTAATTAGTGAGACAATTTTATGGTCTAATTGCATAAATTATGTAGCTGATATCATTATCCACCTTTCTTTTATGTAGTTTGAAAGAAAAAAGTGTAATAAATGAATAGCCATTTTAAATCCACTTTATACACAAAATGGTGAATGAGAAAGTTTTGTCCTCTTTTGGCAAATGATCAACTCAAACATTATAATTCTCTATCAGACTCCACATGTAATTGGGTGGTGAAAAGAGAGTATATTAGGTGAAGGTATGAAGTATTGGGAGTCATATTTGACTTGAAAGGGACCATTTATGTGGAGATGAGCTTGTGTAATTTGGGTGGCTGAATATGTAAATATCAGTATGTATTTTTGTGAGGAATAAGTTAACACTTAGATGAAGTTTTCTCTAAGACTAGAAGTAACCAAATTAGAGATGAACTAATATAAAAAGTTGTTCTTTTGGTGAAATAATGTTGAGTGATTTTACTATAACATGTGTCTCGGCATATCCATCAACATATATAGATAGCTCTAACATAAATCTAAAACATAAATAAAAGTATTTAAAATCTTAATTCACCTCCTCTTCTCTCTTAGGTTTTCTTTTAATTTCGACAAACCCAACAAGGACTTAGGGGGAGATCACTCCTATTTATGCTATTATATTAAAGAGATCATCTATGAACAAAAGATAGAAATTAAACTTGATTCTAATTTTACTATGAATTTTTTTCCGTTAGGTCTTTACATCAGTTCATTGAGAACTCAAAACCAAACATTTAGCATATATTCAAGGTTATCATTCTCAATATATCTAAATAATCTCCCATTTAGAATCTAAATTAACAATTCCTTTCATGCCACATTGTGAGTTTTTTCACTACAGCATATTAGATATTTTGACCTATAACTTAAACTACATATGCACATGAAAGAGTAGCCTATACACCCTTCAGTTTGTATCCTCTACTTCTCATTGCATGCACACCTTGTGTTAAATATGGCTCATTTTCTAGGATGGTTGTGTTACATGAAAAATGTTTATAAGAAAGAGATGCTCTAGTTATGGGTAATTTCTCACATAAGAAAATGGCTCAATAAATAGGTAGATCATTTGTCACAAAGATATTCCCAAGAAATGAGCTAAACAAATCTCACTGAAATAGTTCATGTCTGTGAAAATTAAGGGCATGTTCTAGGAAGAGGAACCACTCATTGGGGATATGGGGTCCTATATGGTCCTTATAACTAGAGAGTCCCTGTCTCTCTCATGAAGCATCCCATTATAGAGTTCTCATGAGGTTGTCGTATTCATCCTGCGCAACTATCACCATGCACCTCCGGACGAGCTCAGCGAGGTAAGCCTCTGCAGATTCTTAGAGTGTTTCTTCTGTTCTGTGCTCGACGAAGCCCTCCGCGATCCACAAACTGATCAGCTTGTCGACTTCAAATTCAAAGTCCTCTGGAAAGGAACTGAAATAAAGGAAACACCACTTCAGATAATGGGGCAAGTCGGCGTGCCAGTATATCCAAGCACAGTCGACCATCTTCGATGTTTTCCCAGTAGATGGTCTTCGCGAGCCTCCACCACTCCCCGAGTGACGGACCTTTCGTCGACAGCAGACCGCCGAGGACCACCAGCAGCCCTCCGCGTTTCCCCGCGATCTGTTTTCCTACTTCTCTCAACGGTTCTGAACAGACTGCGTTGATATCCTCCTGATTCGGGAACGCCTTCTTGGAGAGGAGTTCCCAGCTCTCCTCCTCGGATAGTAACCGCAGCACGTAGGGAGGGATTGTTGGGTCCGCAGCTCTGGCAACGTCGACGGAGCGGATGGTGATGAGCACCCCGGCTTCTGTCCTCGGAATCTAGGAGATCCGGACTGACGATTCTCCAAACCTCAGTGTCCCACACGTCATCCATCAGATCAAGTATTTCTTACCCTAGAAGGTCTGATAAAGCTTCTCCTCACGCTTGGCCCTCGTCATTTTCTCGACCTCCTCTTCTCGGAGCCCCGTGACCTGCCGAAGAAAGTCTTCGAAGGAGGCCCGGAGCGTAGTAAAGAAAATAATGGCACGTTCCCCGAGGTGCTCGCTGGGCAAGCTTTCCGAGGTGACTCAAAAGTAGATATTATGTTGATGAGTTTATTTTATGAGATTTTGGGTAGAGTTTTCTTTACTTCCTTTATGTAACTCTCGTTGTCACCTTGTGGACGTAGGAGGTTAACCTCCGAACCACATAAAGTTGTTCGTTTCTCATTTCCTTCATAGTTTCCATAAATTCATATTGAACATCTTATTCTTATATTCTTTAGTCTTCCCATCCTCAGAATGGAAATCACGACCGCTTATTCCTGCTCCTGTCCAACGGATGTTCTAGGATCTTCTCCTCCTCGTCCATGCCGTTCACATCAGCAGCTACGGCATGAAGAACGACTCGCCTCCGTTCTTGGACTGTCTCGTCGACCTGCCTCCTCGCCCCTCCGCCCAAATCCTAGATTCTGTTTTTGTGATCATTGATGCCTCAGATTTTGGCCTGTATGGCTTCGATCTCCTTACCGAATTTGTGGAGTACAGTGAGGTCTCTGGGGAGGCGAAGGCAGCACACAACGGTCCGGATGAAGCCTCGCTCAGTCGTCGCCTCCGCTGGGCATGGAGGACGAAGGACTCGACGAGATCCTCCGCCCGATAAGCGATTTCCCTCACTTGTCTCACCCAGTTCTTCACCCTCTCGTCCCTCTTGCTCTTCAATTCGGCATCCTTCAGGAAGCACTCCATCGCCCGGAGCTCGTCCGTGACCCACTCGACATGGTCTCTCACTTCGTACAGGAAGACTGCTTCATTGACGAGGAAGTCACCGACTCGTTTCACGACATCGCTCAGAACCGCTGCGGCCATCCCTCTCCTTCTCTAGCCTCATCTCAGCCCGATCAGACTTCTCTCCTCTGCTCGCTTCTCTGGTCTATAATCGGCGAGGGTGGATAATAAACAAGATGCAGCGTATTTGTTCTGGGCGGAATGTAAGAGCGTAGACCAATAAGAAAAAAAATAGCTTGAAATTTTGTCCCTAGGAATAAAGCTAACTAAATTAAGGCTAAAGTTGCAGATAAACCAAAAAATTGTCAAAGAGATTTACTTAGAACTGGATAAATTTCTAGACATTGAAAACTGAATCGACTGAAGGCGAGTTGTTACACGTCGCAGTCACGTCAAAATAAACAAGCTTAAGGCGAAAACTTGGTGGGCGGGAAGTCGCCCATATATTTACACCTGACGCAGCACGTGTCAACAAACTGCCCGGAGAAGTCAACGCTTCTTTGCTAACGGGACATATCTTCAAACAATAAAAAAATATCTACAAATTATATTCAGCAATAGAGTTCGTTAACTGCCCCAATGAAACGCTCTTAGGTGAAGACTATGGGCAATTATTGATGATTAAACATGCCTACTAATTATTTTCAATTTCCAACTTCTTTGCAGATGTGTGACAATGTTGCCCTAAATCCAATGATATTTGTAATTTTTCATGACAATATTTATGACAGTGACATAATATAAAAATATCGAGCTTGAGTCCTCGATCTGATCTTATAACCGAAAAGAATATAGTGATCATGTGCTATTTAATGACCCCAAACTGACCATGTTGTTTGAAACAGTGCGTTCTTAGACAATCAAATGATTGTTCAACAAGTAAATTATTCATCCCTCATAATATTTGGCCCTTTTATATTTTTAGAAAGGCCAATATTTTAAAAATATGCGTAGATCTAAACATCATAAAACCTCCCAAATAAGGCCAATTTGTTGTCAGTGTTCATTAACTTGGAAAATTTTAATACCGTTGGACCAAGCAATGACTGGCTCAGCTCGAACTAAGCTATGTTCTAAAACTCAACTTGTTCAGTATTTAAAGACATGGAGATTTAAAAGAAGAAGCTGGCACAGGAGGCAATAGCTCATAGTATTAGATAATGACCCATGAGGGACACAATATATTTGGACACCATGTTGCACCGATCGTGATGGGAAAAAAAGTCAAACAATTTTAAGCAGAGGACCAACGAAGTGAATGAGGACGACTTATCCCCTCTGTTTTCTTTCTGAAATGACGTTGCCAATGAACACCTTCATTGCAGTTGAAGCCCTCCCCCCGTTGCCACCTCAGGTCCGCATCGAGGAATCAAGGGCGCGAAGATTTCCGCCCAATAAGCTGTGTTTCTCTCATCCCTCTCCCGGTTCGTCACTCTTTGCTCTCAGGTCCTCTTCGAGTCGGCGTCGTTCAGCGAGCCCAGCATGGGCCAAGGGTCTTCCTTCGGACAGGAATGGATGTATAGCAGTTGGTATCTGCCCGCCAAAGCTACCCGTATCTGTCAGTGGTTTCCATTCCACGGGAATCGATATAGAACGGGCTTCTCCCAAAATGTTGTCCGATGAGTTGCATCTCATTAATTATCACATGTAGTATTATTATTCTGATTTTTTGTGCTTGTATGTATATATTCTGAGTTGATTTCAGAATTTTTATCTTTCTATGATACCTAGACAATTTTATTGGGATACAACTCCCTTTTTTCATAAAAAGAAATGATCATCCATTTTATCATTTAAGCGTCCAATGGATGGTCAGCAACGTCACCTCTCAAACATGATCTTGTTCGTGATGATGTTCAACAAGGTGCCCATGAACTGTGGATCTTCATGTTTAAGAATCTCTAGATAGTGGTGATCGGTAGTAGCGGTTGGAAGTATCGATGGGGGGAAGGACAACTGCTTTGTGAAACTCATGTAATGGTTGATCATGAAGCCTGAGAAGCAGGGCATCACCTTAGCTTCTAATACCAGTTGTTAATCTTCCAATCATACAAGTGTTTACTGATTGAAGGTGAACTCACCAAGGATACAAATCCTTTACTCCCAAAGGTACTGTCATATGAATAATTCTTCACCTCACTAAAAAAGTTTGAGTCCTGGTTCATTCCAAGTACGTGTCGGTAACTAAACAAGAAAGATTGGCACTTGTCTGATTACATATTTTTACCAATCAATGTTGATTTCTTCTATTATCTGTTTGTTTTCTTGATCTAGTGTAGTTATAGTATTATATTTTAGTTTCTTGTCCATCTTCTAAGGTCAACTCTTCAAGAAATTTGAAACACATCTCCACATAAAAGGCTTGCATGACCAACCCTCGCGCACACACCAAAGAAAATCAACGTTTAAATTAGCATTTTTCTTAATGGAAATACCATTTTTTGTTTAGATTAATAGGAATATTTATCCATTTTATTTCTTGAGTTCTCAGGATTTGTGATGAGATTTTCCTGAATGTAAAAATGAACTTCATGGTCAAAATGTGGAATTTTCTTATTTTTTGATTTTCCAACAGTTCACGTAGCGTCGGTGGTGATTTACTGATATCGATCCATTGACCAATCTGCGCCTAATCACCTCTCCTCTCCCGTCGGCAGCACCCTTCGAGAGCCCCCTCGCGAGCTACCGCAGTCCGCGCTGGCCCGAGGAATTTTCAAGACTCGAGGTATGGGGGGTTATGAGCAGGAACATGCCACCATAATCTTGAGGGAAATGACCTGGGTGTTATGGTTACTTGCCGTACAAAGTGCATCCTTAGTGCCAGATTTTGGGTCAATCCTCTCCCTCCATTACTGGAGAGAATTTCCATGATGTAGCTCATGAATTCAACTGAAGACGATTTTACAATGACTATAAAAGGGTGACCGAAGGTATGTGCCGGATTTTGGGCCAGTCCTCTCCCTCCTTTTGAGCTCTAGAACAGAATTCAGGGGGCATATAGCGGAGAGTGAGGTCCTTCAAATCAGTCATGTCTTGCAACCCTTCCGGAAGCATCACCAACTTTCTGCAGCGGCTGATCGTCAAGCTCCTCAGCCGGGACATGGCCCCAGCCTCAGCTACCCACCTCTCTAACTCAGCCAGCGAATTCAGAACGAGGCACTGAAGTTGGGAGAACCCGCCGGGAGAGCAGATCATCTCGTTTCCTGCGTAGGATCCGTGATCTAGATACAGATATATAAGTTCAGGGAGGTTCTCGAGCGTCGCGATTGAGTCTTGATCCAGCCTGGTGCCCCATAGTATGAGTTCGGTGAGATTTAGGGGCCATCGGGCGCCAGCAGATCTTGGTGGCTGTGGCCTTGCCATTTCCCCCTTCAGGTATAAGAATTCAAGGGAAGAAAAGCTGGACGGTGTCCATAGATAGGGCGGGATCGACACGCCCTCCAACTTCAATTTCTTGAGGCGGGACAGATTCGATAGCGAAGACAACAGCGCGCGATGATGACAGCCTTGGATGCCAGTTAGTCCCAGCTCCCGAAGACTGGTAAGGGTCCCTAGGCAGCTATCTATCCAGCTCCCGGCCCGGACGAACATGAGCACCTGCAGGTTTCTTAACCCTGCCTCGACCATCTCCGGCTCCAATTCATCGGGAACGTGGACGTGACGTAAGGCATCAATCTTCCACACAGCTCTTGGCATCGTTTTGATCGACGTCCCCAACACGTCCAAGGACTGTAAATGACGAAGTTTTCCAACTGAAGACGGAAGACTCCTTAACCTTGTTCCTCTCAATCCCAAGAATCGAAGATGGATCAGGTCTCCAACTTGTTTTGGTAGTACGGCGAGTGGTGCCTCTTCCAGATCGATGACTCTGAGCAGTTTCAGTGCCCCAGTGGGGAATCTTATAACCTTCCTCTGTTGAACATTGAACCACAACAAGGTGCGCACTCTTGGGGAGTGTTTCACATGGGAGACGTAGTCCTCCGCTACCCCATTAAGGGAAAGGCACCGCAAGGAGGAATCCAGTCGAGAGGCGTCTCGGTCGTCTGGGATCTGGCGGCAGACAAGGAAGCCCACCTCCTTAGCTTCTGCAATGGCAAAATCGTGAAGCAGATCATGAATCCGGCAAACTTTGTCGACCTTCTGCCATGGGGCTGTCGTATTCATTTTGCACAATTGTCACCATGCACCTTCGGACGAGCTCCTGAAAGTGACCCTCTGCAGATTCTTCGAGTGTTTCTCCTGCTCTGTGCTCGACGAAGCCCTCCGCGACCCACAATCTGATCAACTTCTTGACTCCGATTTTGAAGTCCTGTGGAAAAGAACTGAAATAAAGGAAACACCACTTCAACTGATGGGGCAAATCTTCGTAGCTCAGCGCCAGTATATCCAGGCACAGACGGCCTTCTTTGATGTTTTCCCAGACGATGGTCTCCGCGAGCCTCCTCCACTCCCGTAGTGACGGACCTTTCGTCGACAGCAAACCGCTGAGCACTACCAGCGCCAGAGGCAGGCCTCCGCATTTCTTTGCGATCTGTTTCCCGACTTCCCCCAACGGTTCTGAACAGACTGCTTCGATATCCTCCTGATTCGGGAATGCCTTCTTGGAGAGGAGCTGCCAGCTCTCCTCCTCGGTTAAAGACCGCAGCTCGCAGGGAGGGATAGATGGGTCCGCAGCTCTGGCAACGTCGATGGAGCGAGTGGTGATCAGCACCCGGCTTCCATTCTCGGCATCTGGGAGATGCGGACTGAGGATTCTCCAGATCTCCGTGTCCCAGACGTCGTCCATGACGATCAAGTATTTCTTCCCCTGGATGGTCTGGTAAAGAATCTCCTCAAGCCTGGCCCTCGTCATTCTCTCGAGTTCCTTTTCTCTGAGCTCCGTGGCTTGCCGAATGAGATCCACAACGTAGTACTGCTGGGAGACGTCGATCCATACCGAGTGACTGAACTTCCCTCTTGCTTCCTTGAAGATTCTTTTAGCAAGAGTGGTCTTCCCGAGGCCGCCCATTCCCACAATGGAGATCGCCGACTGCTTTTTCCTGCTATCGTCTAACAGATACTCCAAGATTTTGTTCTTCTCCTGGTTCATGCCTACCATGTCAGCATCTGTCGCATGGACAACGATACGCCTCCGTTCGTGGACTCTCTCGTCGGGCTGTCTCCTCGGCTCTTCGCCCAGGTTCTGGATTCCGTAAGTGTTTCTTCGTTCTTTCATTGCGCAGATTTTGGCCTTTACGGTCTCGATCTCCTTACCGAATTTGTGGAGTACGATGAGGTCGCTGGGGAGAGGAACGCAACACGCAGTGTTCCGTCGTCGCCTCCGCTGTGCATCGAGAACGAAGGACTCGACGAGGTCATCCGCCCGACAAGCGATTTCCCTCACATCCCTCACCCAGTTCTTCACCCTCTCGTCCCCCTTGCTCCTCGCGTCGGCGTCCTTCAGGAAACACTCCATCGCCCGGAGCTCGTCCATGACCCACTCCACCTGATCCTTCACTTCGTACACGAAGACCGCTTTCTCGATGAGCAAGTCGCTGACCCGTTGCACGACATAGCTCAGAACCGCTGTGGCCATCCCTCTCCTTCTCTCGCCTCCTCTCAGCCAGATCTGGAGCGCTTAGCCGATCAGAGTTCTCACCTCTGCTCTGGTTCACTAAGATCCGAGGCAACATAAAAACAAGATGCTTTGTATTTGATCGGCGAAAGAATTGACCTGGTCGATTCGATTCGTTGGGCTTATTCAGAGCGTACAACAACAATAAAAAATTGGCCTTGAATTTTTGTCATTAGGAATAAAGCTTGATTAAATTAAGACTAAAGTTGAAGATAAACAAAAAATTTATGATGAAAAATGATTTATTGAACCCATTAATTTAAGAAATAAATTTTCAGACATTGAAAAGGGATTGACTCAAAAATAGATACATGACATCCTCAATCGAACGCTCAAAAATAGATGACAAAATTATAACAAAATCTTTCAAAATAATATGCACCAAGAGAACTCATTAACTGTCCCAATCAAACGCTCATATGTGAGGACTATGGGCAATATTGATGATTAGACATGCGAAGCCATTATCAACCACGTGCAGCCTGTTCTTTGCAAATGTATGACATTGTTGCCTGTTCTTTGAAAATTATTTATAATATTCGGGAATTTTTATGTTATTGACATAATATTAAAATATTGAACTCGAGTCGTTATTTTCATAATGATTTTTAATCGTAAAAAAATGGTGAACCTGGGAGATTCAATGGCCCCAGCCTGAGCATGCAGCTTGAAACACTACTCAATTAGACAACTAAATTGATTGGTAAACAAGCAAAACTATTTTTTTACTAGTAAGGCCTAACGAATTTGGCACTGAGATATTTTCAAGAAGACCAATGTTTTAATAAGATTATTAACTGTAAACAGCATCAAACCTTCAATTTTATGGCCAATTTCTTGTGATTCATCGTTAAACTAGAAAGGTTTTACACAGGTGCTCTAGCTCTAACTAAATCTGGCCCAAGACAGCCAGTTTCTGTCCTATGCAAAACAACCTTTACATCAGAGTGCTTTAAGCTGTTTAGTACTTCTGTTCAATTTCAACAAAATTTCCAAGCTCTCGCCTGCGTGATTTCCTGATTCAGGTGGGATCATATTGGTCTAGCCATCTTGATTCTCTTTGATATTGCACTTGTCAATGCAACATCAAAGATAATCGAGAATTAGCTGAAGATTATGTTTTATTTCGTAACAATTGAAAGGAATTTGTTTAAACGCTTATCATATCACCTCATCTAAGATTTTAAAATCGGCAAGCACATGGACATGACTATAATTGAGTAACAACTAGATGACATGGTTTCGTAGTACCCAATGGTTGACCTTTTCTAAAGCGAATTTATATAGCGGTTGTGACCGAGCAATGACTAGTTCAACTCGATCTGAGCCACGAACTCCGATCTCAACTTGTCCCATATTTAATGGCATGGAGAGAAAAGAAAAAGATGACACAGCATTCAATAGCGTATAGTAGTGGATAATGACGCTTGAAGGACAAAATAGGTATGGACGTTATGTTACATCGACAGTGATGGTAGAAAAAATCAAACTTTAAAAGCATAGCACCAACTAAATGAATGGACAACTAGCTTCTCTGTTTTTTTTCTGAAATTGCATCGCCAACAAACAACTAGCCCTTACCCCGCAGCCACCTCTAGTCCGCATCGAGGATCAGGGACTCGAGGGTGTCCTCTCTCCGCCCAATAAGCGATGCCTCTCGCATCCCTCACCCAGTCTTGGTTCTTTCCTCCCATGTCCTCTTCGATTCATCGCGTTTCTCGAGCACTGCATCACCTAGAGATCCTCCTTCGGACAGGAAGGTGTCTTCTTCGACGGGGAGGTCGCCGATCCGTTTCCCTCTCCTTTGTTCGCCTCCTCTCAGCCAGATCTGGAATCCTTAGCTGATCAGACTTCTCTAATCTGCTCCTCCAAGCACCGTCAGCAGGAAACATTCAGCTTTCGGGAGAAGACAGGGCCAAAGGGGCTTTAACCCAGCCAAAACCACCCGTTACTGTGGTATCGTTCCCATTGCCCCTTACCCATTGCCAAAACTAACCGTTACTGTCGATAGTCCATCCATCCCAAAGGTTACTAAATGGGCTTCATGGTAGGAAATCATGAATTACAAATGAGTTTCACACTAAGAATTTCAAACACCTTCTAAATAAAAGTATTAAATGGGTATAGATTGAACTTTGGTTTCAAAGGAGAATGGACTTCTTCCAACAGCTTGTCAAAAAAGTTGTCTCATGAACTTTCAAATGGGCTACACACTAAGATTAGATTTCAAATAGCTTTAAGTCATAGTATATGCAGCTTTAATGTTGAACTCCACATTTTGTAACCATCCTTAAAGTACTTGGGGCTCTAAAAGACATCAATATTCACTGTTTTAAAGGATAATACTACATTCTTATTGGTAAAAATAAATGTGGTTATTTTATAAAATATTTGAAACTACAACGTTCTAGTTAATAGTAATGCTTGCTCAAGATGTATAACAATAATATATGACATTTGAACTAATTAGTACCTATGTAAACTTATTTTTGAATTTCATATCTAGTTTAATTATTTTTTCACTAGGAGTACGTATGTATTTTTCGAAAAATGAGAAAGATATACTTTTATGCATAATTAACTCAATTAATTTTGACTAAGCCTAATGGAGTGATGAAATATTAAAAGGTTAGTATATATGAATGTAAATGACCGAGTGACATAATGAGAAACGAATTCTTAATTTAACAAATCTATGGGACCTTTAGATAATTGCTGTAGAATAGAAATACTCTAACACATAGGTCCCACATCATCTTTGCTGCCACACAATTCATCTCCTAGCCATCAATTGTTATGATGTAGGTGGTCTGCTTTTCAGTCATGTTATGCTGAACGTGTAATCGGAATCAGGTTAACGGGGTTAACCAGCACAGGTACCGATCTCATTTCCTGGCACAACCTCAAGGACCGAAGATGGAATTGGATCGGTGGAGACGTCTTCATTGCGCCCTCTTCCCTGTCTGACCGAAGGACGATACGGAGAGCGGGGAGCTGTAGGCGCTGCGGTCTGAATAAGAGCGGATACCAGCAAAGAGAAGGCCCACCTACGGCAGGCTTCCCGCATAGCTGGCCGCTGGCCCCGTGGGCCTCGTCCCGGTTAAATGCTCCTCCCGGGCATCCCAACGATCGCGCGGCGGCGCCGGTGAGCAGCGCAGGCTGACAGCTGCCGATCCCGGCCCACTCGTCACCCGATCCGTATAAATCGCGATTGGCTGGGGACCGAGTGAAGCGAGTCTTAGTTGGAAGTTCGTTGTAATGGGACTGGATATTGGACAAGCATTCTAAGGTTTATCCCATCAGCGAAGAAGCTGCAAGGCTGAAAGTTATTTAACTTGAGTTTATTGAATGAATGCCTGGTGCTCTCAGAGAGTCAACTCGACCCCAAAGCTCAAAGGCAGGGTAATGCAGAGGAAAATGATCGAACAATTTTATCCATTTTGTGATCAGACCGCAAAGCAACATTCTCTTGAGCTTTGTATTTCCCTTCGAATATTTACTCTATCGGAACTTTTTGTCTACCTTTTTTTCTCTCGAGTTTATGCATTTAATGTGAGCTTTTGTTTGATCGAATTGTGGGACGGCCGTGCAACATCTGTTGAGTCCCTCCCCACCACGAGGTCATCTACCGTGTGCACAGACGTTATCATGACACAAGCGGAGAAGGAGACGCAGTCAAAAGCTTGGCGCCACACCAGCTGCCCGATCTGCCACGATGAAACCCTGCAGATTTCCACGGAAAATCCAAAGAGTTTAATCAATGTTTGCAAGGAAACTCTGCCACAATGTGGGCAACGAGTTTAATCAATAATTATTGCCAGCAAGTGGGACGCAGGGTTGTCACTGGGCTCTCTCTATCACGTGTGGACTGTTCGAACCAAGGAGTGGTCTAGTGTGGTTCGAAGGAAATGGGCTGTTTGGGCCAGGCGACTAGGGTCCACGGATTAATTGAATAATTAATAACTAAAAGTGGGACGTGGAAATGGTGGCGCGAATTAAGGCTGAGTTTCTGAGAGCGTCCCACGTGATGGGGAGAGCCACCAAACCCGACCACGTGATGGTCGCGCCACCATTTCCACGTCCCACGTGCCGGGCGGCTAGGATCCACGGATTATTCATTACTCGAACTTATTTTGGATCTTTTGAGGCCTTAGAGTAACAGTTAGGTTCATCAGAAAAATGTTTGTGAATATTGAAACATATTCTTTTGAGGCCTCAGTAGATGAAGGATAGTTGGTTTATTAGAGGAATTTGTTTGAGAATAAATATCACTTAGCAGTTGGGTTTTAAGAGGAGTTCGGAGAGATACTAGATGTATTTTCACTTTGTGACTTATCTAAATGAAATGGAGTTGTAGGAGTGGTATCTGTGGAAGTGATGGATATATTTTCTAAGAGCACTGTTTCATCTTTGGATGAGAATGTAAGAGGAGGATTGTCTGACGAATTTGAAGAATTCAGATTTTTCAAAGTGTTAGAAGGGACTTGATTGATTGTTGACTGCTAACAAGGGATATGAGAATTCATTTGAGCAAGTAGTACAATTATTAGTGGAGGTGGTCTTACTAGACTTGGACTTTCAGTACGATTAGGTTGATCTTAGATAGGTATTTGGGAGTCTAAAATAGAAAGGTGACTTCATCAAAGAAAATATCCCTAGAGATGAATATTTTTCCATTTTGGAGTGACACACATCTATAACCAATGGGAGATGAACTATACCCTAAAAATACACATCGTTTAGACCTAGTATTGACTTTGTTAGGCATATATCATCTAAGATATGGGTAACATAAACACTCAAAAGTTTTTAGAAATGAGTAATCTAGTTCAAGGTGAAAGAGGATTTCATATGGAGATTTATGATTGAGATTTGAAGAAGACATTCTATTAATGAGATAGATAGTAGTAGTTACTACTTCATCTTAAAATGTTTGAGGTAAATGTGCATTTTGGAGAAGAGATAGGGCTGTTTTTACAAGGTGTCTATGCTTTCTTTCTGTTGTTCCATTTGTTCAGGTGTATAAGGGCATGAAAGTCGATGGTTGATACCTTTGCCTTTGAGATAGTTGGTCAAGGCTTTAAATTTTCCTCCCCAATCCAATTGGAGAGACACAAGTTTTGTGGAGAACAAGTTCTCTGTCTTAATATGAAATTCAGTAAAAATCAAAAGAACATCACTTTTTCTTTTCATAAGAAATAGCCATGTATATTTACTGAAATCATTAACAAAAATCACATAATAGAGATAGCCAAAATGAGAAAGAACAGGGGCAGGCCCCCAAACATCAGAATCTATCAATTCAAGAGGTTTGGTGGTTCTACGTAATGAAAGTGTAAAATGAAGTTTATGTGATTTTACTAATCTACATGCATCACAAACAAAATTCTGAGTTTTATGAGTGACTGACAAACCATATTTGTCTATAACTTATTTTAAAATTCAGAAATGAGGATGTCCTAATCTATTATGCCATATCAGAGTTAGATGATTTTTCTCCAAAGAATGCAATTGTCTGGATTCGCTTGTAGCAATTGTAGACAATAGAGTCCATCATCACTAGTTCTCTTGAGGAGGATTCGCTTCGTTTCCTGGTCCTTCACAACATAAAAATTAGCATGAAATTCAAAAAATACATTGTTGTCTCGAGCAAATTTTTGAACTGATAAAATATTTTTTTAATTTGTGATACATGTAGTATATCCTTAAGCTGTAATGGACGATATTTAGTATTAATAGTTGATAATCCTTAAGAATGGATGGGCAAACCTTGTCCATTACCTATATAAAGCTGATCTTGCCCATTGTAGATAGTTGAGTTTTGTATGTTTCCTTGATTTGCAGTGACATGGTGAGATGCACCGCTGTCTGGATACCAACTGTTTGTTCAATTATAATTTTCTCTTGTATGGGCTGTAAACGCTTGAGGTTGATTTGAATTCCATGTCTGATCGTTATTTTGCCATGGAGGAGGCTGAAAGTTTTTGTTGAATCTTTCCTTGATATTATTTCCCTATTGTATTTGCAAGATTTGCTGTTGGTGGGAAATCTCCAATAGACTTTTCTTCTATATGTTTAGAAATATGCAGATCATATGATTTCAAATTGGAGATTACGTTGTTGAGCTCCAGACTGTCTAATTGTGGATATATGCTTGCACATAATGAATTGTACTGATGTTCCAATCCATTTAGAAGGGCATATGCAAGATATTGATCTTCAATTTTATATCCGCAGGCCTGCAATTCATCACCAATACTCTGAATGTTCTTAATATAGGTGTCAACAAGAAGATTACCTTTCTTGAAATTGTGGAGTTTTGCCTATAGTTCATTGATACGGGATCTTGATTTGCTTGCATGATTTTTCTTGAGTGCTTCCCATACATCTTTTGATGTCTCTTTATTGATGACATAATGCCGTATTGATTCAGATAAAGAGTTAGTAATCAGGGTAAGAACTGCTTGATCCTTTTTGTACCATGTTTTATATTCTGGATTTGGAATATGCTTTTTATGTCCATCGATCTTCGATATGAGCAGTGGATCATCTTCAAGAACATATATGGGATCATGTGTTCGCAAGAGTGGAAGCAGTTGCGTCTTCCATAGTAGGAAATTCTCCTTTGTTAGCTTGAGAGAGATTGATAATGCTGGAATCCTAGTTGAATCGCAATAGTGCTGTGAGAGATGATTTGAGCATTAGAAGCACCTTCGGTTTCATCACCTATGCTTTTCTGTGGAAGACTCATTGTCAGGTCTTTGAGCACCGTTGGGCTATGGCTCTGGTACCATGAAAGAAATCAAGAACAGAGGGATAGAACAGAGCAAGAAGGAGAGAAAGAGGAGAAGAAGAAGATAGAAAGAAAAGGAACTTCTATTGATCGTGAAAGAAAACTTGATTAGTTACAACATTTATGATCGTCTATTTATAATGTTAGTGATTTAAAAATAGCCATTGTGTATTATTTAGTAACTACTCTTCGGAAGGATGCAATTTCATCGAGTAGTTCCTCTTCTTGTTGGTTAATGCTGATGTGTCTTCTTTTCTTCCTTTATTTGATTGTCTGTTTTCATTGGTTGATCTGTCGTCTGTCGTAGCCTTGTTGTTATCCACGTGTCCGCTGATTTGATTATGTCGAATCTTATTGGTTGATGTCGATTCGTGTTTGTTCTGTTCTGAAGGAAGCTCAACAGGCAACCTGTTGATCAGGTGCTTGCTGTTTGAGTGACAATGTTGCTTCAATAGGCGGAAGCAAGGATGGCGGTGACGACGCCGGCGGCAAGGGCTAAGATACTCGACGGCAGAGGTGAAGATGTGGGCGGCTCCAGTGGGCAGCATGGATGGCAAAAGGCGGGCTAGGCTGTGGCTGAAGCGTGGACAAGCGGATGACGACGGGATAAAAAGATGACGAAGTGAGAGAAGAGAAAGAGAGAGGTCCTCATAATCCAAGAGGGCGAGAAGAAGAAGATACCTCTAATCCAAAAGACGAGCGAGGGAGAAGAGGAACCCCTATTCCCAGAGGTGAGAGCGATAACAAGAACTTCCTTGATTCCAAATTCAACTTTTTCTTTCAAGTATTCGTGAGTTTGAAGATTTATAGAAAAGAGGGGTAATTAGAGGCGCCCCCTCTCAAAGGATGCCAAGTGGTGTCTCTTAGAGGGAGAGGCACGTTCCTTAGAGAAGGGGGGTGTGGGTGACCAGGCCTCGTCTCTTCTCTATTCTTCCTCCTTGTGGGTCCACCTAAGAGGATGAATGCTCATGTTGACTCCATCAACTTGCCATTGGGAATTAAGCTGTTTCGGGGGGATGGATCCAGGTAGCATACCATCAGGATTTAACCCTAACAAGTAAGACAAATGGGAATCGTCTGACAAAGGCAGATCGGCATGGTGGAATGGGCAGAGGGCAAAGAAAGGGATCGAGGCGTCAGTAACAAGGCAGATGGTGGTAGCGGGCCGTGACAATGGTAGTAGCGACGAGGTGGACGATGGGCGCGGACAGCAGTGGCAATCGACAGCGGCGAGCACTGATGGGATGCGGAAAAATGGCGGATAATGGCGGCAGACGGTGGCTGAGAGATGACAACTAGATGACAGGCAGTGGTGGATAAAGGTAGCAGCGGATCATTGAGGTGATAGATGACGATGGCGATTAATAATCGACCATCACAATCTCTCTTTCCGCAGCGAATGGCCTTTACGGCCTCTGCTTGTGGAGCGAATGACCCCTCACACCCCCTTTGCGGAGCGATATGATGTAAATCTCAAAACTTCATATTCTTCTTTTATTCCTTGTATTAGGGCTACATGGGATGATTTATAACCTCTTTGATGATTATACAATAGAAACAAATAACAATAGAAGGAAATTATGGATTTAACGGGCATGGGTCTAAGCGTTGATGTCGTGGAGGTGCTGGCCTGCTTCTTCATTCCCCATCACAAACCCTCAAGCATCAAGGCGGCCGACCGATCGGCAACACGAATGATCTTACGTAAGATATTGCAATGTGTCTGAGGACAGCCTGCGGAGGCGAACCCAAGGCAACATGAGGCGGCAGATCGAGGGATGTGTGATGAATGTAAGATCAAAGAGCCAGCCAGGCGGCGAACCTATCAGCTCGGGCCACGTCTGGCGAGCTGTCGGCTGCCCGTGTGCTCTCGCAAAAAGAAAGAAGATAGAGATGGGACAGACGGATTGGGCCCCATATGCCATGCTCTTTTGTGGCTGAACCAACATTGTGACTTCCCGTCTGGATCAGATCCAGGTCTCTGGATCCCTAATCATTGACTGCAAAGTTCTATACCTTCCTTCCCGTCTGGATACCACTTTCTGCTTGGTACGCTATTTTTTTCTTGCCATTCCGAGTTGAGTTGTGAAGTTTTTGCGGATAGGCGTTTAGAAAGAGTTCATCTTCCGCATATCTTTGTAGGGATGATAAAAATTAAATGTCTCCATTTATCAAAAAAATACTGTTTAGTTAGGAGATATAAGAGAAGAAGTCATTGCAATATATTATTAGAAGCAAATCACCCCATTATAAGATTCTCTTTTTATCTCGCCACTATAACGGGGGTTGATATCCGGGGACTCTCTGCCGGGAATACCAGCTAAAGTGAGGATGTTTCTTCTTTCTTCCCTCTCTCTTGTTCCTTTGGAGAGATATTCAATACATGAATACCTCCTGAGCTTTAAATTGTCATCTTTGTCTATGGTAATGTTTATCATCCCAAATAAAGATGTCAATTATTTTGCAATTGAAGGAAAAATGATGGGTAAAATCATCTCCTTCCATGCCTTCTCGATGACCTCTGTCAAAACTTATGCGAGCTGAATGACTTATCGATTATTTTTGGTAGATGAGTTTCTCAGTGTGCATTGAACCCGGAGGCCGTAACCTGATCGGCGCATTGTCACTTCTCAGTGTGCCACGCTGCGGTCCAAGAAGGGTCTGCTTGGCATGATGAGCGGAGGGATAGAGATCAGATATAGAAAACACGGAAAATGAGCGAAAAACAACAAAAACTGCATCTCTTAGAAAAATAATGGTTTAAACGAATCTTCCATGTTCACTTATTTCCATTAAGAAAAAAGCAAAGAGGAAAAGTGACTGCAGGGTTGCTCATTTTCAATAGAAGATGCGAGAGATGCAGATGAGGAACGCGTCACTTATATATGTCAATAGGAACTTATACCAACGAATTTGTTGCAAGAGAAGTGCGATAGCCACTATGCAATGCTCAGCACACAGCCCTTCGCGCGGCAGCACACATTGCTCGCACAGCACATACAGAGACGACAGCTTCCCCCTCTCTTATCACAGGGTTTTAAAAATTACACAAGGACAAAGGACAATCCTGCCCTTATCTCCAACACGAGCATGTCACCATGTTCTTCAGGGAAATGATCCCGGTATTATGGTTACTCACTGTACACAGTGAATCTCTTGTGCCGGATTTTGGGTCAATCCTCTCTCTCCTTAACCGGACTGAATTTCCATGATGTTGCTGAAAAATGCCACGAAGACGATTCTCCAATGACTGAAATGGTGATTCAGTGTATGTGTCGGATTTTGTGCCAGTCCTCTCCTTCCATCCGAGCTCTAGAACAGAGTCTACGAGGCATATCCCACAGAATGAGGTCTTTCAAAGAAGTCATGTATTGTAACTCTTCCGGAAGCATGGCCAACTTTCTGCAGTCGTAGATCTTCAGGCTCCTCAGGCGGGACATTGCGCCGGCCTCAATTACCCACCTCTCTAACTCGCCTAGCGAATCAAGTACGAGGGACTGGAGTTGAGGGAACCCGCTACGGGAGCAGATCACATCGTTTTCTGTGTAGGACGAAGGACCTAGATACAGATATGTAAGTTCAGGGAGGTTCTCGAGCGCTTCTATCGAGACTCGATCCAGCCTGGTTACACTTAGCATGAGTTCGGTGAGATTGGGTGGCCACTCGTTGCTGCCAGAACTTGGTTCCTGTAGCCTTTGTCACTTCCCCGATCAGGTATAAGACCCCCAGTGAAGAAAAGCTGGACGGTGTCCATCGACAGTCTGGGATCGACTCGCCTTCCAATCTCAACTTCTTGAGATGGGACAGCTTCGGTAGCGAAGAAGACAGTGCGTCATGATGATATCTTGAGATGCCTGTTAGTTGCAGCTCCCGGAGTCTGGTAAGAGTCCCTAGGCAGCTGTCTACCCACCTCCCGACCCTGACGAGCGTGAGCACCTGCAGGTTTCTGAAGCCTGCCTCGGTAATCTCCGGCTCCACTTCTGGGGGAACGTGGTCATGACGCAAGGCCTCGATCTTCCACACAACTCTCGGCATCGTTTTGATCTGCGTCCCCAACACGTCCAAGGACTGTAAATGACGAAGTTTTCCAACTGAAGACGGAAGACTCCTTATGTTTGTTCCTCTCAATCCCAAGAATCGAAGATGGATCAGGTCTCCAACCTGTTCTGGTAGTACGGCGAGTGATGCCCCCTCCAGATCGATGACTCTGAGAAGTTTCAGCTCTGGAATAGGGAAGCTTATAACCGACCTTTTTAACCACCAGTCGGGATTGAACCACAGCAAGGTGCGCAATCTTGGGGTGGACTTCACATGGGAGACGTAGTCCTCCGCTCCCCCGTGAAGCGAAAGGCGTCTCACGGAGGAATCCAGTCGGAAGGCATCTCGCTCGTCTGGGATCGGGCGGCAGACGAGGAAACCCTCCTTCTTAGCCTCTGCAATAGTAAAATCGTGCAGCAGATCATGGATCCGGCAACATTGCCGAGTTTTTGGCTTATGTCTGATCATGGGGCTGTCGTATTCATCTTGCACAACTAGCACCATACACCTCCGGACGAGTTCCTCCAGGTAACCTTCTGCAGATTCTTCAAGGGTTACTCCTGCTCTGTCCTCGACGAAGCCCTCCGCGATCCAATCTCGAAGTCCTCCGGCAAAGAACTGAAATAGAGGTAACACCACTTTAGATGATGGGGCAAGTCGGCGTAGCTCAGCGCCAGTATATCCAAGCACAGACGGCCATCATCAATGTTTTCCCAGACCAGTGTCTGTGCGAGCCTTCGCCACTCCCTGAGTGACGGACCTTTCGTCGACAGCAAACCACCGATCACTACCAGCGCCAGAGGCAGGCCCCGGCATTTCCTCACGATTTGTTTCCCGACTTCCCTTAACTGTTCTGAGCAGACTACATCGATATCCTCCTTATTCGAGAACGCCTTCGAGAGGAGCTCCCAGATCTCCTCCTCGCTAAGTAGCTGCAGCTCGAAGGGAGGGGTACCTGGGTCAGCAGCTCTGGCAACGTCAACGGAGCGTGTGGTGATTAGCAACCGGCTTCCATTCTCGGCCTCTGGGAGATGTGGACTGAGGATTCTCCAAACCTTTCCGTCCCACACGTCATCCATGACGATCAAGTATTTCTTCCCGTCTATAGTCTGGTAAAGCTTCTCCTCACGCTTGGCCCTCGTCATTTTCCCGAGGTCCTCCTCTTCTAGCCCCGTGACCTGCAGAAGCAAGTTTCCAATAAGATCCGCAGCGGAGTACTGCTGGGAGACGTCCCTCCACGCAGAGTAAATGAAGTCGGCTTTAGCTCTGTTGAAGACTCTCTTAGCAAGAGTGGTCTTCCCGAGGCCGCCCATCCCCAGAATGGATATCACCGACCGCTTCTTCCCGCTCTCGTCCAACAGGTGCCCCAGGATTCTGTTCACCTCCTCGTCCATGCCAACCATGTCAGCATCCGCGGCGTGGAGAACGGCCCGCCTACGTTCCTGGACTGTCTCGTCGACCTGCCTCCTCGGCTCTCCACCCAGGTTCTGGATTCCGTAAATGTTTCTTCGTTCATTGATGTCGTAGATTTGGGCCCTTATGGCCTCGATCTCCTTACCGAATTGGTGGAGTACGACGAGGTCGCTGGGGACGGAAAGACAACGCACAGTGCTCCGGATGAAGCTCTCGCTCCATCGTTGCCTCCGCTGAGCATCGAGGACGAAGGACTCGACGAGGTCCTCTGCCCGATAGGCGACTTTCCTCACATCCCTCACCTAGTTCTTCACCCTTTCGTCCCCCATGCTCCTCACGTCGGCGTCCTTCAGGAAGCACTCCATCGCCCGGAGCTCGTGCGTGACCCACTCCACCTGATCCTTCACTTCGTACAGGAAGACCGCTTGATCGATGAGAAAGTCGCCTGCCCGTTTCACGACGTAACTCAGAACTGCTTCCGCCATCCTTCTCCGTCCCTTGCCTCCTCTCAACCAGATCTGGAATGCTTCACCGATCAGACTTCTCTTCTGCTCCTCTGGTTCGATAAGTAAATCATAAACCCAGTTATTTAGGAAACAATCTCTCAGATATTGAAAACTGAATAGTATAAATAATTACATATCTCGGTCAAGGGACGAACAAGCTTCGGGCTAGCAATTCTTGGGTGAGAAGTCAATCAGCACATATACATCTCACGAATCATACACGAACAAAATTTTCAGCAAATTTAGTTCCTCTTTGGTAACGTGTGTTGACAATAATAAAAATCTTAAAAATTAATATGTTCACCCGGAGAGGTGGTTAGCTGTCCCATTCAAACCAGCATACGTAAGCACTATGGGCAATTATTGATGAATAGAAATGTAGCTAATTATTTACTAAAACTATAATATTTTCCTTGCAAATGAGTGACGTTGACTTATTCAAGGCAATAATTTTCTAACAATTTTCATAACATCTTGTGACGGGTAAAGAGAGTGCAGAGAGAGGAGAGAGTCCTTTACCTTATAGATATTGAGAGAAAGAGAGAGAGAGAGAAAGAGAGGGAGAGAGAGAGAGAGAGAGAGAGAGAGCAGAGTACAATAATAGGCTTATTAGGCCCATTAAGTCTATACAGCCCATTAGGTCTATACGGCTCATACGACTTATACTGCCTGCTTACACTCTCCCTCAAGTTGGAAAGTAGATGTCCAATATTTCAGCTTGCTATAGAGAGTATCGTAGGATATCTCACCTATATTTTTCATAAAAATATCTGCTAATTATTATGATGATATAATATGTGGTATCATGATGAGTCTTTTAAAGACTTTGTTGCAGATATAGTGACAATTCATCTCAATATATTTTGTACATTCATGAAATGTTGAATTGCTTGCAATGAAAATTTTCATCTACTATCATAATACATAGGCATAGAAGTACATACTGAAAAGAACAACTCTTGAAGAAGTGAATGTATTTATATTATTTCACATGTCATATCCGCCATAGCCCTATAATTTGGCTTCAACACTAGAGTGAAAGATCACGTTTTGTTTCTTGCTATGTCAAGTGACAAAGTTCCCACTAAGGTAGATGCAAACCCAAATGTAGATTTATGATCACCCTTGTTACTAGTAAAGTTGAATTTGAGTAAGTCTCAACACAAAGATGTCCATGTCACTAATATATTAGGGCTCATCTTGGAGCATGTTTCACATATGTCAACACTCTCAGTGCTCTTAACTAGTGTGTTTGTTGTGGCTCATATATAAATTAGTTGAGAAGTCTCATAGTATAGACAATGTCAAGGCGAGTGACTATCAAGTAGATTAACTTCTTGTTTAATTGTCAATATTGATTGACATCTTTATGGAGAGGAAAGGTGGTGTCCCAAAAATTAGGTCTTGAATCATTCATGTATGTGAGTGTGTGCCCACACACCTTTAACTAGCTCCTATACATGGTGACAACTCAATTTTGTATCCCAAGAGACTAGCATCTTCAAATAAATCCAGCACATACTTGTGTTGAGACAAAACCATTTGTTCACACTGATAGGCAAACTTGATCCCCATGAAGTAGCAAGATTTGTCCATGTCTCTAGTGACGAAATGTTTATGTAAGTGAGTCTCGATTTATGTAATGCCAATCATGTCCTTGCTTGGAGAAGGATGTCATGAACATAAAATTGTTATAATGATACTCCCAATAGTAGTCTATTTGTGGAAGACAATAGGGTCCACTATGCATTACATGAACTTATGAATAGTCAAGATCTCACTAAACTTGATAAATTATGCTTGAGGACTCTATTTGTCTATAAATAGTCTATTTGAAAAAATGACGACTTAGTTGTTGTATAATAAATCATGTAAACTTAAAATTTATAAAACTAGAAAATACTAACTTTTAGATTTTTTAGAAATATTATAGAATAAATAAATCAATTATAGTTTGATAAAATATTCCAAAAATAATGAGAAATTTCCAAGTCAATCATAGGAATGTAAGATAATAAAAATTAATATTTTAGAATTTTATATAAAGAATATATTTTTTTCTAATTTTTAGATTAATTAATAAAAATAAAATATATTAAAAAATTTACAAAAAAGGAAAATAAGGGTGAAAACGTGAAGATGACGTCAATGGCTTGAGGAACGTAAATTGGGCAAAAATAGAGTTCCATATGATGATTCTTACATAAGTGATTATAGACGATTTAATAAGTCAAATTAAGATATATAAAAGTTAGAATAATCATAATTGAATGAAGAAGGTTTTCAAAACTTAAAATCACACAAGTAATTAAATTAAGTAAAAATTAAGTTTAAAGCAATAAAGTCAAAGTTTCGACCTCACGATAACAATCACTGAAATTTTGTGTGTTCAAGAAGATTATTGAATGATATCCATAGCCTCTCAAAAGGTTTCTTTGGACACGGATGACTTGGGCAATCACTGTATCTTCTTTTAAAGTTTAGAAAATGATGGTAGAAGTTAAACTAATTAAAAAATTATAAAAGAGTTTTGGCATTGTGACGGTGATGCATCATTGATGTGTCAAAATTCTATGTGTTCTAAAGAATTATCATACAATGTCTACAACATCAAAGCTTTTCTTAGACACAGATGACATGGGCAATCTCTAGATCTTTTTGCGAAGTCTAGAAATCAATGAAGTGAGTTATTGAATTATTTTCAATGAATGTCACCTAGTAGAGTGGAAAAATAGTGACTTTGGAGTCTCTGATGACTATCACCCGATAGAGATAAGTTGGATGAAGATGGGATAGATCTTAGAGAACTTCATCTCAGGTCCATGCATCAAGAGGAGACTCTTCATCGTATCTGATATACTCTCAAAAGGTAATGACTTATGTCCCAGTAGATCGTCTTTTTGTTGACAATAGTTTGTTCATTGATCAATCGAAGATAATTTACTCGATGGATTCATGATCTTTTTATCTAGTATTATTTAATAATTATAGTAACGATGCTCTACGAATCACATTGACGAGATTTTTTCAATAATTGAGTGATTTTAGCAACTTAATTGTTCATCAACAATCTGTAAGAAAATCATGATTTAATTAAATAAAATATAAGGTTTAGCTCTTGTAAGATTCGAACCCTAGCTAGTTCCATGCCTACATGAGGTAGAGTGAAATAAGTACTCAAATACCCTTATAAAGTGACATAATAGGGGTATCTAGTTCTTATAAATAAAACTTATTTTATGTATTCAAATTATTAAAAACTTTTTCAAGAAGTTGGTTTAGTCCCACATTAGTTATTTTACGAGTTTTGAGATGTATATATAATAATAGAAGATTTTATCATCAATAAGTCTCTCTCTTATGTGTGTACTACTACTCCTTGCCCAACGCTCAGCTGGCCACTAGTGACGTGGAAGGAGAGTGTCATACACGTCCCCTACTAGTCCGTCTTTAGTTGTTTGAGCCCCTTGCTTGCGGCTCTGCATGACTATGATTCTAACTTGCTTGTGGGCCCGACTATCTAGCAAGTTCCACCTTTTTTCTATCTTT